AAGGAGAATGATATCCGTATCATATTAAAAGCTGGATGCAGCACAAGAGTGAAAACTGCATCAAGTTTGTAGCTTACGAAGAGTTTAAAAACGATTTCCAAGGGGCCACTCGAGAAATAGCAAAGTTTCCTAATGTGCATAGAACATATGAAGAATACAAAAGCGTTGTTCGTTTACCCAAATGAAAAGAAAATACAGAGGAAAGCTGAACTTGTTCCGTAAAGGCGTTGTTGGCGATTGGAAAAATTATTTCAGTGAAGCTCTTGAAGAAGAAATGGATGAAAAATTTCAAGCAGAGATGGAAGAAGTTGATATTGAGTTTCAATATGAAATAAATAACGAAAAAGTAAATGAAAACAAGGTTGTGAATTCAAATTGTGAATTGTAGTGGTAGACTCTTTTATTCTTCCTTGCTGTGAAATATATATCATGTCAAAATTAAAATATCTATTGCGTTTAGCATATTTACATGGAAAGAGAGATGAGCGGAATACGCTGGAAGTCGTTTCTATGTAATCATCACTTGTATCTCGTTAATTCATTTTTACATATAACGAAAAACAACTATTTTCAATTTTAAAGTTAATTTTTTAAGGTGCGTGTCTAATTCCTGTCTTTCTGTGTGAAATTCAATATACCGTCTAGGGAGGTGTTTTGCTGCTTATACGATTAAATCCAGAGTCTTGCATACCGAGTACTTTCGTTTGTTCACAGTAAAGGTGTTAGGAGTAGGGTAATCACTTTGGTATGTAACAACCTCCAAATTAATAGTTTTTATTCAAAATTGAATATGCAGTTCGGCCACAGCAGTGACCTGCAAGATTTATGTACAGTACTACTTAGGCTTACCATATATCTGGCACAAAAAAACCGGATAGTGCGGATTGGGCAAGCCAATCTTCGATTCCGAAGCTTATGTAATGAATGAGAAATATAGTACCTTGATATAAGGCTTTATTCAACTTAAATTTAAAGCACTCTTAGAATGAATCTAAAATAATATAACACAAGCAAATGTTATTAAACAAGAAAACAAATACGTATCGAATTGCTGATGCTAACAGTAAGCGACTCAATAGTTAAATGAATAAAGTTGAAAGAATTAACACACTACATCTACAGCACAGCAATGATTGGAGTCTGATTTAAAACGCCACAGCAATCATCGCTTGACTGCAGCTGTATAAACAAATAGATACATTGAGTTGCATTTCCAAGTTATCACATTCACCGCCACTTTAGAGATTTAGTCTGTCTACGGTTCGGCGTTCCCTGGTTGATCTCCTTAGAACTGGAGGCGATGGAGATCTAGAGACAATATTATTTTCAACAATATCTTCTTGCGTTTGAGTTTTATTGTTTCCTTGATTGATAGATGGAGACATAGGTTGAATCGAAGACTCGTCTCTAACGTGCAATGATGTTTCATGGTTGATATTGTCTGTCCCTTGCCTATTCATCGAAATTTCGTAACCGACAGGGGCCAGATGTTTTGAGGCTACAGTTGTTTCTCTGCCATCTAGAAATCGAACATGAGCATATTGTGGATTTGCTTCCAGAAGCTCGACTTCATCTACTAAAGGTTCGGTTTTCGACTTCCTGACATATCTTTTCAAAAGCACTGGTCCCGGCGTTGACATCCAGGATGGAATAGAACATCCAGACGTAGATCTTCTGGAGAATTTGAAAACTCGCTCATGAGGAGTCTCATTGGTGGCTGTACACAATAACGACCGTATGGAATGCAAAATCAGGCAAAACCTCTTGCCACAATTGAACAGGAAGACTTTTCGATTTCAGCGCCAACTTCACCCCATTCCATATCGTGCCATTAAAACGTTCAACCTGTCCATTTCCTGCAGGATTATATGGTGTGGTGCGACTTGTTGCAATACCTTTGTCATTGAGAAAAGAGCGAAGTTCTTGACTCATGAAAGCAGAACCTCTGTCTGAATGTATAAAAGCAGGCATTCCAAATGTAGTGAATAGTTGCGTGAGACATTTAATGACACTTGCTGTGGAAACATTTGAACATGAGAATGCAAACGGAAATCTCGAAAATTCATCGACTACGCACAGAAAGTATCGATTATTATTGTTTTGACGGTAGAGGTCTTTTAAAGTCTATATTGAGACGTTCAAATGCCTGTGTAGCTTTAATAAGGTGCCCGATGTCAGGTTTATGAAATCGGGGCTTGCATTCATTCACAACAAACAGGACATGTTGGAAATAACTTTTCGAATGTCATCCATCGAATATGGCAAATTCCTGACTCGAATAAAGTGAGACATTCTCGTAATTCCTGGATGACACAGAGCGTCATGAAGTTTATACAAAAGATGATTTTCGGGATCTTGTACAGTTGCGCACGATATTCTTGAAAGTGCATCAGAGGGAATATTTTCTTGCCCAGGACGATAACGAATGTCAAAACTATAGCAGCAGAGTTCTAGTCGCCATCGCATGATTTTATCATTTTTAATCTTTGTTCTGTGATTTCGATTGAACATAAATGATACGGATCTCTGATCTGTTATAAGAGTGAAATGTTTACAAGTGAGATAGTGACGCCAATGACGAACAGCCTCAATGATGGCCTTTGCTTCCTTCTCTATTGAAGGGTGTTTGAGTTCTGGACCTTGTAGCATGCGAGAGAAAAAAGCCACTGGTCTCCCACCTTGGTTTAGGGTTGCAGCCAATGCTACATCAGAGGCATCTGTTTCTACTTCAAAAGGTAAAGTTTCATCCACAGCTATAACGACAGCAGATTCTACGAGTCGCTTCAATTCGTGAAACGCATGAATTGCCTGGTCGTCGAGAGGGAAAGTTTTCGCAGATGCTAGTGGTCTGATAGTATCAGAAAACTTTGGTATCCACTTTGAGTAGTACGAGAAAAACCCAAGACAACGCTTTAAAGCGGAAACTGAGGTAGGAATCGGCAAACGCCGCAAAGGTTCTAGTCTCCCAGGATCCGGACGTATTTGGCCTTCCTCAATCTCGTAACCTAGAATCTGAAGTTTTCTGGTCGAAAATATGCTTTTGTTTTCGTTCAATTTTAGATTTCGTCGTTTAGCGGCTTCTAGAAACTTCTGCAAGTTGATATCATGGTCTTGTTGAGTATGCCCACAAATGGTAATGTTATCGAGATACGCGAAAACACCGGTCAGGTTTTCTTCTTTTACCAGGTTCATCATTGCCCTCTGGAAGCAGGCCACACCATTTGTGACTCCAAACGGTAAACGAGTGAACTGGAACAGAGCACCCGCAGCTCGAAAGCAGTATATTTCTGGTCTTCCTTTTCAAGTGGAACCTGATGGTATGCACTTTTTAAATCCACTGTGCTATACACACGATAATGAGCAATTTCGTTGATTATATCGCTCATATTAGGTAAAGGAAACGCGTCTAACTGAGTAAATTTATTGATGGTCTGTGAATAATCGATTACAAACCTTCGTTTCCCATTTTCACCCTTTACGACGACAACTTGAGCTCTCCACGGAGATCTGCTAGGCGTTACAATTCCTTCCTGTAACAAACGGTTGACCTCCATTTCAATAAACTTTCTGTCATCTTTGGAATACCAACGAGACTTTGTAGCAATAGGATGGCAGTCAGCAGTCAGATTTTTGAATGGTTCTGGTGGCAAACTTTGAAAGTTGAAAAGCCACATACAGACATTGGAGGTCGATCGCCGCCGTAATTATAAGTTACACTTTGATGTTGTCCTTGAAAGTCTATTCCAAGTAAAATGTCACAACATAGATCATCCATTACTCTCAATATGAATTTTTGATAGTGTCGGCCCTGATATTCAATATCAGCTGCTGTGCAACCTTTTATAGGCATGGAACACGCCAGAGAAGCCATTGCTACCTTGTCCTTAACTGTGTCCCTTTTGATTGGGAGGTTACACCTTTCTATGAGAGAGGGTGTATGAAACTCTGACTACTGCAACTATCAAAAAGTGCGCGTACTTTGTGTCCTTCAATATGAATCACAGACGACGACCCTCTCAATGATTTCGGGGTATTGTCAAAAGCCATTCCTAATATATACGAGTTAGAACATGCAGTGACTTCGTCAGGATTTTGTGGGTTGAAAACGGTTCCTCTGCAGACTTTTATGAAATGTCCTTTTTTATGACACTTGAAACAAAACACATTTCGGGCTGGACATTTTGAACGAGGATGTTTCTTTCCGCCACAGAAAAGCACGCGGAATTTGCAGTAGCAGATATTTTCTCGATATCACACGATGTCTCATCGTTTTGAGTTTCACTGTTTTGAGCAGCCGCAGACACAGTAGAAGGATCGGATACTCGATAAGCTTCAGCATTCTTAATTGCTACTTCTAAGCTTCTGGCTTGATCGTATCATTCGTATGTCGTATTAAGATCAAGGTGTTTGTTTTCCAACAAACGCTGTCGTATCCATGTGGAGTTTAACCCCCGGATAAAAGCGTCTCGGACATAAGCATCTCGGTTTTGAACAGCAGATACAGCTTTGAAATTACAATGTTTGCTTAACGATTTCAATGCTTGCATGTATTCGTCTACATTTTCAGATGCTTGTTGGTTCCTGGTTGCCAGAACATGCCGAGAATAAACTTCATTGAGAGGTTTGACAAACATTGTTTTCAGAATCTCAATCGCAGTATCGTACGATTCTGCCTCCTCAATGTTTTGGAATATACGAGGAGATATGAAATTCACCAGTACACCAAGTTTATCAAGGCCTTCAGACGGCAAGGCGTTTAGAAAATTATCGAAGGTCTTCTTCCAGTGCAGCCACTCACAGGATGCTTCACTAGAGTTAGGATCTACCTCCAGTCTCTCTGGTCTCAGAACCTTGTCCATGCTTGTACCAGAATACTCTTGTGAAATGATTTAAGTTGAATAAATTGTAATGAATGAGAAATATAGTACCTTGATATAAGGCTTTATTCAACTTAAATTTAAAGCACTCTTAGAATGAATCTAAAATAATATAACACAAGCAAATGTTATTAAACAAGAAAACAAATACGTATCGAATTGCTGATGCTAACAGTAAGCGACTCAATAGTTAAATAAATAAAGATGAAAGAATTAACACACTACATCTACAGCACAGCAATGATTGGAGTCTGATTTAAAACGCCACAGCAATCATCGCTTGACTGCAGCTGTATAAACAAATAGATACATTGAGTTGCATTTCCAAGTTATCACAGCTTAGTAATAAACTTTTTCTATACCTTTGTGGGTAGATTACGGGTATCAAAATTAGCTGCAAATCTTATTAAAATATGCTCTATTGCCATTGGTTTTTGAGTCAAATATATAATGGAAATCGCTCTTCAACTCGTTAAAAAAACTTGCATTTTGTTTTCGGCATTTTGATGATTCAACGACAGCACAGTTGGACAATAGACAATAAGTTTATTTCGTCGTGCAAGAAATCATAACACAAATTCAAAATAGGAAAAATTAATTATGCGTTACAGTAACGGATTTCATTGCAATTAACTGAAAGTCGCGAAGGACCAGAGAGGGTCATCGTAAGTCTGCGACACCAAGATTAAAAAATGAGTTAATAAAAATTGAAATAAATGGAAGCAATAAGCACAAAGAGAAACTTATTCATTCGATAAATAACCAACAAGATTGATATGAATCATCAAATATGATTTGGAAGAGAATGTAGAAAGAAAAGTCGGGGAAAATCAATTGATATACAGTAATTATAAAAATAATTCACCATATATATCATTCAGCTATACTTCTGTACAATTGAAGCGATTAAATTTTTTATCTATTGTCATATGCAACATTAAATCGAGCGATCATTTTATTTGATGAGAAAAATTGAGCAACCTCCATGAACGAATTCTATGGCACAACTTATATATACTCCATGTACAACCAGCAACATGAAACTTTTAAGGAAGAAAATAAAATTTGGCCCAAGGTCGAGGTTAGGCCTTAAGCGCATATATCGAGATCGGAGTGGTAAATTAACGCATGTTTCACACTTCATATCATAACTAAGACATAACAATTTCTCTATCTGAACTAGTGAAGTGAGTTGCAAATCAGGAGTAAATCGGCTGCCTTCGTTAAAAAGAACCTCCGTATGGATATCAAATAAAAAAATATTGTCATACTGCTGAACCGGGACTTTTAGCTCTACCGGCCGAGACGGCAGGACAACTTGCTAAAATCGGGGGTGTCACGACCAAACCGGGACGTATGGTAAGACCAATGACATTAAACAACATGATAGGCAACTCTGACGTCACTCCATAAGACTACAGGCAAAACATTGTATTTCATGATACGCTCCAATGCACATATTTCTCGTCGCCTTTCGCGTCCGTTTTCCGCTCGCTTTTGCTACTCGGCGTCTTTTTTACGTGTAGTACCTGCCTTTTTGCGCTTGTAACAAAACAAAATAATCTCTATATCTAAGAAGTTTTGCTTACTTGGAAAGCTGGAATAACAGGCAAGCTGTAAAGAGCAATTCTGGACATCATAGACGTTTTTTTTTATCAGAGAAGATTACAAACGCGATAGCGGAAAGATTTGTGTGGAACATTTTGCAGATAATGACAAAGTTCAAAGTTAGTAATTTTAATGTTTGCGCTTAATCATTGAAATTTCATTTAAAGAGGGTGTCATACAAAACTGTGCTGCGATACAATTCCATAACACAAAGTTTGCACCTATCGAACTTGCTTTTGTAGGTGAATTTATTAGACATATTACATATTCAGTTAATCGTAGGTAACATTGCTGGTACATAATGCATCGTAGATAGGTTTGTTTAAATTTAGGAATTTAGCTCATAGCCCACTAATTAATATTATCTTCTATGCAGGAGGTTGCAGGGCTGAATTCAACTTGCAGCCTTACCGATCACCTGACGATGCTCATTTAGTTTGGCTCGAGCAAGTCTTCTTGAAATGCTTGTGTGGATGGAAACTACCTATATTTTTTGCCTTCCTCCGATTTTAGACAAATTTATTCTGAGGGATTTCGCATATAATTCTCACTGATTGTTGGCTGTTTATAATTCCTATTGATTGTGAATTCTGATTATAACAATGAGTTGAAAATTTTTTTACCTAATTTACTGGCACCTTTTTCTTGTCAATACTCCAAGCTGAGGTAATAAACATGACAATACATTTATGTCATCTGGAAGCAAAATATGCACACTAATTAATAGTTTGGCACATTGAGATAATACATCATGACAGAAAATACAAGTTAAAGATATGTATGACCATCACATGGTAATTAAAATTAAAAAAAATTAATAGGGGCTGTGGAGTATGGAAAGTTCAAGACAAAGAAAAGAACAAATGTTCATAGCTCATGAACTCTCAATTTTGCCTCCATTGCTTTGTGAAGGCCAATATATTTCGAGTGGCTGAATTGGTTTACCTTTATGATAGCAACGATTTTGTATTTAATATAGCGAGATTATTTCAATTTAATTGAAGTGATATAATTTCCCAAAGCAATGCTTGAATCGTCTTAGAATAGATCAGTGGTGTCAAACTATGGGTTTTCGAGAGCCGCATTGCATTTTGAAAATTGTAAAAAGAGCCGCAAACAGTTTTTGATAATGTATACTTAACATATTTTTAAGATAGTTTTAGTTTGTGACATATATTGTGATGCAACTAAACAGTTGGATTAAGTTTATTATTTCTTCAATTTCAAATGCAATTACATATTAATATTTGCATTCCACTATTATTGCAACATTTGCAAGTTACAGTATTTATTATAAAAATCGTAAATTCTATGTACAACCATCAAAATCATTTTTTGAAACAAGCTTTGAATAAGGAAAGAATAATACATACACTAAAAATAACTTAATCTAAATATATGAACCTAAAATTAACAAAAATACTACAGTATCAACTCAATGTTTTAATAATTACATTTGTCCTGGCGTTTGGCATCTTTTTTTGTGTCACCATGCATACTAAGGCCAGTCTGAAAATGATTTTATAGTACCAACTCTAACTAACGAGGCCACCATGATCATGGGTTTATCTGGATCTTTACGAATGTTTAATTAATTCCAGTAATGCAAAAAAGTTACTTTTATCATTTCATGTATAGATCAGTTAAAAAAACCAAATGACAGATTTTTTCGACAAGAACATTTCGCACTACATGCGTGGCATAGGATTGCTTGAATTATTATGATATTGATTTTTAGTAACTAAGTCGTTGTATAATTATATTAATATACAAACACATGGAAATTTTCTGTTCGAAAGTTGGGTCTTCGAATTTGTCATATTGACTGCTGAGCTTATTGTGTTTTTTGATTGTATTGATGGAAATTATGACAAATAAACAATCGTGCTTCAGAATTTTTGTGAAGAGCAGAAATGTTACAAACTCCCATTTCTTCGAAAATGCCACCTTCTTCATGTACTTTGCGTTTAATTTAATTACTCAAGTGTTTTATTCAAGTATTCTTTTGCTAGCTTGATGTGTATTCTTAATTGGGTCAAAATGTGGACAAAAAAAATCAATATTCCAAAACTACTTTCAGTAAATTGTTCTGTGTGAATAATCAATTTCACTTTAGAAGGTTTTGAAAAATCTATTACATTTAGATAAAAAAAAAACTTCCAAAATATATTACAATTATTGTTAATCGAGGGCCCCACTGGAAGTTCTCTGGGGCCGCGAGTTTGAGATCCCTGGTCTAGATTGAAGTTGTTCAAAAAATATATGATAGTATTTATCATGAATGATGATTATACCCCTTCCGGAATTCTTTCTATAGTACTACCAAAAGTTGATCGAACCAAATATAACACAGGTGCAGTGAGGTACCCGTAAATCCTTCATTTTCCAAAGCTGTTTTTAAGTATTGTCTGGCGTGTTTGTGCCTTTTTACAAATAAGACCGCTTAAGCAATCTTACGCTTTGGAATTTTAGTTATTTTCCTCAGCCCTGCAGGATGTGGGGGCCATACACACTCTACCCGGAGGGTCAAGTGTCTTTGCATGCCCTCCATAGGTTGTTTTTCTATTGCAAATTTCTATTTTCAATTGCATTATATTTTCTTGGAATCACACTGTCACTGATATGTCCGCCAGACTTCTGATATCTCCCCGTTCTGCTATAGTTGTCCTGTGAATAAATAATAGGAAATTTGAGATAGAACGAATAGTTGAAAGTTTGCTTTATGTCGGCTTAATTTCTTGATTGATATACTTACTATTTCTGTTTGCCTCTTGTGCTGCAAGAAGTCTCACAATGCTTAGACAGGTTGTCCACAACTTTCACATCTGAAGAAAGAGAGGAGATTTATTAATTTTCGTTAAGAATAAATAAAGCAGTTCTATATGATTCAGAATGGAAAAGCTAATAAATCCAATATCTCATGTTTTATTTAAAAAATATTTACTGGAATTTGGTATATATAAACCAACTAATAAAAGGGTTTAGTCAGAAAATTACAAGCATTCGTGGCTCCAAATACTTGAGAAATCAGGACTATACAATATAGACCGTATGAGTGAAATGTTAGGTGAACTTGTTAACACTTTGATCTCAATACGCAAATAAAAGTGAAATGCGTAATAGTATGTTACAATGAGCAGCAATCAACAATGAGTATATATCCTCACTGATTAAAAAAAATCTAACTGGAGGTGCCATGAACTATTTTGAAACCATAAGGGGTAAGTAAATATGTAATTTCGGCAAATGGGCAACTACGTACCGTACTGAATTAATAACTTCGTAGTATTTGACAAAGGCTGGCTTTCCCACATGTTAACTTAACAGTGCGATGCCCGGGTGTGATATACAACAATAGTATTCACCTACTTTTTACCGAATTTCTTTTTACCCCAACTTTTCAAAAATATCATTAAAATCGACAACAACTGTCAAAGCAGGCACGAACACCATTCGTGCTACGCCTTGAAAGCAGCACACATCCGCTCGTTTTCGTCTCGTCAAGTATGTGCATTGGAGCGTGCTATCGAATACGATCTTCGGACAAAAATGCCGGAGTTGCGCATCATGTTGTTTAATGTCATTGGTAAGACTAGCACTATATAATTACGGTACTACTGGGCCAATTATGCAAATTGATGTTGTAGTATGATTTTACAGACTTGTTTTCATCGACTCCCATAGAGTGATTATGACGAAATAATTGAGAAGTGACGTGTAGCGCGAATACGCTTGTCACTGGCTTTTTCGTCCGAGACTTCTGTATATTTAGCTGGGTAATTATATCGTGCTGAATTTTACTGTATAATAGAGGCCGTTCGTCCCGCTGATGAATATTTAGTTGAAGTTTATTGTGAGTATATAACATCGGTCTAATTCTGACAACAATGAATCTTGACAATTGACAGTAGCGTGTGGGCCATATTAAACAATTTCCACATTAAACTTATTATGATGCGTCCGCAACTCCAATTTTCGTGATAGCCTAATTACAATTGACAAGTAAACGACATGCAGCTGACTTGCACTATCGCTATTTACTACGCGGCAAACGCCGCACAACAGCCATTGTTACGATATATATTATATAATACATCCGTGCGTAGATAATAATAAATTTTTGTTTTATGCATTAGAAGCGAGGACGTTCGACAGCCACGAAAATTTGTTCGCGGGTCGCATTTAGCCCACAAATCAGCCAACTACTGGGTTACAGGAACTGCTCTGCGAAGGGTCACTGTTTTTTACATATAGGAATTACTGTATATACCGGTATTTATCCCAAAAGAGAGGAACGTCGATAATACGGCTCAGTCATATGGCCAACCACGGCCTTTTGTCCAGATACCATGCTATTTCGTGAATTGGATTGGTCAGCCGGATATTTGTATCATATGCATAGACTTGATGGTGGCGGAACCGGGATCGTCCAGCGGTTACGTGAACCATGCGGGGAGGGGGTTGGGTGGATAATTACGTGCGAGATGACCCCTCGTCGCCCGTTCCGTGCATCACAAACAAATATCTAACTAACTAGTCCCATACTCCACAAGAAGGGTAACTGGAAGGCGCGCCGTAGTTGGCTATATGATTAAGCTGTCTCATCGACTTCGCTCTGCGGGATGATCATGTAAAATACAAATCCTATTTTATTCAAAGCGGCCACCATTCGTCTGAACATACGGAACCATGCGTGCTTTCTGCAATGCTTCAGTTCTCAGCCCAAGTTTCAGTCAACAATATTCATGCTCTAGAAATTGGCAGTTTCACTCTCGAGTAATACTTTCATTTTTAGTTTAAGCCAGCGCAGCACTTCATTTAAGTACAACCGGAGCAGAAACCATAATAATTAGTGACCATATCCAAATAGATCGTTTTTCTCGACTGACTTCTATAAAACTCGACATGAATCCCTTCCAAGGAGAAAAATAATAACATAAAAATAGTCACTTCAATTATCCTTCTCATGTATTTTTTAAAATAGAAATTCTCTATGAAGAATTTACTTTTTTTTTAATTAAATTCAGAATAAACTAATGCTTTACAATAAATGATAAGCACCAAAGATTGGTAAAAGGCACCAACAAATCTTTTAAAGTCATGAAATCCATGTAAAAAAGCAACAAAAAAATGTTCAAAGAAAATGCATGGAACTTTTGAGGCACATAAATTAGGAAAAATAGTCATAAAATATTGCTGACAAGTCGATGATGATTGGATATACAAGCACCATAACCAAGAAGAATTGTTAAAGGAAACACTTGCTATTTTGGAACTGACAAAAATTTTTTGACTTAAACAAAAATTTCGGAATAGAAAAATAAATACTACTCCACTACAGATTTTAATTGAAACAGTGATAAGGTGAATTGGTGCAATGAAATAATACATTATTGAGTGGAAATATTTGGTCACTGAATTTTAGACAAAATTAACTATTGTATAAACATATACGGTCCGCTGATACTTTGAATATAATAAATGGTAATGACATAATATCTGCAAAAATTTTGCCACAGATCTTGTAATCTGCATTATTTTTTTTTCATTATATTTTCCCTTTAGTGGTGCCAGTGCGAGCATTGGACCCATATTTACCATCGGAAGGGTGTTGTTCCAATTTATATGGGCAATACCATCTTAATAACTCTTGTAACTAACATCTTGTATCTGAATTCAATTATATATATGGCTGCCACCCTGCAAACATTGCACATAACCTCTCAAAGTCCGTAGCTTGTTGAATCAATAGATTGATTTGTCCTTCAACACTTAACACAGCACCAGATTCCAAACCACGAAGTTTTTCTTGAACTCTAAGAAGAGCTCTTCCTGCTAATGAACTTCTGTTTACAGCAGTTGTCGTGTTTAAATTATCATTTAGTAATTCTGCCACAGTCGAAGCATTTAGTATTGAACTGGTCATTTCACTTTCTTGATTTCCATGAGCAGTTTTTTGAATCTGCATTGCTTTTCCAGATGTCATCATCCAATCATGAAGAGGATCGTGTAATAGAACTTCCACAATTGTTGAAATAGTTTCAACAGAGTTTCGTAAGACATTCATTGTTCTTTCACAATTTCTCCGAAAAGATCCTTCCACCCCAGATGAGCCAAATCCATCGACCATATCACGAGTAAGACGAAAAGGAACCATTTCTGGCGTTGGTAAACAACGTCCTTGCTCGAAGGCAACACCAAGGTCTATATGAATCACCTCACCAGTTGATTGGTCAATAAGAATGTTCTGAACATGCCTGTCTCCCAATCCCAATATGTATCCAACTACAGATGAGATGTTGCAACACTTCTGCAATAAGCTGTTCTTCTTTCAAACCAATGTAATGGGTCAATGAAATTTCTTAAGAAAAAATGCTGAAAACTGGTTTGAAATTTTTACAAATGTCTCTGAATACCTCTAATTTCTGGTGTATAGGTTTTCCACTAGCAGCCGAAAGTTTCCTTCTGCATTCAAGACTCAGGCTATCATTTGGTCTATACTTATGGTGTGCCCCATAGTCTTTTTGAGATGGCGTACCAATCAAATAAGTTCCGATAGGAATTGTACCTTCACACCATTCCACCAAACCACTTCGTTGTGACAAAGGTATAACTTTGTATGTGCGAAGTTGAAGTTGATTTTTTGTCCTTTTTTCAGTTACGAGTAAGGTGTTGACAACTTTGAAAACCTGCTGCATTACTGCATCTTGACGTAAATCATCTCTTCCTTTGACTAGATGTTTTCGCTCTCTGCCATCAGATCCGATTGCAACCACAATTTTAGGCAAATTTATGCCACCGCACAATGAAAAATATGGCTTGAAACATCTGAGCGAAACAAAATTAGACATCCCCTCATAGTTGCAACTTTTTTCTATAGGTAATTCGACAGTTGGAATTGCTAATGAAGCATACGCATCATTTTTACCTGTTGTGCAATACTTAGAAATGAGTAACGCTTTATCGAAACTAACCGGAACAGATGACATTTTGGACCAACGCGAGGCATCATAATTAGCAAGTTGAATATAAGCATCCGATATATTTGCTAACGATTCTACAAGAACAGGATTCGTTGACTTCACTTGTGAAATAAGTCCCTTGGCAGCGATACTTGTTGAATTTTGAGTTTTCAGTTTCTTTGAGTTAGGCTTAATTACTTCTGAATCCCTGTAAGCATTTGACAATGCCATAATAACTGGCAAAACATGATGCGGGTGATCAATTGCCATTCTGTGTAAAAGATGTTGCAAAGAGCTTTGGAAGTTTGTGTCCGAGGATTCAGCATCTAGTCGAGCAGCAAGTTGATAAGACAGTTGCACAAATTTGTATGTTTTTATTTGCTTGCAAGCGCAATCCATTAGTCCGGGTATAGATTGTATGGTTGTATTTGCGAACCACAGAGAACACACTCTGTACATTAGAATGTCATCACAATCTGAAAGAGACAAACATTTGACATAATTCTCAAGAGCACAAAGCAAAAACCTTTCTTTCTTCTCAATAATATCATTAAACACTTTATGGTCCATTTTGAAATTTTTCTGAAGTAAAATTAGATATTTTTGATTTTGAGGTGCGTTTTTTGATTGTGCCTTCTCCAGCTCCTGTTGTGCTTCTCTTACCAAGTTTCTTTTATGTTCAAACTCATTTGATTTCATATAAGTTATCACCTCAATGTACTGGTTATCAGCGTACTTCGCTAAAGATCTGTAGCCAGAAATACATAAAGATTGAACTTCATTTTTACTGATTGAAAACGATATTTTTCCTTTGCTTATTCGCTCCGCCAAGTCAACAGACTTTTTGAAATAATCTTCCATGATAGTCGAAGGAGGTTCCATCTTAGATGAGTCCAACCATTCACCTCTCAAAAGCAAAATCTGTCCCAACAAATATCCAAGTTCGAACCGCGAGGTTGAGGCACTGTTTGCAATGTTACTCTTGAGTGAATCATATAATTTTTCAGATAATGAAAGAGCTTCAGATTTTTTACACATTTTCCATAATAACATAGCTTCCTCCATCAAAGTTTTATGATATTTGAATGACTTGCCAGGGTCACTTTCAAACTTAATTCGCATGGAAGTTAATTTTTGTAATGCAACTCGCGTACGACCCTCACGAATCATCTCACTGACTTGCCTCATTTGATTTTTCTCATCAAATTCGTGTAGTTGTGCCACCGAAGCATAGTCCCCAAATTTTGATTGAAGAATTGGAGTATAATTACAACGGGTTGATAAAATCAAATTGCTGCAATGTAAAGAACTTTCTAAGATTGAATTATTATTTATAAGGAGTGTATTCCAGTTGCTGAGAGCATCTGTGAAACTGCTTTGTTTTCCACCCATAAGAAGATAGTGTACATCGGCTAATTCTTTCAAGCAGACAAGCTCAGCGAAACAAGATAAAACCTCCTGATCAAGATGAAAAAGTTTGCTCTTGAACGTTGGAATGGAAGCAAGAATGTCTTGCCTCAGTGCATCAATATTAGAAATCGTTAAAGAGTCGAAATCATGCATCAACGATAGACAATTAAAAAACTTTTCTTGAAAACCTTTTTTGTTTAAATCAGAGCTTGCTAATTTGGGAACGTGGTCCCATTGGTTCAGCTTGTATGCCGCTTCATATTGGCGTTCCACTAACCAGTTTCGAGCTTCCACATTTTGAGAGTTTGCTAATTGGGACTGCATTCCAGCTAAATAAGTTGAGCTGACATGATTTAATCCAGAATGTCCAATAGCTGTTAGAATCTTATCATAAGTATTTACTTCAAGCAAACTCTTAGGAATCTGAGAATTGTACGAGTATAAAACCTCCATCCAATTTCTTTCTTCTTCATGAACGTGAATCGTAATGTTTGAATGATTGGTGCAATTTTTTTGTAAACCATACAGGCTATCTAAATCGTTAATAATAGAGAATGCTTTTACTAAAATATTTTCACTTTCAGCTTTTTCTGCAACAGAGCTGGTATTTTTTTCACCAATATCACTAGTTAGATCTATAACCCTTAAATCAGGGTTGGTATTCTGTAGTGTATGTCTTTCTAACCATATTTCAATGAATAGAATTGCTTTGTATGGCTGTCCGCAAACAACGGCTACATTTGCTGCAGTAAGATAGCTCACATCCAACCAAAAATTATTTTCCCATGATGAGGATTTTGATTTCTCAACTCCTGCTCTTCCACTGTGTCTTTTCTGATTGGTTTCAACATCAGAAATACTTTGCGTTCGTAAGAATTGTAGTATATTCAACACAGTCTGCATTGACATACTGTAATCATTTTTTATAAGAGCTTTATCTTTAGGAGAAATCAAAAAAGATTTGCAACATTTTTCCAAGTACTTAGAAAGACACTTCTTCGCTTTCCCTGTTGGGTCATTTACAAGAACATCATGTATAACAGACGGAAGTATTGCGTTGCACATTTGGTCATCAATAGAACACACAGATGTTAAAATGTGAAACATCTTACTTTTGGTAAAGCGGACAAGACCAGATGTTAACTTACAAATCCAATCCTTATAGGTATAATCAAATGTGTAGCATTGAGATAAGAACGTTAACATTCATCCAAATTTCTTTGAGTAAACTCAAGTTGTAAATTTTCTGATAATTCTAGTCTAAATGGCGTTAGTACATCAGCCACAAATGAATCGAAAACTTTTATATACTTCATTTGGTCATTAACATCCTGCAGTTGGAATAATTGATAGAGACAATCAATTGCATCTCTTGCTAATGGATATCGAAAGCTTGTGATTCTCTTTGATAAAATACGAAGAATATCTTGCCTCAATTTTGACTTTGTGTAGTCAGGATCTTTAACCAGCTTTGCTGGGGGATGCTTGGGTAAAAATGAACAGAGTTCTGCTATGCAGTCATATACATTCACAGTGCATGGATATTCGTAAAAAGGCAAATTCAACAACGACTCCATAACTTTTTGTAATTCACAGTATGATACAGAAATTTGAGAGTGAAAAATCCTCATTTCTTTTAGTGTTTTTGCTAAAACACCTAATACACAGTCAAGAATCGGGTTTGGGGTATCTAACATGTCATGATCTTTTAGAATTTCAAAGGAATTGATGACAATATCAATACACATAGCTGCGTTAGAAATATCTGGAGTACCCGATGTGTCAAAGAGCGCTAATAGCTTATTTAAAGTATCCGAATGCAATTTTGAATTTACTGTTAAAAATAAATACTGCAGCTTTTCCTCCAAAGAACTTTTCACTACACCCAAGACGCTGTTGGTATTGTCAGAGTGTATTTCATCAGAAAAAGTATTTAACAACCTCAGTGAACTAATAATTGGCACTGCTATTTCCCATTGATTCAGACAATTTGCTGCAAATCCATTTGGCGTTGTTTTTGTGAATTCAAACAAGAGAATAAATAAATCCGAACACACCACAGAGCCATTGGTGAGGGCGATTCTTCCAACAAGTTCTGGTAATACTTTGAATCTATCACCAAGCTTGTTCATGTATAAACCAACCACGTAGACTAGATCCTTTATAAAATATGATACCAAGTCATCAGGAACATAGGCGGCTTTCAAAACTGCAGCTACAAAACATTGATATACTTTCATCTTTTGAAATAATTCCGAAGGGTACCATGCTGCATCAATATGTTTACGGAAATTAAGTAATATTTGAACGAGCAAACAACCGTCTGATCTACGGACAAAACTTGCTTTTACCAAATCGCCTAACAACTTTTCTTCGCTTGTTTCTTGAAGTTGTTTAGCATTACGAAAGACATAATATTCGAAAATACATTGGATGGCAGACAAAAAGGAATTAGAATCAGCATTTCCTTGTGAATCAATGTCAATTAGCATCAGAATTTCAACAAGAATATGTGCAAAATGATGTTGAACTAAAGCGAAAATAGTTCCATTTGTTTGAAATATATCATCAAAATAAGACAAAACAGTTCTTTCGTCGAAAGTAAATGTATTTTTCTTCATTTTAGTTTCAAAAAATAAGGACAATATTTCAGGTGTACAAGCTTTGACTAATCCACTCAAAGATGGTCTTGATGTTCTATCGCTTGGTGGAACAAATAATTCGACAACAGTTTCTAGTTCTTGAAATGATTTGCTTTTAAGGAAAAGAATGGGAAAAATCAGTTTTCTGCACTCAACACACAGCTGTTGTACATTCTCATAGCCAAAAACAAATGAAGGCAATGAAATAACGGCATTGCATAAGTTAGTTTTATTTGAAGCAACCAGACGCTTGATTATACCAGTCAAATGCCGAGCTTTGTATTCAAACAAATGTTTTTCACGGTTAATTTTGTCTTTATCAATTCGGGAATTTAAAGCTTCCATTGCAAAACTATCAAAGCATGATGTTATAAGGGATTTACAAACCCTTTTCACATATGAAGGAAAGTTTTGTTTGCTACAGAACTGTGCTAGAAGGCATAGAAGATAATGAGAACGCTCCTCTATGTCAGGCATTGAGTGTGGACAAGCGGCAAAAATTAAATGAAGCTGAGATGACAAAATTGATGTAAAACATTCTGCATTTCTTCCATCACTTTCTGATATCTGTTTTTGAAGGTTATTTTCAAAGCTCTCAAATATGTACAATAGAACTTCATTTTGCAAAGTTTCATAAACAATATGATTCTGTGATGATGAAAATAGTGATCTAATGAGGGAGGTGCAGAGGAATTTAACACTGTCATGGGGAGCTGATGTAAATGTCATCAATGCAAAACAACAATCGAAAAAGTTTGTGAAGTCTAATTCACTCAAATCTTCTTTCATTAAACTTCCACTGATGCTGGTAGTAAGTTTATCCAATTGAATTCTCGATACGGAATACAAACATGATGCAATTCCCATTTGCACTGATGGTGAACACTTTCCTTTCAATGATAATTTCCAAAAAATATTCAATATTTTAACCGTTTTTTCAATCACATCGCTTGTATCACTGTGATGACAATTTGACACAACTTTAGCAAGAAGATGAAGAAACTTTGAACACACAAATTGGTCTTTATACCAAGAGCTGAAGACATCATGAAACAAATCCAAAGCTTCAGCAGTTAAATCGGCAGAGCTTACGCAGCCAGAGCTGAATTGATTCAACATAGAATAAACTAGTTTGAGATTTGCAAATTTTTCTAATTGCAAATCATGCACAAGTTCAAGAGCACTTTTTACAAACCCAGAAGAAATTTGGACTTTTTGCACTTTGCACAATAACAACATAGCAGAACAATACAAGGTTTTGCAATCACAAAATGCATACAATGATTGCGTTTTGTCACAACTGCAATGAACATTATCATCATCATATTTTGATCGTTTGATTTGTTTAGAAATGGGTTGTGTATCTCCGCTAGCCGTACCATATCTCCTTCGTTTATAACCTGAACTTTGACCCGTGCTTGACTTTGATAAACTAAATTGAGTCAGGTCAAAGTCGTCACCCATGGTATCCAATGATGATAATGATCTGCCTTTTAAGTTTGATGAACCAGTCTCAGTTTGTCCTAATTTTAAAATTGACAGAGCAATTTCACAAATACTATGTAAACCGGACACGATTTCACTGTCAGTACTATCGAATGGCAAGGCCTGTAATATTGCAACAACTTTTTCAAATTCATGAAAAATCATCATCATTAAATCAGAATTACTTTGCAATGCTGGCCATTTATTCAAACAACACAATGTTGTTTTGATCATATCTGTAACATGTGCAATCCACGCATCAGAAATTTGTTGAGTATTCTGTTCAAAACCTTTGACTACTGAAATTTCCTTCAGTAAATTCCCAGCGATATTGGCTATAGTGAAAAATGCTTTTAACAAGCTATATAAATCATTTGGATTGTCTTCATTTGGAAGGTCAGCAGCCCGGGATGAAATAACATACAAATCTGTTTTCAGGATGTGAAATACAAACTCAATCACATGTTTATGCAATGATCTATTAGCTGGCCCTTGAGATGGATCAACTTCTTTTGCATTTCTAGTATCATCAGAAAAATATTTGTATACCGTAACAAATTCAGAATTATGAAACTTAACAAAAGAATCATTAACTATATCAGAGGAGATTGAATCCACATACTTGATTACATGACATCCATTACAGATTATACTTTTTTGACAAAGGCCCAATAATAGTTGGGCTACTTCAGTGGTGTCAATTTTATCTGTTTCCGATTTGCATGTAACTATGTTTAAAGTGGGCATTAATTTCGGAGAATCTTGAAGAGGCGTCTGACTGTAATTTTCAGATTTTGTAAAACTTTGTTGACGAGAAGAACTGTCAGAATCTTCTTCTTTATATCCCAAAATCCAAAGTAATAATAATACGCAAAGTGGGTCGCATTGTGACATCACACGGTAAGGTTCACAGTTCATAAAAGTGGGATTGACAGTCAACGTTTGCAAGAGTGTGCAGAAGAAATTATTATCATCCTGGGTAGAATTAAGACCATAGGTATCAATAAAAGCTTTGACAAATTTCAAACTATGATCATTTGGTTCAATGTGTAAGTATATAGAAGACCAAAGGCTTTGTGTGTTCTTTACACATCTTGTTGCAATGAAAAAATTTGCTTTACATTTTCCATCTAATCGTACAAGAGTTGTGAGAAGATCTAGAACAGTGTTATTGATTACTGATTTTGTTGCTTGTGATAAAAAGGTGGTGGCGACATTCCAACAATCTTTCCATATAATGGCTAACTCAGAATCAAAGGATTTTAAGACCTTTGGAATGTGACATGATACAGTCTTGAATACAATACTCAAACACTTTAAACAATAAATTCCAATATTGTTGAGATTTACTTTTGTAATGAGATGCTGGAATTGAGCAGCAATTTTTAAAGCAACAGTGACATTCAAGAACTCCTCGTTTCCTTGCAGTAGATAGGAAAGAATTTCCATCCAATACTGTTCAGCATTTGTTACCTTTTTGTCTTTATCAAACGAGAATATTATTGAAAATGAACTTTTATCATCAAAATTGATCTTGTTCAACAGAAGGTCACCAACTTGATTGGGTGTTGATTTTTGACCTTTGAATTTTTGATTCAAATGAAGGTCGAACAGGACAGAACATGCTGACGCAGCAAGTTGAATACATCCCTTGTTAAATACCACAGTTCTATCCGTTTTCAATCTATATGAAAGAGAACATGATTGTTTTGAAAGTTGCATTTCTGTTGCTAATAAAATAGAAAACAGCTGTGTGTGCCATGTCGCATAATCTTTCGCGTATGCACAAGAAGAAGGGTCTATGCTTCTCCTAGGATGATGCAACGTAATCTGTCGAGAACAAAATTCAATCACTTGACCTAATGTGGACTCTGGTAAAAGATTTCCGATCCATATACATATAATAGTATCGATGCAATCTTCGCCAAGTTGGCAACACGATATTCGGTAAGAAACTGCATACCATTTTATATATAAATTCACAGCTGTAAGGACATTCTCCCATATTGTAGGTGTTTTTACATTAGTTAAACCTTTTATCACATCAACAAAAATTGATTGTAGATTGTGATAACTACTAGGGACTGATTGAAGAACTAAAGCATGTGTTAAAGATCGTAACAAAACAGATGACGCAAACTTCGCTTCATTTCCTTCTTGCATCAGCTCGAGCATGCAAATCTTGAAAAGGTTGTCATAAACTTCTTTCGTTAAATCACAGATGTATTTTTTTTCAGCCAGAATTTCTTTATCTATTAAAGTTAATATCATCACACCGTAATTTAATCGAAACAAATTTGAATGTAAACAATTGATAAGAAAATTTAAAAGACCTGTTACTTTAATTCGAACCAAGTCAACATTTGCAATTTGTAGAATTCTTTTTGTTAAGACAAGTACATCTTGCACTTTTTTAATTTTATTGTTTCTTGTCGAAAGAGCCCAAGATTCATATTGTTTGGACAATGTCCCAGATTCTTTTTCCAAATAATTATAAACAGTTTTGAATACTTGGTTCCAATTCCATCCTTTTTTTAAATCTGTTGATTCATTCAATCTGCTCACAAGTTCTGAATCTTCAATAAAAAGTTTAATCCCATTCAAACCTTTGTTTTGATCAGTTATTTTCGATGAATCCAGTAGAGAGCAATTATTGAAGAGTTCAGTCAACTTTCCACTCATATTTATGTATTTTCACATGATACTGATACATATGTCTGTATGTAAATAACTGCAAATTCACAATTTAAAAAACAATAAAATAACTTAAATAAGTGAATGTGAAACAATGAAAAGTGCAATATTTAAATATTCATAATACTGTAAGTACACAAGTATGTAAGATTAACTGTGAAGCGATACGTTGAATGTCTGAACTCCCTAGTATTAAAATTCCCTTTGTAATATTAATTTCTTACAGGTCTCAGAGTTTACTCAAAATAACTCATCCTGTCATCGGTACTGAAGAATATTGCAATAATATACGCTACATACAGACATATCAAAATTTAAAAACTGAGCTCACGGTACTGGGTTTGTGGAATATCCGAGTCATCCGACTATGTAACTTTACTCGTATCACCGGTACAGTATTGAATAAGTTCATTTGAGAGAGAGTTTATTTCATTTTGTCAAACCAAGAAAACAATTTATGCACACATGAACAAATATCAAAAAAATAGTTTTCGATATATGACTGGGGGCAACGATACAACCTTTGGGGGTCATCAGGGTCAGTTGCCACCCAATTATATTAAATAAGCATAAAAATAACAGGTTCGTGTCAATATATCAATGTCTCTCACGATTTATACTATGTACAATATTTACATGAATTTACTATTTTCAATTATGGAAGCATTCTTTTAAATAATGGGATTTTGCACAAATTGAAATTATATTGCAAAATATAAAATGATCGAAACGAAAAAGAAGTGGGAAAGAAGGTCAGACAAGCTACTCCTTATTTGGGTAACTTGTTTTATTGAATGAATTTAAGTTAAACATATCAAGTGTGATTTTGAACAAGCAAATATGGGTAGAGTTCTATTCTACACACACTAGTGCAATGTAATAAGAAGCATGGGTTGAGCGGTCTTACTACTTACTGAATACAGCGCGAAACACCGCAAAGAGCGCAAAACAGAGGGAAACAGCGCAAAACAGTGTGGAAACAGCGCAAAACAGAGGGAAACAGTGTGAAGCAGAAAAAAATTTTGCAATGAGTTCGGGGCACCTTGTTTTGAGTTGGAGTACCACGGCAGCAAATTAAAAACACAAAGCAGCCTCTGCTGGTGACACATTTTGGGTACCATAATTTAGAACATTTTCCATATGGATATGGTTGGCGTTAGGGTTAGGTAAAAAGGAACCTCCAGAAGTATGTGCACCAAGATGGCGCACAACCTGAAAATAGTATGTGTGTGTGTGTAGCGGATTCAGGTTGTGCGACATATTGCTGCACATACGTCTGGAGCACCAAAAAGGTAGATAAAATTTCGCATGATGACCTATAATCCGGTACATAACCTTGTAAATATGCCGGAAATAGCGCCATAAAACCATGGCGAGAGGCGCCGTGGTTCTTTCGTGGCAGGAGGTGGTAATGACTGCGTCTCCTGTTTTGCGCTGTTTCCCTCTGTTTTGCGCTGGTTTCCTTCTGTTTCGCGCTGTTTTCCTCTCTTTTGCGCTGTTTCGCGCTATTTTGCGCTGTTTCACGCTCTTTTGCGCTGTTTTTCGCTCTTTGCGGTGTTTCGCGCTGTATTCAGTAAGTAGTAAGACCCTGGGTTGAGTCATCAAAACAAATTAGAATTTGGTTTAAACAACAAAAAAATGCATTCCAAAAATGCAATACATGCAAATGCTATTTGCAAATGTAGAAAGTCAGGAAATGTCAGAATGTTAATAGTAGAAAATAATACAACCTTGCACATGTGAATTTATCAATGACAGCAATATTTATCGATACTGCTTAATACAGTAATACCGGTACCGGTCAGCCGGGTACCGCAATATTCCAGAATACGGCACCGATACCGTACTCTCTCTTTATCATATAAACATATAAATAGAGAGAGAAGGCTTAATTTGTTTCGTCCGCCAGAAAACAAAAACCAGCACCGGTACCGTACACAGAAAACAAATACCGGTACGTACCGGTACGGTACACAACAAAATGCTGAAATATAACGTTAAGTTAATTGAAAGCAAAGCTAATAACAATATTCTTGTTTGAGATTTCTACTCTAGTACGGTAACGTACCGTACAGTACGGTAACTTAGCTTAGTTTTATTCCCATTTCCACAGGAATAATCAAACTCATGCTTGGATTCCAATTATTCTTGAATGGCAGAGTATGGTGTTTTGGAAAATTTCAATTCCAGTTTTTTGTTTATTACATGCCAAATTCGTAGTCACATAGATCGTCAAACATTCGCTAAATTATTTTCAAAAATTGAAATATTTCAAACTAAACTTATATATAATGCGTATTTTTATCAAAATTAGTATATTTTTCTGTTATTTGAAATATTTATGTTATATTTAACGTAATACAAGCAATTTCATTGTATCCAAATCTTTCATAATCTGGCAACTCTCTCGTCAGGAATTTGCCGCCTATTTTCTCGCATATTTCTCTCTGCATTCCTCTTGCTTGGCATTTTCTTGTTATTGTGTTGAAGTTACTGTAAAGGCAATTGTGCTAGAATAGATTTTACATGTCAGCGTGTGTATAACATGGATACCAAATACAAACATTTTGAAACTAATATATATTAATTTTTTATTTTTATAACTAAAACTAATAAATAAATGTTTATACTGACAATCATCATCTGATGTTGGATACATGGATGGAATAATATCATACTGTAATAGACTACAGTAGTAAGATACAGATAACAGTTATACCAGTATGGAAAATGGAATAGATTCAAATAGACTACAACTCTTCTAGACTTCTCTGCTTCTACTATTGTACGGTAATGTTTCTGTATAAAGTTCTGAAGTTACTTATCAATATTCATTTATTATTTTATTTATGTTACCTTAATTTTACAGCTTTCAGAGATGCATAAGCTACTTTAAAAATTGCTAAATTTATGCATCGGAATGAAAATGGCCTTCTCCCCCCTGCTTTCAAGAACTATTTTACTCATCTAAAAGATCCAAAAAAATTAGATCCTATTTGCTATTTTACACAGCAGGTTTCCACTGATGTTGGGAAGCGATCATTATAATATAATGGCGTACAGGTTTGGGGTGATGTCCCATCTGAAATAAAAAATGTGTCTCCATCTCTTTTTACTAAGAAAATGAAAAAGCTTTTGCTAACAATGTATTCAGATTAGTTAACCTTTTTTTTTTTCTGAATCAGTCAATACTGCAATAATGTATTTCCTATATTTCCCCAAGATTAGTGTATACTGTTTAATAATTGCCCTATCTTAATATTAGTATAACATGGTGCAAATTTTTTTCATTATTGTGTCTGTGCTATTCTGTTTATTTATATTTTATAATGAGCCCGACTTTGTTATGTCGATCTGTAATGTACTAGATCACAATGTAGCTCTGGTATATATATTATATATATTTTACACATGACCTCTACACTCTATTACAATGTGCTTTTAGTGTTGAATCATGGAACTAAAATATCTGCTGACTCATTCCCCGACTTTTTTATATTTATATTGTAGCAATCAATTCCAACTTTTCGGTTTCGGTAACAGTGATAAATTGGCCAGGAGCCTCGAGGATCTTCAATGGTCCTGCATACTGGCCAACACAAAACCATTTCTAAATTGGATTACTTCAATAAAAATTATTAATATTATTTAATATTGTTTTTTCATTGTTTGTGGAAATAAATCTCTCTCTCTCTCTTTCTAATTAATGATTAATCCACATTCAGACATTGCTGCATTGTGGAACTATGAAATAAAAAAAGAAACAAATAACAAAATGATGATCCCTACCGCGGCTGACTAAAATCCCCCGAAAAATTATATTTTATGTGTTTATGATGTTCTATTTATTTTGTTAATTTGAATATGTAATTGTACCCGGAGTGAATGTTTCGTCATTTATTTTAAGATTTATTCAAATCATAAAATTCGGATCTAAGGCCAGCCTAATTTTTTTTCGCAAACATTGGAAATTTCTCAAAAAACCTTGCCAATTATTCATGTATTATCCAAACAGCGGAAATAAATATTCTCAAACCATAAATGTTACTTGGCGGCTCAATTTTCAGTATCTAATTCACAATTTTTTCTAAGCCTGATTTTTTGTCAGCTCGGAATTAAAAAAAAAATTTGACATTCTGATGTCACAGCTACGGTTGCGAATAAAATTTGATAAAGATTTGAAATTGACAAAAATTTTAAATTTTTATACACCAAGATTTAATTTTTTCTGGTCGTCTTACTTACCATTAATTGTCCGCAAATGTCTGATTCGGATAAACCCTTATATTTCATGTATTTTCTGATTTCATTGTAGTTTCATAGTTTTAAATATTTATACCATCATAAAAGCATATATTTAAAATGACAAATGAAGAGGAGAAAGATGCATTGTTTAAAAATGTTCGGTTTTATATCATTGGAAAATTGGATGAAAAGGTTAGAATTGTTTTTTCTTGTTTTGGGCAATGTCTCAAACTTTTATCATGAGGTTTATATTTTCAGTATTTATTCCAGGTATATTAAGAAGTCAACTATTTGTTGGGTCATTTCTCTGGGCTCTAAACACTGCTGCAAATAAAATTTAATATACATTCACAGATTAAATATTACACAACCTTATTGATGCATTTTTCTCCCGTTAAAATAGAACTTAAATATTTATCCCGGGGCAGAGAAAAGCCGAAAAGGCAGCTTAATCATATGGCGAACAACAGCCTCACATCGGGTTACAAGTCCATTTCGGGTATGAAATTAGTTATCAGTCACTTGTTTTCAGAAGCATTGAATTGGAAGAAAGCTTTAATTGACTAGAGGTTACGTGAACCACCCTACGGCAGAGAGGAGTCCAGCAATCACACATAACTATCTCCTGATGCCATTCAAACTTGCGAACTAACGCAGTGTAATCAGAAGTGCAGTGGCGAGTGTATTGATATCACTTACATGATGCGCTACATCGCCGAGCCAATATTTCATTGAATGATGCTGATCTAAGCAAGCGTATAGTTTCATAATATTTCTGGGACCTCCTGAAGTATGCGCACCAATTCCGTTTCAATACCTTATATCCATCGAGTGTACTTTTAGACATAATATAATTTTTTTTGTTTTTCAGTTTGAGAAATTACTCATTGATGGAAAAGCAAAGCAAGAAAGTTATTTGTCTGGTCTTGCAACCCATGCTATTGTTTCTGACTTCAGTAATCTGGAAGTGGAGGAAGCAAGGGATGTTTGGCAGATTCCTGCTGTTACTGTAATTATATGTTTCACTTGTTTCAAAGTGTCCGGCTTATTTTGTCTGATATCTTTCTCCCGACTTAAAAACAAGTTAAAAAACAACCGTTTTTAATGTAACTAAATGTAGTGATTAGCATGTAAATGCAAAAAGTGATTAATTATATCCTGACGTCATAATCGAAAAAAGCTTCTAGATTTTATGCCATTGTCCTGGATTAAATCATTTTCATTTCTAATCATTGTGCTTCATTTGGGTGAAGACGGGCAGTAATCTAGGATGTTTTACACAAAGTTAGGACGTCCCTAGAATATGTTTTGGGGGGGTTATCCTGTTTATATTGTACGAACAGCAGTATAATTTCCTTCACTGCTACTAAGATGCATTATACATGTGTAGCGCGTAGGACACCTTCGCACTATAGATATGAATTCATCAACCTCGTAAACAACAGATAAAATTTATTAAAGCAGTTTACTTTTAGATGTTAATAAGTTTTATATTTTTTCTGAATTTTCTGACCTATTTTTATTTCAGGCCAAATGGATTGAATTAAGCTTCAAATGTCAAAAATTGTTGCCGTATCCTTTTTAATAAAATAATTATAATTCAAAAATTGAAAAATGAATATTAGGTCAGAATTATTATTTGGTGTTCATAAACTAAATTTTGGAAGTAAAGTAATAGATTCGGCGTTGGTTACTATATTTGTACCAAGAGAAAGTGTCAGGTACTCATCTCATGTGGTTAGTTTTTTTTTTTTTCAGTGTCTACTGTCTGCTCATTTTAAAGAGCACCCCATCACAGGATTGTGTTTAGGGGGAGAGGTAAATGGGTTTTGATAACGTCCCATTACAATTTCAATTTTGTTATAAAGTCAGTTTTCAATATATCCTAACCAGGTTTGTTTTATTTGAATCAGTGTTTATTCGAGTTTTTTTTTTACTTTTTTTTAATACGCATGTAGGGACGAACAAACTATATATAGTACTGATAAATTCCTTTTGCGATTTAAAAACATTATTTAGACGTTATATACACTGTCTGTTTATAAACAAATATCGTTCTTAACTTTATGACGACATCAGAATGGAACCGTTTACTCCTTCAAACTCACAACTCTTTTCTGGATTAGTTATATGCCCTTCCCAATTGAATAAAAAGGATATAAATCTGCTGTGGGCACTCGTTACATTTTATGGAGGTTCTTGTCAACTGATGTTGAATAAAACATGCACACATTTGGTTGTTTCACAGCCCAAAGGGGTAAGATATGCGATTTTTTCTTATTTGGAGTTTGTCAAAGATATGTCACATTAAAGCTTGTATTGTATAGAAGCTCAAAACATTTCAAAATGAAATATAAAATAATTTTTTTCTTCCTTTTTTTATCGAGAATTTCCTGTTCAAATATAGCCAGTTTGGAGAAATATTTTTTTCGCTCAAGTCGTGACATGAGGATATTTCTAATTTGAATGTACCTAATTTGGATTTTGACTCCGAGTGAGTGCACAGGGCCTTGCTTGAAGCAATTTCCTTTAAAAAAATAAATTCCCTCGTCATTGAAAAAAATCAAAGAATTTTCATTTCTACTTTTTATTTAACAATCAGGCTAAATATGAAGAAGCTTTGAAGCACCCAGAGGTGGTCACACCTGTAACTTTGGATTGGATTTTAGACTCAGTGAAAGACAAAAAACTTTCAGATGTGAAAGAATATCATCCGTCTCTTGTTATTCTACCTCAAGAAAAACCAGGTAAATGATCGGCCTAGTGGATAAAGCGTTGAATCTAACTATGTTGGTATTTCAGGTTACACATCTCAGGTTCAAATCTCATGCCCACTATCTCGCCCAGAAATGAATTAAGATTCCTTTCAGATAGTTGCTTCTCACAATGCTTGCAATCTTCTAAATGCTTGAAAATACGAATTTAAAAATTCTAATCAATTTGAAAACTAGTATTTTATTTTAGAAATTACAGTCACAGAAACTTCCATCCCAGAAACACAAGACTCTGAAACAAATGTCATTTCATCAAGTTTGCAAAATCTTGCAGTTTCGAAAGGTTAGTTGTATTTATGTGTTTGGGTCACGGCGTATAATACTGTGCTTTTAGTATATATTCACATTCAAAGCTTGAATTGTAAAAATTCTCATATTATCTTGGCTTTCTTTCTAACAAAAGTTAGGGTGAAGATTCATGATATATATAATGGGGTACGATGGCCTAGCGCAGGGGTGTGCAAGGTTCTTGGACCACGAGCCAAAAATTTTGCATACCTAGACAAATTCCTTAAGCTATTTTTTAGCTAAAACATCAAAATTTGGTTTTACTTTGGTTGTGGCAGCAGCAGGCGGGCCAGATTGAATCATCCATCAGGCCAGATTTGGCCCGTGGGCCGTACTTTGCCATCATGACTAGCGGCTAAAGCACACATCTCGTGTTCAAATCCCATTCCCACCAGCTCACCCAGGGTGCCGGTCTTCTAAAAATAGCTCCTGACATGTCAATACCCGCTTGTACAGTGCTTTGTTCATAGCATACGGCGTGGAATAAGCTAAACTAATTGAATAAATAATTGGTGATCATCTCTCGGACTGGGATTGCATTTATCTACATGGATTGAAATAAATATTCACTTTTGTTTATCAGCATCAGAACAAGTGAAAACAGACGTTCCTCAAACAACATCTATTTCAAGTATAAACAATGAAGTAAGTTGAAGTGTTTTTTGAATGCTATTTTTTTTTTTTGGGCAAGTTTTATGTTACAAATAATTCATTGAAATAGTACTCAGTTTAACATGCTTCATTCCTACGAGGTTTGTGAAGTCTAGAAATATTATACTAGACTGATGACGCCAAACCCAGTGTGAAGAAAATTTTCACTCCAACTTTATAATTAAAAACCAAACATTGATAAAAAAAAATTTGGCGTATGCAAGCCATCTTAAATTGAGATACTGAAACGGTTCAGCTAACTAAATGCTTTTGTAGTTTTCGTTGGAAATTTAGCTTTATTATTATTAACATCATCTAGAATTTCGACTCAAAGCTCCCAAGGTAATGAAAAATACTGTTCTGGTCTCAATAAAAACGTTGCAGCTATTCAAGCTAGATTATATCACTATTAAAACAAAATGTAATATTACCAATGTAAATTCAACCTATGCTTTTACTACTGCAGTGAAAGCTACCTCCTATCTGGTACCTATTTTCTTAGAAAAATTATCTTATTTCAGATTACTTCGGCAATAATACATCCTAGCCAAGTTGTCCCACCAACATTCTCACAGTCCCAACCTCAGCTGTCTCAACCAGGGATGCAGACTGGACCAAGTGGTGGTCACTTAATCAGCTCTGCACCACACATGGTCTCTATACCTCCGGATAAATTTTATCCAACTGGACAAACTATTATATCACAGCCTGCTGGTCAGCAGCTAATAATGACCGGGCAGAACATGGGTCAACCACAATTAATGACAATGCAACAACCATTTCAAATGCAAAGACAAATTTCACCAGGAGGAACTGCAAGGTAATTCATCGTAATATGCTTCCATAATTTAGAAGAACTCGAAAATTTACTTTTACTATAATGATGATTGATGAAAATTTATATAAAACCTCAACTTCTTTTTGTGTATTAATTGTTCTTTCCAAGTTTCAGGAATCTAGGACGCTTTTCACATAAGTTATGTTCTCTCTAGAATATTTTACAAATGACCTGGATTCTGTTTTTTGATGGTCGTTTGTATTTACATACAGAAAATTATACTCTGAAATGGGTACTCCCGTAGTGTGTGTACCAGGTTAGGGTTAGGACATAATTTTATACCGATTTTCCTTGTTTTAAGTAGGCGAACAAAATTAGTTACCTCCATATTGGTGCGCACACTTCTGGAGCGCCCCGAAATGAGTGTCGATCAAGTTACTTGATAACAAAAATAATATTTTATTCTTAAACCAGGAATTCTGTTTGAATTGAGTAATTGACAAACCTCATGTACTAGACTGATTTTACCATAAACACTAATGTAAACCACATGCAGTAAGCGCAACACTGTGTGCCCTGCTTGAACTTGCCGGTTCGAATTGTTTGTAATAAGATTGCTGGACTACTAAGCGATAGGTTATAAATTCTTCCACCTTTATTATCAAGTCCATGCATCTCTTACGCTTATTGAATTGCTAACTAATCCCATACCCGACATGGACTTCGACGTATGGTCTAGCAGTCGCATCTAGTTTTCTCTCCGCCAGGATAAATCTGAAAATCTTATCCTGTAACTGAAAATGTATGAAAATATTGAAATACTGAGAACTACTTTCTATTATACTGTACGATATTTCTCAAATTTTTTCTGATGAAATAATTCAACAAATTTTTTTTATTAGGTTTTCGGTTCCGAACATGCAGCAGAGATTTACAAGTCCAAATCAAATTAGTAACGGACCGAGACAGCCTTCTCCGAGCCCGAAAAAAGCACCAAAAAGACGAAGAAGCTCGACTAAATCTAAAGCTAACGCAAGTGCAGCTGGTAAGTTCTGGAAGAGGAAATGTAATAGAGTAGATAGATAGTCGTTGTTGTTCAATAAATTTAGTTCTGTTAGGATTTGGGTAACTTTTATTTTAAGTGGAGAAAGCTGACAAGGCAGTTTAATGACATTCAGGGATGTCCAAATATATCAATCAAATATTTAATTAAATTCGGAATCAAATATAGTCGATACCTTGAATTGTTGAATTTGGAATAATTTGAAATAGTTTCACTTTTATCAGTAAAAGTTATCATTTTGAATGACTGTAGTCTCACAGTATTACTAAGAATTTTTTTTTTTTTCAATTTCTGAAATCTGTAATAAATATAATAAAACTAATCAAGTCATTGTTTATCTTAAATTTTTGAACTTTTTAATTAATGACCCAATTCAGAATATTCGATATTTCGTATTCAAATATTATTTTACAATTTATACATATAAGTAGATTATTTAATTTTGGCCATCCCTGGACTGGCACGATGTCATGCCTTTTGATGTGATTACAAAGCCAATTTCATGTAGTAGCGCAAGATTTATCAAACTGGGTAAATCTTGAGATCTCTTAATTTAAGTTGACTTCATTCTTTATATCTTCAGCAACTTCTGTTCCTCCATCTCCAAGTCATGTGACTCCAATGTCTATGATGTCACAACAATTATTACAACAGCAAAATCAAATGCAATTGCTTCATCAACATAGAATAATGCAGGGACAAAATGCTGGTATGAAATCTTATCGTCGAATCTTATCTACGAATATTCTTCTTAATTTATGTTGGATTAAGTAAAATCAAATCTGATTTAAGTTATTTAAAAAAAATTTTACACAAGCTAAACCATTTAGCCAGTTGTTCCTAACCTTTTCCGATATAAACCTGAAAACAGGTGACATTTAAGTATTGTTTCTCTTGTTTTGTAATAAACCTGATTTCGTCCATAAAAATTACATATATTTTGATATTTGAGATATTTTTTATCGCATTTGTTTCTCAAAGCAAATTTCATTTTTTTTCAGGTGCTGTTAAGCCCAATTTTTTACAGCAACAACAACAAATATATCAACAACAACATTTTGCCAACATGCAACAACAAGGTAAACCACCCGGTACTCCCGCTTCACCACAAAAACAAGGGCAACAAAATATAATGGGAGATCAAAGTGGAATGCGACCTGGATTTCCCGGTAACTTCGCCGGAAACGTAATGCGCATGCAACAAACTCGACCGATGCAGGTTCAAACCCCGCTATCTCCACAACAAATGATGGCGATGGGGTTTAACCCCCAACACATGCAAATACAGCAACAGGGAATTAAAATGTCGATGGCGGGTCCCCAAATGCCCCAGCAACAACAACATCAGTTCGTACAATCGCAAGGCGTCGTCATTCCAATGTCTATACAAATGCAAAACCAGCAATCACAGCCGATGAACGCAGGTAAGCTCCAACCCCAGAGAATGCAGATTTCACCCCAACCCCAGGGAATGTTCATTCACCAGCAACTTCCAAATAAAGATGGGGTTTCGCCTCGTCCGCCGTTGCAACAACATTCCCCCGTCAAACAGCTTCCTGGCGGAGTTCAGCAGCAACCTTTGACCCCACAACAACAACGACAACAACAACAAATGATGATGCAACAAATGGTTCACCAACAACAATTACAAATGCAACAGCAACAACAAATTTTACAACAATCGCCGGGGAATTTACAGCAACCACAGCAAAAACACGCAACTCCTCCTGCCTCTCATGTATGCTTTTTCTGTTCTATTACCGTTGTGCAAATGGAGGTGTAATACACTAGTGCAGGAATGTAGAACCACTAATGTTCCTCGGTTACCTGCCAACTCGCAGAGTATCGCAAAAGAACTTAGTGATTTTTTAGTGACAAAATTATTATTAAAATATGTCGCCACTTTTATAAAAGCTTCGAAGTGTCTCGTCCCATATATATGAAATGAATCAGACTCGGCATGAATTATCCGTCAGTTAGATTTAGCTCCTTGACTGACTCGACTTGATACTCTGACTGATTGAACCATTGAATCAACTTGACCTGTAAAACCAGATTGTTCTAATAATTTTTGGACACAATTGATACAGATGAATAGTTGTTTGTGATATAGAATTCTTGTTTTTAATATGAGACATATAATTACTATTTTACTCCCGAAATAAGAAATTTAACAGAACAAAAGCAGTAAGCAGTTATTCTCAATATATAAATGAACTGACGGCCCTTTTCTATTTAGGTCTTTCAACATAAAATCTTGGATTCATTTTTTCTAGGCGCCAATCAATGTTGGCATTGGAGTTATTTCACCAACTGCATTACAGCAAGGTTTAATGATGGCACAAGCTCAACAAAATCAAGGTTTCCAACCTCCTCTCATTCACCCTAGTCTACAAACACCCCAAGATTATGGAAAAGGTAAATTCCCTCGTTCCCTTGATTGACAAGTTCCTCTGGTGTAAAACACAGCTATGTCCAAAGTGAATCTACTGGTTATCCCACAAATAAAGAGAACCCATAAATTTCTTATTTACTTCTACATGAATGAAGGAAATTTGTTTAATTAACTCTTGAACTTCGGTTCGAGTATGATTATACCCTAAAGTTTCAGTAATCTAAGATGCTCTGCACAAAAATTATGTTCTTTTTAGAATATGTTCCAAATGATCTGGGTTCTGTTTTGTGTACTGTAATTTACAGACGATAAGACACATATTAAATAGGATGTCCTAAAGGACTCGAATATTCTAATTCATTATATCTTATCAATTTAGGAATAATTAGAACATTGTTATCCAAAAATTAGAGATTTGGAAAGATCATATCTAAACTAGTGACAAACAACAAAGCGAAAAAACATGACCTTTATATTTATGTTGTTTTAAATAGATATAATTAGCATGATGATGCAGTGATTTATGCAATTTTCTCTATATTTATTTTTCAAAAATATTTTTTCAGAATGTATTCGGAATAGTGGAATACTTGTTTTTGGCCATCCCTGACTTTAATTTCTTTTTTTCTCAAAAATCGATTCAGCGCACAATGTATGGGTCAGGTAGTGCTTTATGGCCTACACGCCAAACCAGTACCAGTATTGCTTTAAAAACATTTGCATCTTATAGTCCGGATGCGGGTGTGAATAAGAACCCAATCTAAGCAATTTATTGATAGTGTGCCTCATGGTCCATAAAATACGATAGGCTGAAAATTTGTAGTCTTTGTTCGTTTTGCTAAAATACTAGAATAACATTTTCTTTCATTTTCAGTGACTCAACAAAGTGGCAGTGCAAAATCAAGACGCTCTAAATCTCGCAAACCTAAAGATGGTGATGAAAATAATGATGCAAAACCTAAACCAAAACCGAGGAGTCGACCTAAGGTAACAGTAAATCTATTGGCAAGATAGTGCATTTGCTTAATTGTGTTGAGGTTGCAGATTGGTTGGACCCCTTGGATTTAAACTCTTATTGATTAATTGAATTACTGTACGTATGTTTCCTTGACCCCACAGCTTTACTTTGACATTGTATCACTCGAGAATATCATCTGAATATTGTCCTAAAGGAAACAATACTGTAGTACTAGTCTAACACCAAACAATTAAATTTTATTCAATTCAATTTCTTTGGGCGGCGCAAGGACTTAGTGTTTAAAGCAGGGGTGTGCAACATTTTTTGTCGGCGGGCCATAAAACCAACCAAAAAAATTTAGCTGGAAAGGCTAGAGAAGAGAATGCGGCTATCGCTTAGCCTTACAGTGATAAAAACACAGGGTAAACGGCGAAAGATTTAACGCAAAAACAGTTGCAAAAATACATTATGTATTTTCCCCATGTGAGCGCTTTTTCAAACAAACTGTCGGATCAGGATTTTATACTTGATAGAGGAAAGTCTGTTGGCAAGGGCCCACTAAATGGCTAGGCGGGCCTGGTTGTGGCCCGCAGGCCGACTGTTGAACACCCCTGGTTTAAGGCATTAAACTTAACGGTGTTGGCTTCGCAGATTACATGTCTTTATTCAAAACTCATGCCCCCCACCTCACCCAAGGGGTAATAAATTTGGTGGACGATGCCAAACCTGTAAGACTAGTCTTTTTTCAAATAAAAGTAGTTCCTTACATATCAACAGATAGCAGTCCGAGACATGAATAAACAAACAGTCATGCTGTCGAATTGATTCTTCAACATATCGTAATCTTTAGTTGAATGTTTTGAATTAGAAACCATCTCAAAGTCCTGCATCTTCCAATACTTCATCACCAGGATCAAAAAAACAGAATTCACAAACTATCATTGGTGGACGGAACGAGTTTTCTGCAATGATTAGAGGACCTACACCTATGGGTAAATATAAGAGCAAGTAGATTTATTTGTAAATTTTAAGAAAGTTCTTAGCTTGCAATCACGCTAGAAGCGTTCGACTTAACTGTTGGCGATGCAGAATACATATCTTGTCCGCTTGTTCGAATGTAGTGCATAGTGTAAAAAATGATGATTTGTCTTTCTGCGAACAGGTTACTACCAGACTCCACTGAATGTTATGACTCCACCCCCTCACCCCACTGTCCCTGTTTCTTTCTCCACCAATAAACAATTCTCAATCCCAACGGCTACTGTGAGCCCCCTAGCTGCGACAGAGAATACGTTTAGTCCTGGTCAAGTAATCATGAACCAAGCCAGAATGGTCTTGTCTCCCCCGCCTGCCCCTAAAGTCGAAACCCACTTTCTACCTCAACATATCCCTGTGCCAACTCCACCCCCGCCTCAAAGGGGTCCATTCGCTGACCCACTCGAAATGATGCCAAAGTCGTATGAAGGACGTTATTTTGGACATGATTCAGCAGAAAATGGTAAGTTCGGAATAATTCAACTCAAATCATAATGGTGATAATTTTTTCAATTTTTCAAATACAAAGATGCCAGATCCGAATTTCTGAATATAATACAAATTGCGTCATGTTCCACTAAGAACACACAGAGGACAATATGCCGAAATTGTAATGAGACTTTATAAAATATGAACACGCTGTGCACTTTGTGCGAGGGAAAGGATGACTAGGTTAAAATTCAAATTTCAGTTCATTTTTTTCTGAAACTTAAATTGAGACACAAAAATTGGATTATTCCATGAATAGTATTTAGAGTCTTTTTTAAAAACTTTTCCTAAATAATATTTTTGTCCTAACTTTTGCTGGGCTTGGCAGTTTGCACTAGGAATGTCGTACCCTGCACATGTTCACAGATTTGAGTCAAGTGGGGTATAATTATGCGTGAGATGATTGCCGGACTCCTTGTTAGATATAAAATTCTTATCCTATTTTAAAAATTGTAAATCTGTGCAACTTTGTTGTTGATAATGTGTCTTCTTTCAGTTCCGCAAGATCTTTGTTTACTGGGTTGTGTATTCGTCATCATCGAGTATCAAGAATCTGTACCTGATATAAAGATCATTGATCATTGGAAGAAGGTAGTTCTAAAATTTGTTTTACTAGTTAAGTCCCAGAATATACGTGATTAAACTAGAAGACAGCCACCATACCGCTCCCACAGTAACTGAAGTCGAAGCCAGAGTCAAATTCCTGAACTTCGAAGTTAGAATTTCAATGGTGATGAAATAAGTCAATAATTTTTACTGAGTATTTTTAACAATCTATTGAAGAGGGCTTGCTTACGCTGAGGTTTTTGTCAAATAAATTTGATTATGTCAGGCTGTACAGCTACTTTCTAGCTTGCAAAATTCTTAACCCCCTCTCTCCAATATGGGTCAAATTTACCCTGTTAATAATCTTAAATAAATCCCAAATACAGAATAATAAATAGAGTGAAAAAGTGTTAACAAAATAAATTTATATTTAGGTAATCAATAAATTTGGTGGAATCGTCGAAGATGAATACAATACATGTACCTGCACACATCTGCTTTGTATCAGTCAGTCTTCATCTTTATTCAAGTAAGTTGTATTGTTGTGCACATTTGATTGTAGCTACATGCTCATTGTATAAGCCTATGTTTCCGAAGCCCAAGGTGGCAGACTCAAATAAGTCCGAAGATACATCGACTACAATGAGCTTCATTTTACAAAGAACCAATAGTGATTGTAATAGCATTTCTGTTCAACTGCCGTTTAAGTTGAACAATACCTCTATTATTTCGTGACAATAGTCTTTTCATAGTTCCTGATTAGTTTTTCAAATTCATGGCAAAATGGGAACAATTATTTACATATGAACTCATTTACATCGAACTTAAAAGTTCACTTTGCCGCAATAGAAGCCTTTTGGCTATTATTGACCCTGATTGTGATAAACCATTGAGAAAAGCCGGCTAGCTCAAGAGTTTGCATGTTTCAAGTGGGGTCTGCGTCGCAATTCTGCATTCCTTGGGGTTTCAGTGGTGACAAGAGTCATAATTTTCTACATAATCTCAAAATACATTTAATCAAGGTTACTAAGCGTTTTTAGGTGTAAATTTTTTCCAAATCTACAGCCTGTGTTCCACAGTTCAGTGACAAGGTTCTTGTCAAATGTTGCAAGTGTTAAGCGATAAATTTTTTTATTTTTTATTGTTGCCCTTATAAACAAATGTTGACAATAACAATGCTTATTTCATTGATGTGTTCGGAAATGGTCCACCACGAAAAAGTTTGGAAACTCCGGTGTAAGCCCCAATATATATAAGAGTTCTTAGGCTCTATACCAGGAGTGGGCAAGGTTTTTGGAGCGAGGGCCAAAAATTTTGCCCACCTAGACTGGCGGGCCATGTAAATGTGTTGAGAAAGTTTTATTTTATGAACAATAAGCCTAGTGCCAAAGCCTAGTTATTTTTTAGATGAAACATCAAAAATTGGTTGTGGCAGCTTCAGGCGAGTCAGATTGAATTACCCAATGGGCCAGGTTTGGCCCGTGGGCCCTGGCTAGGCACATTCCATATATTTAAATTTACTTTTAAATTCTGATGTTTTACTGAAATTCATATTAAACAGGGATGCATTACTTGAAGGCAAAAGATGTGTGACAGTATATTGGTTGAATGACGTTTTACAAATTCGAAAATTAAGTCCACCATGGCTTTCTATACATGTTCCTACACCTTACCCAATGAATCAGAAGCCTGCAATAAACCACGTAAGTGCCATTGTATAAGATGTCACAATGAATAAGAAATTTTGGATTGCTGGGACTTTTGAGTAGAATCATACACAAACAGAAGTCAAAGTGTAAATAAATATTTTATCATTTTTTTAGAAGTAATTACCATAATAAGTTTATGGGTTCTGTTTTGGCAGCTCTACACTCATTGTTTACACCAATTTTGAAAATATTTTGCACACAACCATATCAGATAATGCAGGATTTCCCAAACAGGGCTCCGCAACGATATGAAAGGGTCTGGTTAATCTTTAGTGATGTCAAGGAAAAGCCATTGTATCTTTTTGGTTGAGGGATGCGACGAATATCCATTGCTAAAATTTTATAGTCTTTTGCGACGACCTGCATCTGTGACTGTCAAGCAGCATTTTCAGCTTTTACTAATATGATACCAAAATACAGGTTGAGACTTGTCGTAGAAGCAGACCTACATGTTTGCTTGTCGCAAATTTTTCCAAAATTGATAAATATGCAATGAAAAGTAATCTCATCCATCACATTAATGTGTCGTTTGTGTTGTAGTGTTGTAAATGAATTATTATCCTTCCTCGTTAGTTAGGCACACAAATTGGATTGGCATAAAATGGGATCTGTCAAAACTAAGATTCACAAATAGGTGTCCACGTCCTAGAAAATTTGGGAAACCGTATATAATGCCCCCATTGTGATGGGTATTTAAAGGGAGTGACACTTTTTTTCAGAACATGAGTTATACTGGCTTTCATCAAAAAGAAAGAGAAAGGTTGAGAATGATGGCTGGCGTCTCAGGATGCAAATTTTCTGGCTTTTTAAGCAGATCTAACACTGTACTTGTATGTAAAGGGTAAGAATAAGTTTATTTCTTGGAAAACTAAAGTGAAAACTGTGAATATGAAAGTAATACATGTTTCCCTAGAATTTTCATTTCTGTTTGTGATTTTCGTCAAGTATACCAAGTAGGGATGTGGTGTCCTGGATGACTGGTGATAAATTCATTCATCTCAATTCCTGGTTGAAAAAAAATTTTTACTTTTGAGTTGAAAAAAATCTCAACTCTATCTCTGAACTCTCATAAAAAGTCCTCGTTCGGAGTTTGATATAACCAAGATTTCAATATGAAGTTTTGCCTAGAAATGGAATTCAATTTGACCAAAAAATATTGCAGACCAGCTTTTGCGCCCTGATTATATTCTATCTCTATTTATTGTCTATGTTCTTTCCACAGCACACTGAGTTTAAAGTATGATAAAGCGAGAGAATGGCGAATTCCATGCGTTAATGTTCACTGGTTGCGAGACGTTATGCAAGGTGATACAGAAGCATTGAAAGACCCAGGCCAAGAAAAATATCAAAATTTTGATGAAAATTCACTTGATTTATTTGGTCTTGATGAATCTAAGATGCAAAAGATTTTAGGTAAGTAAGAGAAATGGTTTGCTTGACACCAAGCAGCCCAAAGATATGCTCAAATATGAAACAGCATGTAGTGCTTTTATGACCACAGAATTAAATAGATTACAAATGTGAAACGATCATTTTCACATAGCAATCATTTTTCCCTCTAAGTGAGAGAGCGGCACTAAGTTAGCAAACACTGCCCTACTATATTTGCATCATAAGTGAAGATCTCGGAGTCTGCCTATATTTTCTCAGTATGTGTGATAAAATTTGGTAGCTTGGCGAACCAGAAATATTTCGGTTGAGCAAGATAGCTGCGGAGATACTCACATGGAGCAACCATTTGTGAGACTAAATTCATTTTGGGAAAAAGAATTGAAAATCTTGTTAACAAGGGCCTAGGGAAGGGTTTCGCAAACAGACACAACCATCGTATTAACATTTGCAGAATAAATTTGTTTTGAGCTAACTTTATTTTTTTACAAGTGTGCCGCAAAATTTTTCTTATTTACTTGGTGTGCCACGAAAAAAAAGTTTGAGAACCACTGTCATAGGGCATGACTATGAATAAAGCTAGCGAGGAACTCTTTGAAACTGTAAATTCAATTCCCTTTCAATAACTTCTTTTCTAGATCCGTGGAAAGTTCCTGTTCGTGTTACATTAGATTGCATGCAAAGGGCACGAGTGAAACGAAAAAATAGTATGAGTGATTCTGTTACTCCAGCTTTGAAAAGATCGAGATTAGAAGGATCGTATCAACCATTACCAAGAGTATGTTTTACTGGTCTTCCCGCAAAGCAAGTTACAGAGTTGCAAAAAGTAAGAAAAATACCTTGGATGTATTTAAAATAAGTTATTTTTCTTGATTTGCCATGTATGTGACCTCACTAAAACTTCTGAAATCTTCTGTACTGGGGCGACGGTGACGCAATGGCCTAGTGCAGTGGTTTCCAATTTTTTAGGGTTCGTGGCCCCCTGTTTATCATTCCAGTGGTATTTTGATTGGCCGAACTGAAAAAATTCTGATCCTTCCAAAAAATAGCTTGTATAAGACCTATAGAGAGAAAGGCATGAATAAGCCTATTATTGAAATAATGAAACGTTAATTATCAATAAATACTTAGAATGTGGCATCAGCCACATACATGCATGGAAAGGTAAAATACAAAAAGTTGTCATGAAAATTTAGCTGCGACCGCTTGTCTTATATTCTTCCTATAAAACTTTTCCACAATTTAATTTGCGAATAATACCCAGGAATTCTAAAAACAACTATTATGAAAGAGTCTTTGACATTGAAATATCTGATTAACACAAAAAATGTATTTTCTTTAATATCTTCAATATATTTTACAGTTAACAAAAATTGAATCTGATTTTGAATTGACTTCCAAATTTTCTTTCTTAATTTGCAATCTCGAATGAACAGCGTATTGATATTATTCAAGCTAGGGTATCTAATTTTAAACCTTCGTTTTTCTTCTGAAATTGAAAACTCATCGAGGAATTTTCAAATGAACACAAAAATACAAAGCAACTTCGCAATCTGTATTAGTCAATTTCTATGCAAAAAGCATGTTAAAGCAGCCCATTCAAACACCCACAATTCCGCAGTAACGACAATACTTGGATAATTGGTGCCAACACTAACTCCACAACTTCTAAAATGCTTTGTGGAAATTTAAATATCAGCTATTACAATTTACATGCTTGAATTCTGTACAGACTTTAGAATCCATGCAAGGACAAGTATCAAAAACAATCAGCCTGAGCACTCATCTTGTTGCTAAATCTGTGTCAAGAACAGTCAAATTTTTATGCGCAATATCAGTCTGTCAATATATCGTTACTCCAGAATGGATCGAAGAAAGTTCAAAGAGTAATTGGTTACTCGGTAAGAAATTTTTTAACAGGAATAGGGGATCCAATCAAAACCCCATGAGCCCTAAGATGGACTAAAATGAAAATCTCCAGGAAACTAGACCATAGGTTCTTAATGTGCTCCATACAGACCCCCAGGGCTCCACAAGCTTACTTAAATAACCGTCTAATAAAGCAAATACAGCGTTAATGAAAATTGCCAACGGTAAATACATCTGAGTCATTAAATAAAGTAATTTTTATTTACTCATTACAATTAATCGGTGAGAAATAAGTGTTTTTTATTTTTATAAATTTATGGTGGGACTTTGTAAATAATAGTCAACCTCCTCCATAACACCAGAATGTCGCATTCACCCTCTTTGTAAGATTTGGTCACTGAAGGGAGGGGTTAACATTGGCTGAAGAGAAACACATTTGCGTTGTGTAGTACACTATGGAAACAAATCAACTAAATCAGCTCGCATTTTGATATCAGAATCTAAAAATCATAGCTGGGAAGGCGGGTTTGAAAGAGCAATGGCTTCAGCTCCACAGCCACCAAGATTTTTGTCATCAGCCCAAATGCAGAAGAGGCAGATTTTAAATAAGCTGAAAAAAAGTAGAATACAGTACATTATTTGTATGAAGTCAGAGTAAATTATAAATAGTTATGATAGATGATAAGGAACTGGAGTCACTAAAATTTCTATTACCTCTGGGCTTCCCAGCCGAAGATCCAATTTAAGATGAGATTTTGTGGTGCTAGAAACCAAATCCATCTCTGACTATTACGGTCAGTTGCGGTGAATCATATCTACTCTACGAACAATAAACAACTCACTCCAAGTTCTAAACCAAAATCCTGTCTACCTAGATATGTGTACCTGTACTATGTAGTGCGCTCATGACTGTTGTCTATGCCACAAATAATTTCAAGATTGAAACCTACTTTCAGATGAAGACAAATATCTACTCCATGATAAAGCAGCTGAAGAAAAATTTGAATTCTCACTCAAAGAATCCATCAGTAGAGCAAGAAAGAATCCTTTATTTAAGGTATCTTATATTGTGAAAACATATAGCTGATAACAGATTTTAAAAGTATGATCGTAACATCGTATATTTTTATACAGGGATACGTGTTCTGCATCACTGATAATGTTGCACCAGACCGGAAAATTCTAACAGAGATCATAGAGTGTGCTGGAGGAAAAGTCGTCGAGAAAATTCCAACTATTCAAACTATTAAGAGAGTAAAAGACAGAAAGGTATTGTTTTAGTGCCGTCTTTTGTTATACGCGAGTACGAAGACCAAATTACTGAAGGTTGGGCTTCATAGTGTAATGAATTGTGGAGACAATAAGAATGATGAAAAATAGTTTCTCGTTTAGAGCATTGTTGGGGGGGGGGGGGAGGCATAATAAAACACCATATAAAAAATATTGCCTAAATGTTTGAATTAGATTAAAAATCTGATGTACTTAATGCTCGCTTGATATTGCCATAATGTTCTGATCAAAGAGTTCCACATTAGCGTCTGACGCTGTTGAGTGAATTGGAAACTGAATAAATTTCTTCAACAAAACACCAATATGAATCATTTTCTGCTTGTAATTTAAAGGGCTCTCTGTGTTGTAGGTTGTATTTGGGCAGGTTAGGGTTGGGCCCTAATTTTATTCCGATTACGAGCCGGGGACTGTCTGTGTTAGCCAAGTGGAAATAGCCCCTTGCCCATAGGTTTCAGCCCCTTTACACTACTTGATGCAAATGCATGAGAGGCTTTAAATCAGGGGTTCCCAAAGTTGATTGACCGCGGGCCAAAATTTTAGCAGGACAGGCTAGCTTGTTATGTTACACAAAAAACACCCCAATGTACATAAAAGAAACTTAAATGCCGACATAATTTAGTTGTTTATATAAATACTATTACAAATCAGTTACCTCCAATACGTTCCGGGTTTCCCCGAAAATAAGCTTCATTTGCTCTGGTCCACGTAAATCTATTCAATTTAATTTTCTGGGATCTGCACTAAGTTTTATTTCGTGTTTTGACACTATCTGCTTTTGAACCCTGGTCCACACAATCATTTGCTTCAATTTCATTCATACAGCCGCCAAACAACCGTTTATTGCTGGTATCATGTCCGGCGGACAAAAATCAAGTAATAAAATGGAAGAGAGAAGGCATTCAAGTACACAATGCAGAAATAATACTCAGTGGAGTATTAAAACAAGAAGTTAATGAATCACTGTACCAGTTGTAACATGGTGCTGCTTCGAAATATAATGATCCATGACAAGTTTTTGATGTAAATATCGTGCTTTACTTTCTTTCACTTCTCGAAGGTGCCTTTTTCATTGCTGAAGAGATGAACTTCTTCAGATCAAGAGTTTCATTTATTATTTTTTGCATCACTGCCTTATTTCCTTTTTCAAATAAAATATTTCCAGAGGGTTGTTTTCTTTCCAATATAATCCTTGCACTCTCTCAAGATCCATGTCAGGAAGCAGTGGCTGAAGAAAACAAATTCTTTGTGATTAGACTGGGGGCAAAAGTGCAAGTTCAGCATTGTTTTCAGGAATGAGAATCCCCTATACCAGCTGTTCTCAAACTATGGGTCGTGAAAAGATGTAGAAAGCTTTGATTAATTATAATTATATAATTAAATTAATTATACTGGTTATTAGAATCGGTGGCGACTAGGTAAATCTTCAAAATAAGATTAAATTCTTCTCAAAGGAACAAAAATCTGCTACACAAAGAATGACCATGAGGCTTTTTTCACGCATAGAAGTTTTGTACACAGTACAGCACTTCTTACCATGTTTCCCTGGGGATTTATTTTCTTTTGAGGAATAACACTATGTTTTTTTTTTGGAAAAGGTCTTTTGTGTTCATACATTTTGGGAACCACTGCCCTATACATTCAATTAAATATATTTAGAGCAGTGGCATGTAGCTTACCTCGTATGTATTTTCTGTATGGACGAAAATTTCATATTCGTAGTTAGTTTTTGTGGGATCTTGCAAGGATTCTTCATCACCTTGCCTGCATTCCAAGTTTATCCTGACTTTGATAAACTCCGCCATATGATTTACAGTGGCATGAACTGACGTTTTTATATACCTGCGGTAGAGGGATAAAAAAATGATCAAAGATGTATGTAGGCTGAGAAAATTGGGTAAAGTTTAGACTACAGGTTGTGAAAAAATTTGATTCCAGCTTTTATCACCAAATGAACGTCTGCTAATACAACTCGGGAATTTCGAAAGTTTAAAAACAAAACTATGCAGTCCCGATTTGTAATGTTAGAATATTCTGTGTGTACCATATTTTTATTAGTATCCTGTTTTCACCTGACAAGATTTTCAGCTTCAGAACCTTTCTGATCGGGATGAGGTTTGAGTATTAATTCTACAGAAGATAAATCTACAGAATCATCTGAATCTGTTGTCGTTGTGTCATCAACATTTGGAGTATTGTTGCTTGTAGTAGGTATCTCATTCTCTAAGAAATTAACAGTAATTGAATGATAATAAGCCTGGATATAATAAAATGATTCACAGTAAAATGAAAACCCTGCCTATCATTGGATTTGGGACACATACAGATTTCCAAGGGAGCCACAGAGCAATCCTCTGCAGGCCACTATATACTATTCACCATTACTACTACACTTCGACAGAAAAAACAGCGACCAGTTTATTTCCTGATTGTAATGCATTTCGAATTACTAAAGTTCACATTCTAATTAACAATTTTCCCATAACCTAAAGAGAATAGTTATCTTTAACTTCTATAATTACTAAAAACTTGAAAATATGAATGTGGTTTTGCATGCATAATCAAAGTCCCTAGCTGAGACAAATATTGATGAAAACATACATTATATGTCAGCTGTGCTTAGTGAGGATATGCAGAAATATAACTTTGTATATGGTTTTACTAATATAGTTTAGTATTATAGTAAACCATTAAAACTGTGCAAAAGTCAAGGAGTGAGAGTTGTACATAACTCTAGCTAAGGACCCTTCAAGTGATTTAACCAGGAACACATTATGGAAGCAGTATTATTTTAGTATGTGATCTATTTATTGCCTTGTTCCCAAGGAGTTATTCCCCTAAAAGATTTAAGTATATATCCTTAGTTTACCATTTCCAGCAGCTGGTTTATCAGAATATGCATTTGTTTTATCAGAGAGATGTAATTTCTTGCTTGGCGGCGGATGAATTGAGTCGGATGGTAGACCTGAAAATTCAGCAAAAATCATGGTTTATAAATAATACAGGGTGTCCATAAAGTTCCTTTTCAATTTTGTCAGTTCTCAATATAACTTAACCAGGTTTGTTGATGAGTATTTTACTTAATTTATTACATCTGTGAGGGCCAAAACAATATATGGTAATAATGGTATCGATAAATTCCCTTTGCAATTTTAAAAAATTTCAAGACTTTTAGGACACCCTATATACAGTAATGTTATGTTTCACTGAAAACAATGTTCAAGTCTGTGCATGTGAACAGACTGTTAGCTGGACGAGAGGCCATGGTGCACCATATGATAAAGCTGTCTTGACTGCTTCATCCTGTTCATACTATCCTACCTTTTGGACTTTCGACTTTAGTCGTAGAGTGTTTTGAAATGTTTTTCTTGGCATTCTCACATGCTTTCGCTGCTAAGAAATTGTCTTGTTTTCTTATTTTCTGCAATCTGAAGTTGAAAGGATACATAGTTGTCACCACAATCACCTAGGACTCAAAAACAATATCTAAAAGAATTCTAATTAAATTTTATCCATGTCAATTCATGTTGTATTAAAAAATTCAAAATTTTGATGGAGAAATAAATAGTCGATGTTGATGCCAAGGAAAATATTGTCAATACATGATGGAATCTATTTCACTAGACTTGTAATCAGTGCATTATTTGCCAAAGCAAGGTCACACCCACTGAAAAATTGAGATTGACCAGCGCTATGTTTACGGCAGACCACTCAAATGCCAAGAAGTAATGAGACTATGAGGAACTATATGAGAGAATTACGCGTTAGTAAACATAGAAAGTTCAGATGATCATAGTCCATTATAATATCTGTGAAATAATGACAGCGTCGCAACATTTTCATTGATGGGAAAGAGTTTGCAGTCCGCACGCAAAATAAAAATCCACTGAAACCTACCTGCTCATTGCTTGTGATTTCAAGCCTTCTTCTACACTTGCACTCAGAGCTCCACCATTGTGATGTTTTGTGAGACTTTGTAGCATTCTTTCTTGATGTTTCTCATACTCATCTCGAGATGGATAAATCTTTGATATCAAAGCATCAAAATTTGGGTCAGGTCTGAGTGATCGTCGTGATACCAACTTCTTGCGACACGTTGGACATTCTTTGTTACTGTGAAAATAGTAGAATGGTATTGCATACATATTACTTCAGGAACTCAAGACTCCCAGCATGCACAATGTACTACTCGAAATTGAACACCTCAAGCGTTAGACTTAACTATAATGTCAGTTCATGTTAAAATGTCTGGGTAAAATCCCATGTTGTCTGCCTCTATTGTTACGTAACAATGAAGACAGATACTTCAGCTGAATCACGTTCAGCGAACGTGACTTATTCAGCATTACAAAGGAAAGTGAGGAAGGAGAGTTAAACTTTTGCCTTCATTCCCTAGGCTTACATATTTACAATTTTAAAGGACTATAATTAAAAATTACGAAAATGAGTTTTATTTAAAAGCAGCATTTTTTTTCATGTAAGTGCGGTGTAAGTTTTTTTTCCCTGATAATTCAGCGCCGCGCGTTACTATAAAATGAAGATGCTTTGACATATTGACTGGAAGCACACCATTCTTGCAACGTACCCACTTCTCAATGCTGTCGTTATGCATTCAGCACAAAATCGATGAAGACATTCTTTTGTTGTCATTGTGTTACGAAGCATATCAAGACATATTGGACACATAAGTTCATTATGAAGACTACGAGGAGAAACTGCAATCTCTGTGTTGTCTGTGATGACTTCCTAAAAAATTTTTGTTTATAATATAATACATGTATAGCCTACTTATTCTTATTAGCGATCAGTTATGCCTGGATCAAGCGGTGTAGCTAGATGTTCTGAAATTTGTAATTGACGTTTTGAGGGTGTAAAGCTATGAAAAATTGCTATGTATGATAGCCTACAGATAACAGATAAATGTTTTTTTCTACATTTTGAACAGGCTCTGTGGCTACGCCCCAATTATTGTATATATTGTACATGTTATTCAAAAAACTGGTATTTATACAAAGCATACCTGCCAAGATGTGGGTCATTCTAAAAAAATAATTGAACGAACTTTCCACTCTATAGGTTGATGAAATTCTGGCTCTGACCGAATTTTGATACAAAATACTTTGGCGAGATCGAGCATTATATCGTTTAAAGTTGATAATTTCTTGATTTACTATGCCATCTCAATGCTTTTCTGAGTTTCTGTCAATATTATGACTCAGAGTATCAGAATTAAAAGTCCATGAAGTCTTAAAATAAAAATTCAAACTCGTCCAAATAGACTAGATAATATTTCGACTCTGGCTTTAGTAGTCATCAGGTCCATATATTTGATACCTTTACATTATTTCCCACGAGCTGACGAGTGAATACTGAAATATGAAAACCCAAATACCGGCGTGTCATTCATAGCCTACCTGTGGCGTTCGTTGAAGTTCGTAAGGAGTTAGATCCCATGTTTTTGTTGCTGATTGTAGGGCACTTGCAGGATTTGTCTGTGACATTTTAGCAGCGATATATGATGACCTGTATATGTTTTAAAAAGCTGAACTGCAACATACACCGATATCAAATCAATAAACAAACCACTGAAATCCCCAAAACAGAACGCCCCTGAAAATGCAATGAAGTATAGAAATAGGGCGACACCTTCCGTTTACCGTATTGGACAAACTTTGCTTCCGCGGTGGTGCGGCACCGGACCCATTGTCTAAAAGTAAAATGGGGCCTATCGATTGAGTGCATAAGATCTAGATACCGGTAGTTATAAATTATATTCAAAAACTTTAGGTTTATTAATTTTCACTCACCGTCGACGTACTTTTACTTCTGCGCCTTGTTTGAATATGAATGTCGACCACCGAAATTGACAAGTTTTATCACAATTTGCACTGAAAAAGGCTTTTACAGCGTCGCATTGTATTATCTAATAAATAGAATAGTTTGGTGATATATTCTAATTAATATTGTTTTTATTAATATTTATAATTACAGTAGTAAAAAATGCCTCTGATTTTTACATTGCGATGCTTCTTGACATTTTATGGTATTTATTTTTATATTAAATAAGAAGTACGAAGGTATAGTTGAAACTGGCGTTCTTCATCAGCTAATAGTGAACACGAGGAAAGCTATTATAGAAGGAAGAATTATATATCGCTACTATACTACATCGCTATAATGGTCAAAATTAAACAGTGTTTTTGTCGAGATCTTTTAATTAACATGGCAATTTCATTATTGAGACCAGTGTTCCCTCTAAGGTGTGCGCGTGTGCGCGCGCACATAGCTTTCAGAGGCTGCACACACGCATAGATTTACTGCGCACAGACGTATTTCGATGTAATGTAACAATGTGCTTGGTTGGCAGGTTGAGAAAGTTTGTTGTTGGCCCACTTATTACCCGGTTAGAACGCCAAAATTTCTTCATTGTTTTTTGCACAAATATTATTCATTTCCAAAAAAGTGCGCACACACCAAAATGTCTGCGCACACATACTACAAAAAATTAGAGGGAACATTGATTGAGACTATTTGCTTCTGTTTTCGTTGGTCTTTGGGGTTATCATATGAAGTACTTTATATAATCGGGAATTTTGGTAGTGAATTCTTAGAATAAATTGGTTGAAATGTGCATTTTCTTACAAAAATAACTAAAATAATTTAATCGAAACAGCACATCACAAATATGTTACAATACAATTATATATATTTAGATTAGGACTTTATATTTCAAGCAGTAACGGACTGCAGTAGGAAACCAGAGAAACGTTAAATATAGTAAGGCAATATGAAATTATTAGACACGTTTTATTATTTCATGCTGCGGACGAATCAAATAAAAGATGTCGTAATCAATCACATCTCGAAGTATTGGGTTTTATGTCACATATTTTCTTATCAATCGTTTGGTATATCCGTCTTTATACACGACGATGAAGTATTTGAGAGTAGTGTAATCAATGTTGTAAATCAAGTGTTAGTCATCTTTAGGTGCGCTTGTCAAGAGAGCATTAGAATGGGAAATCAAAGTATCACGGATAAAATTAAACTGAAATATATATCATTTCAATGAAGAATTGCCGGGATTGAGTATTGCATTATTTATATATAATATATAACTAATAACAGGCCCAGTTTTTCTCACAATTTTTTTTTTTAATTTTTCAGCGAAGTAATGTTTGTAATTGATATACCTCGTCGCCAACAAAATATGCCCGTTGAATTTTAAAAATAAGAGAGTAATATTTAAAATTATTACTTCTGGTAATGGATAGGTGAATAAGTAACTAATTAGCTTAAGTTAGTTTCCGACTACTCGTCTTCAAAATGGCCCGAAAAAGAAGACGAAAGTTGTCCGAGCCGCATAAGATCACAAAAACCCTTCAACAATGGTACGAAACACTTCAAGAAAAATTTCCAGATAAATTCGAAAAAATGGAATATGAACGTCAACTAAGAAAAGAAAAATACTTGGGGTGTAAAATTGATGATGATCCAGATATTGTTGAGATTCATAAACTTATCGAACAGGATTACAGACGAAGCTTGGATCGAACGCATGAAGGGGTAAGATCATTATTTTGGTGCAATTTAATACAAGCTGGTAGTAAACAAGAAGCTACTTGCTGTAACGTTTATTAAAGCGCTTCTGAAGCCCTGAATACCTTGTAGACCTGAGGGCACAGTAGAATCTTGTCCACACCGTAAAAGACGTTTGATGACAATTATCGAAACATCCAAATCTATATATCCCATCCTCTCTCTCGTTAACTCGAATATTATATAAATTTGTTTCACTGGGTTTATTATCTTTAATAATAACTCATATTTGTTTTTCTATTCAGCCTCCTATCCTTCACGTAAGATTTCAGTATGCCAAGCAAGTGAAACAATCAAGATACGAAGCCTCAGTATTTTCAAATATTGTCCACGAAGCAGATAGTGTCATGGATAAAATGTAAGTTTAAAACATTATGAGGTTTTCACTTGCGAGATGTAGGGAGTTTTGTTGTACATATGCAGTTTATGCACTAAGAAAACGGCTCGTGTGTTCAAAATCTTTCAAACTGTCAATGAAAATGTACGGACTGAATTTTGTTCAAAATGTACATATATATTTCTTTATTTTTTGATTGTATTTTTAGCAACAATTTTCTAAATACAAGCCTCTTCATTTAATATTAAATTTAAAATTCGTGTGTACGTTGCGCCTACCGATAGCCATTTCGCATAATGTTTCCGTGATATTTCAGAACCGGCGATAACGACGATGACAGTGATTTTGAAACTATGGTGGAGGTCGAGGGTGGGGCCAGTGGTTTGATGAGTGGTCTCGGGATTGGAAAAGAAAGGATTTTACCAGAACTTAGAATTTTAATCGTTAAAGTAACAAATGCGAATAAAATATCAACAAGTGGAGATGAGATCAAAGAAGGTCAGATCAGAATTACAATGAGCCACGATGACAAGAAGTCCTTTCATGCAAAGAGTTCGAAAAAGGAACCAGACTATAAGCACAGAATTGGGTAACTATTGAATTCACAGACGTGAGCATAAACGACAAAAAATGAGAGGTTGGGATTTTATCAAAAATTATCCCAGTGGGCGGTATAAAATTCACGTAAATGTGATTATAACTTTCAAGTTAATGATATTTATATTGCATTACAAAATTTTTTAGATCTTCTACAAGTAGCTTGAAATCACGGTCCAAAATATCTCTCGAGTAAGAGAGCCCAGCCCCAATGATATTTACCAGATATAAACAAAAACCAGTATTGGTGGGATTTCTGGTCCTGCGAGTAAATCAATGGGTTAAAATTCTACTTGTCTGTTTTCATTAGATTTCAGCATGTTTTCAATTATCGTGGAATAACAATGGAGGAATGCGATAACACGGAAATAAAAATATCTGTCAGAACTGACACGGATAAAGGAAAAGAAACCGCTTACGCCAAATTATCACCACATGGATGTAAGTTGTCTTACGATGATTACGATCTATGAGATGAAATGATTTTTTTTACAAAGAGGAACGCTTCACGATTGTGCGTGTCGGAAGATATCGCGATTGACGAGACGGGGTGTCGAGAGTTAATTTGGACAATGTGATCCCACCACTGGTTATAATTGGCCACTTCCCAAATCTTGAGCCTCATGTAAAGTCTGTTGGTATTGTTTTGTACCCGCTCCATAATCGAAAAAAAAACTTGAATCAAACCTTTTATAGCAAAGAATATCTGAAGTGCTATTTGTCGACCGGTCGAGTTGGTTTCGTGGCATCGAAAGTGTAGCTCTTGTGTGATACTGTCGCTTGTTGTAGCCCGGATAAATAAAATCATTAATTGCTGTTGGGTATGTTTGTGGCATCCAAACTGTAGATATTCCACGATACTGTCGTTTGTTTTGTAGCCCGGATAAATAAAATCGCTAACTGCTTGAGCGTCGCGTATTTGCGCCTTAGCTTATTATTTTTGCGCACCGAATAGATGATGTGTGTGATTCTGATGTCATAATTGTTATCTCGCAATCGCTGCTTGTTTTTACCTGTCTACGTTGCTCGTCATTCATTTGGGAATGTCTCGTCTTGCTTTGCCACCTCGTTTACTGTCTATTTAGCGTGACACAACTAAATTTAACACCATGAACAGGAAAGAATATGTGACATAATATGCATAAAGACTAAATTGAAATGAAACAAAATATAAGTTCCCGTTGTCAAAACAATAATCTAATTCTTGTCGATCTAGCGAGGCTTTTTTTTTCTTTGGTCAGCATTGTCTGGACATCTGGATAACTGAATGTAAACTTCGAATTTAATGTAAGCTTCTATTTGTCAATCAGGCGAACTTGGTGAAGTGGACGAATTTCTCCGGGATAAGGTAGAGACGCGCATAACATTCTGGAAAGAGTATTTGGATCTTGCGACAGAAGATATTGTTGAATTCACAATCCCATTAATTACGGGGGCTCCTCCATCACCCAAAAGGGGTAAATCAGCTGAAAAGCAAGTGGATAAAACTAAAAAAGAAGAAAAACGAAAGTCAAGAAAAACAGACTTGAAGAGTCTATTCGGATAACGTATCAGGCCTTACACCTTGCTAAATGTCTGGCTTGGTTATTGAACAATCATAATGCGTCGCATTTCCGTATTCTATTTAACGCCTAGTTTTTGTAAATTTTTACGTTCTTCTCTTAAAAAAAATAACAGTAATATCCAATAAAGTGTATGTATATATTTAACACCACCTCGATCAGCTTTTTTCAAAAGTTTTGTTACACCTATCCTTCAGCAGCGATGCCTTGATTTGGTGACCGGGTTCAAATATCCGTAAAACCAAAAAAATTTCCATAGGTGCGATAGTATGCAGGTGCAATTGTCGCAGGTTCAAATGTACGTAGGTTCAAATGTAATGGAACCCCCTTGATTTATGCACTTCTGGCGTCAGAGTGAAGTGCCATAATATATATTTATATATATATATATATACGATCAAATACATTTATAATACTAACTTAAGTTGGAGTGCGATCAGGTTGCAACAAACGAAAATATGTGGCATTTATCTGCACTCCAAATTTGTTGAATTATTTTGAATAAACTCAATAACTTCTATCGCGGCGAAAATGTATGAGATGAGTTCTCTTTAAACTTATTTGTAAAAATATTTGCGAATGGTCTTACAGTTAGAATTATCGAGGACTTAGCAAGACCCAGATCAGACGTTAGTGCTTATTTGATTTAACATCAAGAACAGCATTGATTCAATGAACGAGAGAGAAATGATTCTAAAATGACAAAAGTTATAAAAAATGGATCTTATGAACGGATGCCACCGTTCGCTATAGCCCATAAGGCAAACCACCTTACGACACATTCGGATTCAATCTGAACCAGCGATTCTTAACCTATCTACAACGCGAACCAATAACACTAATTAAAGGGGGCTCCCGAAGTATGCGAACCAAGATGGCGGACATCGGAATGTAACATGTGTACTAGGTTATGGTTAGGCCATAATTTTAGGTATAAATACTACGGGAGGCTCTTGGCTAGTCTTCGAACTGATAATAGGACTAAAATAAGGAAAATTGGAAAAAAATTATCGCCTAACCCTAACCTGTTACCCATGTTACGTTCCGATGTCCGCCATCTTGGTTCGCATACTTCGGGAGAACCAATTAAAGTTTATACACGGACGAGCATCAATATATTGAAATGACTGGAAAATAAATATATATGTTGTTATGATGAAAATATTCTATGATCATAAAATCAGGCAGACAAATAAAAAGTTATGAGACAAATGAAAATAAGTTGAAAATAAGAACGACTTCGTGGTAGGATTCGTAAGCATCCCACAATGATATAAATATACTACCGATGAAGTAAAAGGATTAAAATCTTAGGGACAGGTTCTCTTTTGTATCGAACTAACTAACAGCATGTTCCCTAATTTCAGAACTTGTATGTACCGGCCTGTTACTACGTTAGCTATACTTCAACATGACACGCTTTGCACAAATGCAATACCCAACCTTTGACACGCCAAACATGACGCTGGTCTCCATTTGCGGTTCACGTTGCCCATATTCTGTGGTGGTCTAATAACACCTAAAACACGAGAGCTATGCTCAAATATATGGGCACGTCACGAGGTGTCGCTATTTTTTATTCTGACCCATAAAAAACGAATCCCTTGAAGTCCACAGAATTTTTTGAAAAAAGTAAAAGTAATACCCTTCTGGCGAAAAAATCAATCTTGAACCTCTGAAAATTTCAAAGCAATTGGTCCAGTATTCGAAGAGAAAAGCGATTTTATCATGACAAAGGAGAAGAAAAACAAGAACAACAACGTAATATTGAAACGATCGTTATATACACTGACATGACCAATAAGAACGAGTTCGTTGAATATCGCGACATTCCAAACTGCTGGCCTTGTTTCTACTTCCGTAAGTGGCAGTTGCCAAAAAGATACTTTGACAAGATATCATTAAAATGTTAAATAAGAACAACTTAATCTTTTTCTATACAGTAGCAAGTATACTTAAGAGCTTCCGTAGTCTGACTTCAAATATGAAGATCCTCATAATAATTGCAGAGTTTAGTTACTATGAAATTCGAAAAATATAGAAATGTAAGAATTTGGTCTGTTTCGTATTCATATCTAACTAAAATAAAATATCTGAGTCGGGCCATTTGTATCGTTTCCGTTGTCTATTTTAAATTTTGTGTGTTTGTTTTTCTTCGCTATTGGTTGATGTTTTCATGAAAAGTTGGAATTCGTGGTTTATGTACTTCTGAAGTCTGTGTTTGAGATGAATGTTAATGTTGACGGCAGGTTGTGTGTCCTCATAAACTTTGTAGTTGGTTGCCCGGTGCAGGTTTTTCATATATATATATATATTGGCATTTTGGAAGATTTTTTGAATTTGTGGGGAAATCACATGTAGATACAGGTACAGCATAATATGGTAATGACAGGTGTTTCGCTTTTTTGGCAGTCTTAGTATACATACTGTTCTCCTAAATTCTAAACGGTATTCGGGGTGATTTACAAAAATAGTCCAGAGTTGGGCATATTCGCCTAATTCCTGTGACTTGTCCATTGGGAATGTTTTGGTATCATTCTTAGAGTACCAAGATAACGACGAAAGGCATTGTTGGGGCATACTGGGATTGAGAAAATTAAACAAACTCACAAAACATTATTGGCAGTCATGTTTATTTTTTAGTAAACTGGCTCAAAAACATGAGAGCATGTAGTTTTTCATGGCTTGGTTTTTCTTAAAGCGCTCATGGCTTCATGAGTATGACATCGTCGCCAATTTATTACATTCCGCTCCCCACATTATCTTTGAATGAGATTGTATTGGTCATTACCAACGTAAGTGTTAAAAGTACAACAGCCCGAAAGTTTAATACTATCGTGTATTTTGTTCGTTAAGTTTGGCCCAAGCCTCATCTGGGCTTGTGTTTTTGTGTGCGTGCTGGTGGGCAGGCACACGAGATACTTCTCATGTTTTAAACTTTTTCATAGGTTTTGCTTGCTTGCCAGAATTCTCCATTTTTAATTTATGTTTGTTATGGAGCTTTCAAAATAAACTATCTATCATCGTGAATGTCATCATTAAGACGATTTCTGATTTCGTTGGCGAAATATCGAATATCCTAAAATGCACGCTCAGCTTCAACTGACGTAGGTTTGATTGTTTTTAGTGCGTCATACAACTTTTCTGACCCTTGCTGCTCGTCTCATATAGATAGACGGTTTTCAAAGAAGAATAGCTAGCTATTTTGTTACGATATATTTATAATATACATTTATTCGATGCTTCCACGGTTGGCAATTTTTTATTAATATCTTAATTATCACGGAGATGGGCGTCTGTAACAGCGCCGACAAAAAAAAGATAACATATAAGTAAAAATTTCCCATAAAAAATTTGTTTCAAACGTGTGGGTTATGGATGGCCCATATTTATCGTGACTGGACACGAGCGCAGCGTCTTCAGCAGTCGATCAGAGTTACGTAACAAAGTATTCCTTCGACGGGGAATAGGACTTATTTATACTAATTTAAACTAGCCGCTCAGCAAAAGATTGTCTCGAAAGCAAGTAAGTGTAAGTGTTTATTTCGATTTTCCAATACAACAAAACAATACATGGCAAAACAAACAAATGTACGGAAAATCAGGAAAGTGGGCAAAATCTAAAAAAAATTCAAGACGTGCTGGTGCACGTGCCCACTTACCCCAAACAGCAAACAACACATTGAAATAAATTGAAAAAAAGGAACACGGAAGATAATTCGGGCTCGGGCGTAAATACTTGGCTGAGGATGTGGCAAACAACACATTGAAGTAAATTGAAAAAAAAGGAACACGAAAGATAATTCGGGCGTAAATACTTGGGTGTGGATGTGGAGTTTTATAATGGAGTGTAATTTCTACTATATCTGTACATATAAATATCGAGAATTGTAGAACATAAACAAACAAGCAGTGCGCAATATGTGGTAATTGATTTGATTACAAACGCACTCAACTAATAGTCTACCGGACGATAAACAACAAGGATAAAAGCACCATAAAAGAAAACAACAACAAACGAAGTAAAATATGACAAGAGCATTGCCCTGGCGTTACAACTTCAGTTTTAATCAAAATTCATGTGCTTAGTGTAAGTAGTCTTTTTTATGCAATCTACCTTCAAATATTCGTTACATTTGACTGATCTTGTCCTTCCCAGCTTCGACCAGTTTTCCATGATAAACTCCACGCAGGCCAGCAATGCTGGCCCAGCATGATCTGATGCGAACTGATCCATATCGTATCAGTACTGTATCCGACAACATCGTTTTGATTTAAGTTTGTATGTATCTTCTCAGTAGGGTTTATATTCGTCTAATTTCCAAGTTTTCGTCCAAATATTTCCTACTCCAGTATTCCACCGTTGATATTTTACGTCCGCACCCGACACCAAAGTTACCCTAGCAGACATCTCTCAGCGGACATCTCTCTCGTTTTCGGAACGGTAAAATAGCGTTGCCAGAAAAGCAATAGTGTTTATGTGCAACGTTTTTAATTGCATAGTCTTATCATACAGAATGTTTAATTTACGGCCAATATACGTGAACAAGAGATTCACTTTAGGTATTTATTTCGGAGCTATGTAAAAGTATTGGACTCGGGACTCGGACACGAGTCCAGCGCAAATACTCGGGATTCGGCCGAGCCGAGCTTTCTTGGATTCGTCGCATCCCTAGTATTTAGTTGTTTTAATGGTGTCTTGATCGTATTATTCAGTATACAAACCGATCTTTGAAGGATTTTGTCAGCAGCTTTTCGACGACTCAATTTACGCACCTACAGTAACACTACGTCACGAATTAAATCCCTGAACATAACGTCGGAATCGGGATTAGGAAAAAAAAAATCCCGGGTTCGCAATCGTCACAGCCAGGGCTGCCACTCTAGATGTTTTATAGCTAGATCTAGATGTTTTTTTCGAGATCTAGATGGGTGGTTCACGTAACCGCTGGTCGGTTACGGCTTCCTCTACCACCAAGTCCATGCTTCCGAAAACAAACAATATAACTAATCCCATACCCGACTTGGAATGGTAACCGGACGAGAGGCCGTGGTTCGCCATATGGATAGGCCGTCTTATCGGCTTTCCTCTCCCTCGGGATGAATATGTAAATCCTATCCTATCCTAAAATTTGGAGTCTAGATGTTAGCTGTAAAATCTAGATATATTTTTTCCAACGTTCCTAATATTATCCAGTGGGAAATGAATAAAGCGATGTGTATAATAATGAAATATGCGAATAAATGTTATTTCATTACTTAGAAGTAAGTTAAATTTATTGATGTAAGATTGATAAAACTCATTTATATTGTAATTATCTACCGGTGCCATATGTGATTAAATTATTCGAATAACGAATTAAACATGTTTAGAACAAGTGACGTTTTATTTGAAAAAAAAAAGAACGACGCCGGCCCGACGAGTCAGTGCTTAGTATTGTATTGTTGCCAAGTAGTGAGAATAACTTGTGTAGTTCAAGTTGCTTACTCCAGGATTTTAAAATTATTTAAGTGCTATTGAATTTGTCTTTCTTTACTGCTTAGTTAGTAGTGCTATGAACGATGGAAAAAATAGACTGAGAAACAGCATGGATACAGATTTACCGAATGCAATACTGGTTATTAAAGTTGGCCTGATTCGAACAAAACAATGAATCTGCACTTCTTTGCAACAGCTGTTGGTTCGGTTATTAAAAGAATAGGTACAGCAAAAACTTATACTCTAATAGGCTACGCCACCACCATCAAGTTCGGATCTGAGCAACCTAATTTCATACTCGACATGGACTAGTACGGCTTCTTCATGGTTCGCCATATGATTAAGCCGTCTTATCAACTTTCCTCTCCTCTGGGATAAAAATGTAACCTATCATAGTAAAGGTAATTTCACTGGAAAGTAATCCCAATGCATTCATTTTATAAGCTTACTGAACCCATTATGAGTGTATATTATTCAGTTTTTTAGGCTTGCAGAGACAAGTTCAATAATCTCAAACATTAGATCAGTGAAAATTTTCGAAATACTGGCCCACATTACTTACACACTCATTACATTCCTTATTTTAATTTAAAAGTACTGGCATATTTGTCAGATACTAAATAATTAGGACTTTCTCGGAATGCCTGTTGCTAAAAAAGCAACTAAGAAAAAAGTTTGTTTATTATAAATACCATCACCTTTGTTATTCAATTGATTGAAAATTATTTACAAGATTTTACTCACTAGGAAGCAAATGTTTTGTATGAAGTTTAAGAACAGCAAAAACAATTAGTTTTATAATGAACATTGAAAAATGACCAAAATTCGTAAAAGCACTGTCATATAAAATTTGATCATTGCTTGCAGATAGCCGACATGTCAAAGATTCATTTTTTTTAGCAACATACGATTTGTCGAAAACAATTTCAATCGGATCCACATACATATATATTTTTAAGTGCACTGTAATGTATAATTTCTACAATCTATAATATGTGTGAATTAAAAAGTACAATAGCCCATTTCTAGTGGTTAACATCTCAGTTCTCATCATCAGGTAACAGAACCTGACTTAAGAGTTGTGGCATCTTTGTGGTTAGGCTATTTAGAAGTTAAAGTAAAATCCGAGTTCATCAGCTCCATAATGTAATCAACCAATTGTATATATATATCACAAGTGCAAGTGAAATGCAAATAATAAAAAAAATCTTCTTACAAAGAAAATCGATAACACAAGGCACAGTAAACTAAGGGGATCTAATCTCAAGTACGCACTATGTGTGGATATATTTTGGGCGAGTAAAACACGAAAAAAGCAAGCAGCAAAATTAGATCGGCTCTGATGTATATTTTTGTACCAGTCAACATTGTTTAGTCTCGCAACTAATAGGATACGTATGTTAATGAACTCAGGATTTGGGGAAATTTGTAACCAACTTATATTTGGAACCCATAAAAATTCACAATATATTCTACCATCATCACAATGAAAAAAATTAGTTGCACAACCAATTAAGTCGCAATAATTTCAGATTTCCATGTCAGTACCAATTCAGAAGTAGGTTTATCAATTAATATATCTTCCATCGAAGCTTGTTCGGTACTCCTATTTTGCAAAACAATATCTTCATTAAAAACTTTAGCAAGGAAAGCAGAAACACACTTATAATATGAGTGACTCACACACCATGTATCATTATGTGAGCCTTTCGGAACTCTAACAAAAATTGTGTGGGAATTATCAGAAGCATTGCGCAAAATCCTTGTCATATTTGGATCTAAAATTTCATCCTTATCACCGCAGATAAATAAAATTGGCACATTAACTTTCGCAATCTTATCAATTGACATAAACTTATTTTTATAACAAACAATAGGAAGCTTTGAAATACCAGGTAAAATCCCTCTAAAAACATGTTGTGCTGCATCTGGTATACTCGTGAACGTATTTTCAACAATCAAGGCAGCAATTCTATATTCTTCACCATGAGCCATAGCCGCGAGGTGGATAGCTATAGCTCCTCCCATTGAATGACCAAAAAGTATAATTTTGTTTGGATCGACGTCGCTTCTGGTTCGCAAATATTCAATACAAGTTTTTCCATCGATATAAAGTCCTTCTTCGCTGGGGCAACCTGTACTTTTTCCATACCCCCTGTAGTCAACTACTAACACGTTACATCCACAAATGGTATTAAGAGGGAGAGTGCATGGTGATCCAGCATTCCCTGAAAGGAATAGTTGCAATAAATAGTTGATGCTCAATAATTATAAAAAATATTGAAAAGAGACATATATATCCAACAAAGCCCAAGTTTCAGAAAAAAAAAAACATTGCGATATGTCTTTTGTATCATAGCAGTATTGGCAAGACAGCCAAGCCAGTCTTTGTCTGAATAATTTTGTGAAGGTAGAGCTACACTATTACTCTGCAAAAATTTACCTGCGTTTCCATGAAAGTATAGAACGGTTGGAGAGGTGGATCCATTTTCTTGTTTTTTGATAAAATATCCATGCAGTCCTTCTCCATCTTCAGTTTTCAATCGTAAAATTTCATGGGGAAGATGAGATGGGAATGGAACATAAAGTGATGAATTCGCTGGCATTTCTGGATGATACAGCAGCCTGTCTTGTAATTTGTACAACAAGCCCAAGAAAAATATGAGAAGGAATGGAACTAACACATATTTTATGTCTCCAAACAAAAATTTCAGAACACAAAAAATCAGCACAGTGAATAATAATAGGAATGTAGAACAGTCAGCTGCAGTTTTGAAAGCAGCAGTAGCTTTTCCCCCATTCTGTAGACGACTATATCCACCGTGTTGTTTCCCAGTCAAATTATTGAATAAATTCATTGGCAATGCTTCAATTTAAACATACAGACTACGGTATACTACAGTACTTATTACTCCTAAATCAGTAACCGTGGCAGAACTGTAATGACAGAATCATGATTTAGGCAAAACAAAGAATCCACTTTATCCTAGTCACTCGCTGCTCCACTGTCTGACAGTACAGCCTTCTATGCCTTCATTTTTACGTTAATTTCAATGTATACATGCGTCGCGAGTCTTCTTGATTAGTCATTCAAAGGCATTAGGGGAAATCAAAATAGAGATTGAAGTTGTATGTAAAACATCCACCATCTCATCTCCCAATATAAGAAGAACCTTCGCACAGTTGCAGGCTAACCGGTTATCCGCCGTCGCACGGCGAGTGGTCCGTGGCAAAACCGAAGTGACTATACTGATAAGTTCTGTGCACGGATACTCATTAAAGAAATCATCATAAAAAAACTCTAATCACACGTAAACAGGTCTGTAAGTGATGAGGTCAATATTCCTAAAATGGTTTGCACACAGTTAGCTGGGCGTTTTGAAATGTTTCTAAATACTAATATGTCGAAACGGCGCTGTTTTGACCTTCGAAACGATTATTATGACACCATAACGAATATAAACTGAAATTAGTCACGATATCATTACTCTTCTGGTTCACAAACATCTATGGCATGAATAAAATTGCATATGAGCCCAACAATTACATAAAATGTAAGCAGGGTGGAATTTAGACGCTGAGAGGCCCTAGGGCAGGGGTGGGCCACCCCTGGCACGCGTGCCCATTCATTTGGCACGCGAGCGAGGCCTCGGAAACGAGATCATTCTACTTCAGATAAAAAGTTTCAAGACTCTGAATTATCTGATGAAACTCGGTGTTCGATTATTCATTATCGTCTGTTAATTAACAATCTGTTATTTATTTTTGTCCTTTCATGAAGTATGGCTACAAAGAAATATATTATGACGTAACAAATGAGTAGTAGGCTTTCGAAAAAAGCGCTGCATTCATTTTGCTACATTCTTAATTAATATAGTTCATCTGTGCCACTCTTTTCCTTCATTTATGCTTGATTTATGAAGTCGTGAAGCTCATGTTGGCTAGAGTTTCTTGCTAACTTACTGCTATAAATGAATTTCGAAAAAAAATATAAGCGATTAGTTAGGGGAATACAAAAGAGTGCAGAAAACGAACTATTGCGTAATTGGGATGCCATTCCCGACAATTTTTTGTGTCCTAAAAACTTGTCCCAACTCCATGTTTTTATCTATATATGCTTATGAATCTCTGTTCTCGGTTATGAACTTTATTAAGTCTCGTATTAGGAGTAGCCTGAAAGATGAAACCAGTAGTTAGTGTATTTCTCTGGAAGTTATAAAATATAAACTCAATGTAAAATCTCTATCAGCGGTAATGGGGCAGCAGAAGTTTCACTGATATAGAACAAGAGAGCTGTGCTCAAATATATGGACACGTTAACCAGAGCGAAGCAGTATTTACCTTGAAGCCACCGGTAACCACAAAAAATTCCGAGTTTCGCGTAGAAATAATTTACAGAATCAAACTGGACAGCCAGTGTTCCCATGGATAAAATAATACAGCGAAATTTTAGACGAAATATCAGATTTCGTGCGAAATTTAGAAATAAATAAGAGTAATAGCCTTCTGGCGAAAAAATCAATCTTTACTCACTGAAAATTTCAAAGCAATTGGTCCAGTAGTCAAAGCGAAAAGCGATTTTTTTAAAAATGATGGAGACAAATAATATCAACAAGAGAGCTACGCACAAATATATGGACACGTCAGACCAGAGCGAATCAGTCCTTACCGGTACCGGTACCTTTGACGCTACCGGTAGATTATTCGCTATTTGATTAAGTTTGCAGATGTTATTGTAATCTTTGATTAGACTGAAAGTACGATAGCCTACTACCTTCTGTACTATTACTGTACGTGGATCTTACTGGATATACTATCTGCATACCTACCTAATTTCACCTTGAAATCAATCACACTACTGCACTAACGTTACTTCAAGATGAACAAGGAAGTCCAAACCCAGATTCTGGCAGCTATCTCATCTCTCCAGGCCAAGCAAGAAGAGCTAATGTCACATGCAACTCTATTATCTGCCTCTAAAGACCATGGCAACCAATCCCAGGACATCATTAAGTTCAAGAATGACGTGGCTCAAATCTCCTCCAAGATCCAGGAGATTATTAGCAGGCTGGAGACTTGTGAAAAGCAACAGGACGATTTAGAACAATACAGCCGAAGAAACTGTGTGATTCTCCATGGCTGTAGTTCTGTGCCAGAAACTGAATACCATAAGTTCGAAGACTTCGTAGTGAAAACTCTCAACGACAGCCTTAAACCCAACCATCCTATTGTGAACACTGACATTGATATTACTCACAAATTAAAATCAAGATCTCCGAAGAACCCCATCATCATCAAATTCGTCAGAAGATCAACGAAGAATATGGTGTATGGTAGAAAAAAAGAACTCAAAGGCAGCGGATTGTCCATCACTGAGTCCTTGACCCGTAGCAGGCTCAAGCTACTCAGCGCTGCCAAGGAAGCCTTCGGAAAACAAAAAGTGAGCACAATGAATGGGATTATCTACGCTTACCTAGATAAAAGGCGAGTAATATCTTCCTTAAATGATATCACTACTCTCTCTCGTCCCCTCTACTCCAAGGCTTCTGCCCGTTCAGTGGGACCAACCTCAAGACGTAGCGGTAGCCTATGAGCAGAGGGGAACGATTAACTCATTCCTAATCTCCATTTTTCTTATTTGAATAGGCTAGTGCTGACTAATCAATGGTTCTCCATCTCTTAAACATCTGGAAACCTATATAGCCAGACTAGATATTTGACTTATTTTATTCATTTTTCATTTTTATTTTTCACTTTTATTTTGTTGTGCCACTGCCATGAAAACTAATTTAAAATACCCATGTAGAAATTGCCACAAATCAGTTCGAATCAATCAAAAAGCTCTTTATTGTGACATTTGTTCTTCTTGGATACATTTAAAAGGAACCAATATTTCTGGACAACAATATCAAAATCTTGAATCTGAAGCTGATGAAATACCTTGGTGCTGTTTCCTTTGTGAAATAGACTGTATGCCATTCTCTTGTCTCTCTGATTCTGAAATATCTGAGTTATTTGTTCCCCTTCATACAGAAAAAGCTGAAGCCCAGGCACTTGCCAAAATTCTTGATCCTGAATACCTCAACAAAATGTTTCTTGAATCAGCCAATACTGATACTGATGAATTCAACAACATTGATAGTGTTTTCTTGTACAATTGCTCAAATCAATATATCTGCTCCAGTGATGTCAATGCCCTTAAATTCAACGACAGCCTTAAACTAAGTTGTTTCATGACTCTCTCCATCAATATCAGATCTTTAGCCTCTTTTAAAAACTTCACAAAATTTGAAGCACTAGTTAATTCACTGAATTGTAAGCCTCACGTAATTGCTGTAAATGAAACATGGATTATATCTGGTACAAATGGCCATTTCAATGCACTGGATGGCTATGTTTTTATCTCTAATAGTAGATCTCATCACCGAGGTGGTGGTGTTGGTCTCTACATTCGAAATGATTTGAAATACATTGTCCGCAAAGATATTACTATAATGTGCGAAAAGGTTTTTGAATCTATATTCATTGACATATCATTGGAAAATAAAACAATAACCCGCGGTACTATTTATAGATCACCACTAACTGATGAATTGAACAATGCTAACTTTCGGAATCTCTTGTCCCAAGTTCTCTCAAAGATGAACAGGTTGAATTATAGTTATATAATGGGTGACTTTAACTATAATCTTATTGATGAGTCCAATATGAATACCAGCCTATTTGTTGATATTATGCACAACCTGGCCTATTATTCTCTGATAAACTGCCCCACCAGGATAACTTCAAGTTCTGCTACCTGTATAGACCACATCTGGACAAACGTATATGATAAAAAAATTAACAGTGCTGTTTTAGCAGAATGTGTTTTTGATCATCTGCCGATTGTACAATGCTCTCTTCTAGAAAAGCAAATTCAGACCAGAATTGAAACGCTTTTTCGCCAGTTTACTTCGTCCAACTTGAATACTTTTATGAATGAACTGAATTCTATTGATATTGATGACTTCAGCAGCATCCAGGATCCCAACACTTTCTTTGAAAATTTTTTTGAAAAATTCTCCACTGCTTACTCTCAATCTTTTCCTTACAAAAAACAGACAAACAGATCAAACAAACCTTGGTATGATACTGAGATACGAAAACTCAACAACGTCAAACAAAAACTTTATAAGAAATTAATAAACAATAAAAACATAAATGACAAGCACAAATTACAGTTCAATGAATGCAGGAACCTTTATACTCGATTGCTCCACAAAAAGAAATCAAATTATTACAAATCTAAATTTGCTTCTCACAAAGGCAACATCAAGGCAGTGTGGAAAACAATTAATGAACTTATTGGTAAAAATAAAACAAATTCTTGTCCTTTGATTGGACTTGATTGCAGTAATACACAAACTGCAAATAAATTTAATGAACACTTTTCCCAAGTGGCACAAAGCCTGCTTGACTGTATGCCACAACCAGCTGGCTGTGACAAAAATTACATTTCATATCTTGGGAAGCAAGAATCCTCATCCATGTTCTTAAGGCCAGCTACATCATTAGAAATAAAAAATATTATACGCGATATGAAGCCCAAGTCAAGTTTTGGAATCGATGGTATTCCATTTAAAATATTGAAATATGTTCAAGAACATATTATTGATATCCTGACATACATATTTAATCTTTCACTATCTAGTGGATTATTCATTGAAAGCTTCAAGACATCCAAAGTTCTTCATCTCTTAAAAAAGGGTAGTGTTTCAGATCTTGGAAACTATAGACCTATTAGTCTTTTACCATCATTTTCTAAGATTTTTGAACAAATAATGTATAGTAGAATGTCAAACTACTTTGAAACTAACAATGTTTTCCACTCGCATCAATTTGGTTTCCGCAAGCATCACTCCACTGCTATGGCTGCTAATGTTTTGGTACACAAACTGACCAATGCGTTTGAATGCAAACAACATGCAATTGGAATATTTCTTGATATCTCAAAAGCTTTTGACACCATTGACCATTCCATCCTCTTAAGTAAGCTCTATCACTATGGAATTAGAGGCGTTCCATTCAATTGGATCAAGAGCTACCTTCAAGACAGGAAGCAAATTGTGCAATATGACAACTCATTCTCTACAAATATTTGTGTCATGAAGCACGGAGTTCCACAAGGATCTTTACTTGGCCCATTATTTTTTCTAGCTTACATTAATGACATGTCCAGGTGTCTGAAATCCTCTGAGTCGATCATGTTTGCTGATGACACTAACTTGATTCTTCATGGGGAAAACCTTGAAGATCTATTCACAGTTGCAAACCAAGAACTAACCAACATTCATAGCTGGATGTTAGTTAATAAATTATCTCTTAATGCTAACAAAACTAAATTTGTATTATTCCATCCAAGCAAGCATAAAAGTGTGAGTTGTTCAAAAAAACTACTGCTCAATGGCAATGAAATGAAAGAGGGAAAGAAATAAAATTTCTAGGAGTTATCTTTGATGAAAATCTGTCATGGAAATCACAAATAATGCATGTTATTGGTAAAACAAAATGAAACCTAGCAGTTTCTGCCAAAGTATCCCAGTGTGTTGATCAATCAGCTCTACTAGCAATATTTCGATCATTACTACTTAGCCATATTCGATATTGTTGTTCAGTCTGGCTTTATGGTAATAAAACACTTATCTCCAAACTGCAGAGTTTTGGAAATAATTTTTTAAGAATAGTTTTTGGTAAAAGAAAACGTGAAAGTGTAGACTCTTACTTCAAATCACTAAATATACTTAAGGTTGAAGATATGATGAAATTTGAAATATTATCTCTAGCTCACGACTTCCATAATAATGCGCTGCCCAATTGCTTTAATGACATACTTGTCAAAAATACCTCCAACCGATGAAGTAGTTCTGATTTATTCGTACCTTTCATGAGTAAATCCGTGAGTCAGCATTCCTTGTCTTTTACTGGACCCAAACTTTGGAATTCTCTTCCCTTAAATTTGAAGACGTTAAAGTCCAAAAAATCTTTTCAAAAACAAGTCAAGTCTCATTTAGTTTCCAATTATTAAATATTAAAAATTACTACTGGTGGTATTCGATGACAAAAACTTGGGACACTCCACACTTGCACATTATTGTTTTAATGAAAATGTTGAACAGCTATAATAATATTGTTATATCTTGCCACGACTTGGCCAGAACTAGTCCAGCCCCAAAGAAATGGTATTGTGACATGCATGAGTATATATATATATTTTTTTTAAGTATATAGGTAGCTAACGTACCCGGATGATATTTTCTTTAAATAACTGCACACATTCTATCACTTCACGATCTTGTTTTTATCTTTTTCTAGCTGTGATGTCCTTATCATACACGTTTGGTCTTATGTTTGAGTGGTGGTATAAGGGTTGTAGATAGTATAATATTGTTCCTGCAAGGTTACTAATTATTGCAACTAGGCGAGCAGTAGAGCTATGTTGGATTCTCCCCTTCAGATTTTAATTTGCTGTGGGTCATTGTAATTGGATGTGGTTTTTATATCATTCATGTATGCATGCGTTTCATGTTAAGGCATGGTGTTTGAGTTGACTTGTTGGCCAAGGTATAGATAGTAAAATTCTGTGTGTTTTTTGCATGGTGTGATAGATTTTTCTCTGTCCCAAGCAGAATGTCGTCATAGATCATCTATCCATCGCTATATAATGACAATACATCCCATTTAATTAAACAATTATTTTTTGCCTGTAATAAATAGTTCAGAGCGTTCCCCTTCTCCCAATCATTGAAACATCTACTCGCGGTTTTATTTTTTGTTTTTCAGGTTACTTCAAAATGATTAAATGAAGTAAAACACATAAGGAAAAAATCAAAAAAAGACTCCGATATCCTGTGAAATAACAACCTCATTCCTATATCCTTGTCTGAAATCAATACCCAAGAATGAAAAACCTCACTTACACCCTTTGTAACCAATTTATTTCCACATCCTACTTTACTTAATTATAGTAATTTTACTGTTACCGGTAACTTTAATTACTTATTACAATCTGGACTATAATTTGGCACTAATAGGCTCTAATTTGGGGAATGAAATGGTCTCGCCCACCTCTTCATGCACCCAATTCTGGCAACTTTGGTTGGGCAACTTGGCATTTGACTCCAACTATAATCAGCTTGGCAATATGTTTTCAATAGAATCTTCCTTTTATATCTTAATTAACGATTAGAAGATCGATCAATTTGGCAATGGCAACCATTACAAAAATATCAATATAGTGTGGCAGATAATTTTCTTTTCTAGTATTTATTTATTTATTTTTTTTTGTTTACTGTATAGTATACCCTAAATTTATCGCGTTTTATTCTTACTTAAATAACTTCTCAGTGGTTGTGTGTGTGTGTGGCTGGTGGGTGCATGTGAGCGTGTGTGAAATAACTTAATAATTTTAGGTGAGTAAACACGTACCACTTCCTCTTGGCAAAACCTTCCATCTTATATTTTGTACGTTGTAAACCTTATCTAAGGTTTTGTTTGCTCCCCTGATTTCATAATCAGTTTTTATTTATTTGTTTTTATCTGTCAAATGTATTGTTATGCTGATTATGGAGTCGAAATAAACTTATACTTATACCGGTACCCTCAAAAAAGTTCTGAATTTCCAGTAGCAAGAATTTTGCAGAATCAAAACGTACAGCCAGTCATGACACTGACTAAAATCCGTGTTCCCATGGATAAAAAATAATACAGCAAAATTTTAGACGAAATATCAAATTTCATAGAATTCACGCAAAATTTTGAAATAAATAAAAGTAATAGCCTTCTAGCGAAAAAGTTAATCTTCAACCACTGAAAATTTCAAAGCAATTGGTCCAGTATTCGAAGAGAAAAGCGACTTTTCAAAAACGTGTCAAAGAACAACAACAACAAGAGAGCTACGCACAAATATATGGACACGTTAGACCAGAGCGAATCAGTCTTTACCGGTACATTTGACGCTACCGGTACCCTCAAAAAAGTTCTGAATTTCCAGTAGCAAGAATTTTGCAGAATCAAAACGTACAGCCAGTCATGACACTGACTAAAATCCGTGTTCCCATGGATAAAAAATAACACAGCAAAATTTTAGACGAAATATCAAATTTCATAGAATTCACGCAAAATTTTGAAATAAATAAAAGTAATAGCCTTCTAGCGAAGAAATTATTCTTTAACCACTGAAAATTTCAAAGCAATTGGTCCAGTATTCGAAGAGAAAAGCGATTTTTTAAAAACGTGTCAAAGAACAACAACAACATAATATTGAAACGATCGTTATGGCCACTAAACGTGTCCAACAACAACATAATATTGAAACGATCGTTATGTCCACTTCGTGTCTAATAACAACAAAATTTTGAAACGATCGTTATGTCCACTACGTGTCCAATATGAATGTCCTGGATTCTTTAGTTTGAATAAAATCCGACGGGAGTGCTGTGGTCCATCCCGCATCGCTTCTTTTCTCAAATTTATTCGAATATTTTATAAGTTACAAATAGTTTTATCACTAATAACAAAATATCTTCCAACCCCAAATTCCCCCCTCCCCCCCCCCCCCCTAAAATACTGGTACACACACTTCTGGAGCGCCATTTTTTTAAATTGCGTAAGATACGATATTTGAGTAACAGGCAAGACACTAATTATCAAGCTCAGCATCGTTCCGCATACAGTAATGCCCAAACCCCTCGCTTGGGCCAAGATTCTCATGGAAACATCTGTTATAATGCGTCAAATTCGTCAATTCATACTTGGTCATGGTACGATGGGTTGCAGATACGAAACGTACCGTATCCCATGCGTTTCGTGCGAGGGATTTTTAGACAATTGCAGATTTGTAATTGACGATATACACAGAGGTATACAGTAGCGTTACACGTAGCGTAAGGTTGTTTTGACTTCATATTCTTGTTATCAGATTAACTTCGATAATTAGGATGGGACATGATGTCAATGACATGTCTCAATTTTAAAATGTCAATGCAAATGTTGATAATGTTAGAACTAGAATTAAAACCTTGAAGATCATGAAGAAATTTTGAAAAAATTGATAAATCATTCCGAACTTGGTTAGATGAATGAACTTGATATAATATGCAATACCTGGTAGACTATATAATTTATTGTTATTGACTTATTTGCTTTGAATAGTGAGTACATCAAAATAGAAACTGAGTGCAGAATCAGACAGTCAGAGGAGCAATTTCAGAATTTGAACCTCATGCTGTCATGTACCACTACCGGTACTGGTACCTCCTGACTTCAGTACCTGGATGTTATATAAATCTGTTTTTGATAAGAATTGGGAGTATTTCTGAAAATTAACTGGAATTGAAGTTGAGACTTGCATCTTTTTGTAGGTCAATTCTGCATTTAGTATGAAGTCTGCAGACCAATAGATTACGATTATATCTCTCACAACAGCACATACATAAAAATTCCCAAGAAACAAAAATTCGGTCAAATAGTAGTAGAGGTGTTTGTTTTATTTAATCAAGTGACTGAAAATCTTAGAACAAGAGAACTGTGTCCTACTGCAGTTTCAGCTGTGCAAATAATATTTACCCAATATCCATCTTTTTTTTCCTGTATTTCAACAATTTACTTTATCTACACAAGAAACTAATATAGATACAACAAACTTATTCCACCATGGATACAGAAATGTACGATGAGTTTGGGAATTATATCGGACCTGAGTTGGATTCCGATGAAGAGGAAGAAGATGAGGAGGTAGACAATGATATGTCACCATCACATGACCTTGATCGGCAAGAAGATGACGATGATAATGATGTTGATATGGATGACAGTGGAATTGCAAGTAATACATACAATATTTTTATATGTAGATTATTATATTAATCTTAGTATAAGGGAAAAAAAATAGGTCAATTTGATCATATTATATCGAACCATGGATTCTTGTCTCGTTTTCATGCGTTGGTATTTTAATTTTAGCCTACATCCCATATAAATTTATTGCAAATCAAAAATAGCGATCACTAAACTCAATAATAGTATTTAAAACTGGTTTTATGCAGAATTTAATGCAAATCATGATTTTATTAACACAGGCCAGATTTAATACAGGGGTGGTGACTCCTCTACGGCCCATGGGCCGACGCCACAGCCCATCTAATTGAGCCACATGGGCCTTGGCCCATCAAGCTATATCAGGAAAAATTCAATTATCTTACCAAAACTCTCAAGTTTTACAAAATTGTCAATATTCAAACCAAAAAAAAAATCGCGGGAAAAATTTTTTTTCTACGATAAGCCTTTATATAAAAATAAAGCAAAATACCAAGCTACAGAAGAGGATACTCCTATAGTATGTATATCAGGTTAGGGTTAGGACAAATATTTGTTCAGATTTTTCACATTATAGTTCTATTATGAGTTCGGGGACTGTCTGTGTTAGCCAAGTGAATAGTCCCTTTGCACAACGTGATGGGCAGCGGCCTGGACCATGGGACATAGAGGAGTCACCATTTCCACTCCAGATTTAGTAATAAAAAAATTTTCTGTAAAAGTAAACTTTCACAAAAGTAAACTTATGTGAATAGAATTCCCAAATCCAAAAACAATTTCGACATGATACAATTTTCATTTTTCTTATATTGCAAATTCATATTGCTCTGAACAAAACTCTACAAAAGAGACTGATGCTATTGTTTGAGCTACCATAGTGAGGACTGGCTGGAATCTTTTTGGTTCAGCACTGCCTACCCAATTTACTACACCCTGGACATGGGATTTAAACCTGTGATGCCATTACTGCTAAGTCTAACGCATTAACCACTGACCTACCGCACCCACAATTAATATATTGTAATAAGGAAATTTAATTTTAGAAACTGGGATGGAAGTTGTTTTACATGAAGACAAAAAATATTATCCAACCCATGAAGAAGTTTACGGGGAAGAAGTCGAGGTAAAATATTTGGTTCAGTATTACATGATTTCATTTGGTATAATTTAATTATATCCCAATGCCAGAAGTTTTTCTGGTTGTGATTTAGATATGTTTCCACTGTAACCTGACTAATGTTGGAATATATTAGATTGGAGCTAATAGGCACTCAGTGAAAAATTAGTAATTTTTGTATGTCTTATGCATTGGTGATAATTAATTGCAACATGAATTTTTTTTCTACTACTGTGTGAGTTAATGTGAATTTCTTTTCCCAAATTACCCCAACATCTGCTGTTTTTATTGTGACATTTTGAAACAAGGTCATATGTTAAAAATATTACTAAGAAATAAGTAGTATGCCATCAAATTATAGTTATCAAAGTAGCCTATTTCACTAAACATTTACAGGAATTTAAAATTAAAAAATATACATTTTCTTTGTCTCGAGTTTTTTCAAGTTTCGCTCTTTTGTATCAAAGCTCTCGACTATTCGATATTGTTCAAGTATGAATTTTTTTTAGCTAAAATGTCTTATACTATCTTGGCAATTTTTGTTTTTGACCGCCAATTCATCATAGTCTGATTATCTGTAATTATCAAACTTCAAAGTATTAACCTGAAAAACTGTCTGTGGGGTATATCACCACCGTATATTCTAAAAAAATTAATGTTTGAGCAATTCTCTGAAAATTTAACACAGACAATAGTGCAAGAGGAAGATGCACAGCCACTGACTGAACCGATAATTGCTCCGATAAGAAGGAAGAAGTTCGCACTCATGGTTCAAGATCTACCTAACACTACATATGATATGGAATATCTTGCTGATCTTATGGACTCACCAGAACTTATAAGAAATGTTGTTATTGCAGGACATTTGCACCATGGAAAGGTATTTGATAATTATTTTTTTGCAAATTTATGTAAATATGCCATAAGATGAAATGAACCATAGGATAAATAAGGTTTTGGCCATCGTTCTTCGTGATTTAGTACCATGTTTGTAGCATTTTTTAACTGTATTTTTTCTACCCAGAGACGGAGCCAATTTTTTGAACTCAGATTCGGTGTCACTTGTATATTTTTTTCTGACACTACAGCTCTATTAACAACATTTTCACTATTATGAATTTAAATAATTAGTGCAGGGTAGAACCTTCTTATAAATATTGACTATACATTTCTCTGCCTTTAATCTCTGTATCACTGAATCGGTCATACTGGTCCAGACTATTAACCAAATGAGAGGTCATACTTCTTGCTGTAGCATAAAGCTGTGATCCAAGCTTGTCTCAGTAAATAGAGCGGGTGATACTAGAAATTCTAGTGGCTCATCTCCTTGCCATCTTAATTTTTTTTTTCGCATTCATTATTTTCTAACACTTCATACAAATAATAAAATTTATTTTTTTCAGCTTGTAATTTTTTGTTTTTAATATATTAGTTAAATTTGTATATTAAAAACATTTGATTAAATATACAAATTTCAATGATTAATTATTTTTATTCCACTGGCCACTGCCACAGTGTCTGGTAAAAATCTTGGACGTTCTGAAGAATAAAAAGACAGTGAAAAGCATTTTTCATTGGTTTCTAAATATTAATATGATGTCCTTCTTTATTCAATCCATGTTATTGTTTGTTTTAGACAAATTTTGTCGATTGTCTGATCGAACAAACTCATCCAGATATTGCAAAGAAAGAAGCTAAAGACGTAAGTTTGAAAATCTTGAGATCTATTTTGATCAGTTTTTTGTGTCCTACCGAGTTTATTAGGGCATACATGCTATTGTAAGAGTTGAATATGTTTGTCTAGATTAAACTTACCGGTAATGTTTTTGCATTGTTGTATTAAAGTCTGGGTAACCATGTGTCATTGGGTAAGGGCCTCGTTTGAGAAACCCCCAGTCTAAACTGATTTGTTTCAAATCGGGCATATCAGAAGTCAGGATTATACGAGAAACAGTATCTTAGAATTTTTTTTCAATTTGAATATGATCCAGGATTATCCAGGACTCCAAATATCAAATACTCTGCAGCCATAAATCCTTGATCTATTTTGTTTTTCTTCATTATTCACAGTTGAGATTTACCGACACATTATTGACTGAACAAGAACGTGGATTAAGCATTAAATCACAACCTGTTACTCTGGTATTGCCTGATACAAGAGGCAAAAATTATCTTATCAATGTTATGGATTCTCCAGGTCATGTCAACTTTTCAGATGAGGCAAGTGTTGAGTTTGTAATATCTTATTATACATATAAAATTGAACTGCCGCTGCTATAGAGATTGAATTTGATAATGCCACGAAAAAGAAGTTTTATCCGATTTGTTATTTTTTCAGCCTTTTTTTGTAATTACAATATAGATTTTTTAGCAAGAGGTGTCAACAGCTCAAACTGACAATTTTCGTGACAAATGGAAATGTTTTAAATTTCTCCCAACATATAAAATTTTATTGTATCAATTCGATGCATTCTGTTTCATCTTGACATTCCTGTTGAACTTTTCACTGGGCCTTTAATTCTGCCCAGATTCACTGTGTATTATCCTAAACATCGCAATTCAAGTCTGTCTATAATAATAATTGATGAGAGGTCACCTAAATACCAAATATGCTCTTTTCAGATCCGCTGATCAACGGTGATTCAACAAACCATTGTTTTGAAAATTTTAATTGTTTGTTTCGCAGGTAACGGCTGCAATGCGTCTGAGTGACGGTGTAGTTCTATTCGTTGATGCATCTGAAGGTGTGATGTTGAATACGGAACAGTTATTGAAGCATGCAGTGCAGGTATATTAACTGTGTATTGAATTGCTCATACTGGGATAGGATTTACATATTTATCTTTGGAAGGGAAATGATGATAAGCCAACTTGACCATCTCGCGAACCACGGCCTCTCGTCCAGCTACCAGCCCATGTCTGGTATGGGCTTAGTTAGCCAGTTTTTTGTTTTCGGTATGGACTCGATGGTGGAGGAAGCCGTAACCGACCAGCGGTTTAAGTGAATCACCCTACAACTGCGAAGATTCCAACAATCCTCTCACACATAATTATTTTTGCTTGGGATTTGAACCTGTGAACCCACGCAGGGTAATCAGTGTGGTGGTGAACATATTCCTAACGCTTAGTGCGATGCGTCACGCCGTCACACATATAAGCTTTTTATGCCCTGCTATGGATAAGTATAGTTGAAAAACGTGTTCACATTTTACTTTACTGCACATCAAGTTGTCCCAATAATGAGATATATTTAAAATACCTCAAAGATCATTTTTTTGCTCAATCAGTGCTTATCATGCGTTTTGCTCTGAACAAGGATGTATACAAACAGTAACCAATGATACGGAAGGAACTACCTATTACTTGGAAGGACTGGGATCATTTTGCTTTTAACACTGCCTACACAATTTAAAATACCTTGCGTGGGGGGAGGGGGTCACGGGTTTTCAGAGGTTGCATAATCTGCGATGCCGACGCAGTTAGGTCTTCGCTATAGCCGCTAGGCTATCACCACAATTGTTTTATAATAAATTCATTTTGATAGGAACGACTTGCAATCACTCTCTGCATCAACAAAATTGACAGATTGATGTTGGAATTGAAACTTCCACCCACTGATGCTTATTATAAGCTCAGACATATTGTTGATGAAGTCAATTCTTTGCTAAGGTGAGAAGATAATAGTTCCTTCTTTTTTATTAAAGTTTTATTATACAAAATTTACACATAAATAAGTTTTAATACAAAATGCGGTATTCAGTGACAGGAAACAGTACTGTTGGAGAAGGATGATAATTAAAGCAAAATATGTCAACTGATAAACGACATATTTATCAAGTAAAATTAGACGGAACCCAAATCATTTGGAACATATTCTAGAGAGAACAAAATGAGGTTCACAAAGTGTCCTGGATTACTGAACATTCTGGGTACCATCCTACACAAACAAAAGTTTAAGTGATAACTGATAAATAATTTTTCTTCATTTTCATGAAAGTAATTGAGGAATTAATGGGTTCTTTTTTTTTGATCACCCTGTATTTGTTAACTTAATGCAATGCATTACTTTAAGTTCAGCTTTGTATGAAATAGATTTTGTAAAATTTGTGTGGTTGCAGCCATATTATATATCAGCGAACAGCAACCTTGCATGTGGCTTTTTGTTCTCGGAGGCGCGACGCTCTGGTCTCGTGAATCAAAGTGGTCGCAGCAGTTTATTGTCAGAAACAGTGGGGATTCAATGAAAGGGTGGCATAAAACCAAATACTCACTAATTACACATCACTTGGATCCCAAAGTATAAGTCACGACTCACGAGCGGTAAAAATCAGTTGCATTAAAAGTGATTCAAGTCTGTTGAAACAAACTTTTTCTTTTCATTTTCCAAGTCATTTTCATTTTGTCGAAAACTGAAATATTCCTAATATATTTGGCTTCTTCTTAGTAAGAACTAGAATATTGCTTCTTAAGTGGTTTTCTGGGAGTTTTAATTGCCACTGACATTAGAGTAAATGTTGCGGCTCTGTGTAGGTTTATAGCTAATGGAAAGACTGCCAAATGGCTCTTTCGATGCTAAAGGTTGTCGACCTAAGTTATATACTAATATGTTATTCTCATTTCCAGCACATACAGTGATGAAGAGGATACCCCGTTAATTTCTCCGCTACTTGGAAATGTCTGTTTCGCCAGTGCTCAATATTCTTGTTGTTTTACGCTGCAGTCGTTTTCAAAAATCTATGCCGATCATTATGGTGGAGGTTTGGATTATAAGGCTTTTGCAAAACGATTGTGGGGTGATGCTTACTTCAATCAGAAAACGTATGATTTTGTATTTTTTTTATACAATTTTCTTACTCTTTCTGCCAAAAATAAATATTTTTTCATCTGTGATTTGAAAAATGCAAATAAAATTTGCGAGCAGGGGATACGCAAAATATGTTACTCTGCTTCAGAAGGCTGACAGCGGCAAATGATACGAATGGTTGGTTTTTGCTCAACGATGTCGATGACCATGCATAAGACTTTGAGAGAATGTATGTGACTCTGTGTCAAAAGTTTATAAGATATTTCGTGAATGATATTTCCGAGATTTTGCTATTGCGAGCTTGAGCGACCCAGTTACATGCTTGATAACCTGATTTTTTACAAAGTTTAGACAAGTAGTTTAGACAAACAACATTTTATCGATAAGTAACAATAAATTATGATGTCTTTATTCAGGCGAAGATTTTACAAGAAACCTCCTCATACCAATGCTCAAAGAAGCTTTGTCGAATTCATATTAGAACCTTTATACAAGATATTTGCACAGGTAAATTAAATGATTGTCTTCTACACGATTCAAGCTAAATTCAAAATTAATGGTTATAAAATAAAAGAGTTTTGAGTCATTCTTTCTGTGGAATTGTCTGATTTTCAAAGATTTCATAACTGTACTTTTGTTTCCTGCCATAGAGATCTACCTTATTGTTAAATGGAAATAACAAATTTTGCAATGCTTTCTGGATGAGGGAATGTCAATAGCAATTGATAAGTTCTTACCTACATTACATTAATTATCATTTTACAAAATTATTTTATTTTTGATGGGTTTGTTATCGCTGTGAAATAAGTGCTTTTCTCCACAGCCAAAGAAAGCTAAAGAATGGAAGATGTTACTAGAAGACTATTACTTGCATTACTTTTTAAAATTTTCCTCCGAGTCTGTCATTTTATTTCAAATTTTGTTGGTTAATATAATTTATAGTTACACCTTCTAATTTGCTTACTCCTATCACATTTGGTACAATACTTTTACCATTTGACTGAAAATGTGCTGACTGCTGACATTGCGGTGGCCATATTAGTCTTTAGACCTGAATTATCTTTCAATTTCTTTTTCAGGTAGTTGGAGATGTTGATAGCACATTACCTCGTGTATTGGAAGAAATTAATGTTCACGTAACAAAGGAAGAATTGAAGCAAAATATTCGTCCTCTATTAAGACTGGTTTGCTCCAGGTGGGTATTTATGAAATTAGGTGTTCTCAGGCTTTACTCCTAACAAAGCTTTCCAAAAGCAGCTACTGATACATAAACAGCTGTTATTTTTGGAAGGATCAGAATTAATCCAATTAGAGATTATTCACCTAATTTATTACCATGTGAAGTGGTAGATACAGGGTTCGAATCTAAGATACTCAACCTCTGACACCAGCCTAGTAAAGTTCATTGCACTAACCACCATACTGTTGTTAATTGGTGTATAAAACAATTAATTTTAAACAATATTTAAAAATGTTGTGTTTTTAAAATTCATCATTTCATTCATGATTTCGTTATTGAAAAATTTGTTGCTGAGCACCAAGTTTGCTGAGAAGACTAGCCTCACAGAATTACGCATGGTGGCGCTACTAGCAAAATTTTGGGCTAAAATTTTGTTTCCCCATGGGACTCTCAGAAATTTTTGTAAACAAATAATAATAGTAGTCTTCTAGCGACTCCAAATCATCTTCAGGTAATGAAAATTACAATGTGTTTAGTTTGTTTGTCGTAAAGAACAACACGTTCAGTCAACAACGGCAGTAACCCAACCTGGGTAACAATAACAATTTTGCACAATCCGTAGGTCTAATTATTATTGTTTGAAATAACTATTTTTCATCTATTAACACAATACAAACAATTTATCAGGTTCCTTGGCAGCTTTACTGGATTTGTTGACATGTGTGTCGATCACATTCCATCACCAGAACAGGGTGCAAGACGTAAAGTTGAACATACTTACACTGGTCCATTAGATGACTCAGAACTTGCTCAGTCAATGTTGAAGTGTGATCCTGATGTAAGTACAATATACTAGTGTTTGAATAGGATGAAGTAATTCTAGGAACAAAGAACATCATATCTTTTAATCATACTAGCAAATTTATTGTGTGAAACAAGAATGTGTAAAGCCGTATAAAAAGTTGTCAGTCTTCAAACTCGGTTGGCTGTCCGCTCTCATTCGTTCACTGTCAGTCCAAAAAAAAAAAAATTTATGCTCAAATTTTTTTCCATCAACTTCAATTATGTGGAATTCACTGGCTCATAGCTGTTTTTCTGATTGTACTAAAATGAACTGAACTAAGCCTCGCGTCAATCAGTATTTTCCTACGTGCAAATCCATGCTATAATGATTTATAGTTGCAGTAGCTCTAGGTTCTTTAGTGGTTGCATGTAACTTTGCTCAGAGAAAAATCTCCTATATTTCTTAGTGAGTGAACTTTGAATTATGCACATTTCTTATAAAAGAAAAAGAAACTTTAATATTCAGAGTACATTCTGAAATCATTTTTCAAATATGGAATATGGAAATAAGTTGTTCAAATAACACACTGAAATATGTTTGAAAAAATAAATAATTAATTTCAAACACCCGCCGTGGTACAAAAAATTGCAATACACAAGACAAACATACGGACTGAATTTCGTGAACTTGCCAAAATTTCAAATGAGGTTTTAAACATGAAACAAAATACTGCATGGACAATGTCAACTTGTGACATAAAATATAAGCAAAAATTATAATGACATGCTTTTATGATTGTAGCTTGTTGGTAAAAAATCTTGTAATCATTCGATGTGTTACAGGGTCCTCTGATGGTTCACACTTGCAAAATGTACTCAACTGAGGACGGAGTGAGTTTCCGAGTGTTTGGACGAGTATTGAGTGGGACTGTACATTCTAATGAACAAGTTAAAGTTCTCGGAGAAAATTACAGTCTCGAAGACGAAGAAGATTCAAGGGTTGTTACGGTCGGCCGACTCTGGATATCTGAAGCTAGGTACCAATAAGTTGGTTTTGTATTGTTTGACGCATTTGGGTACAGCGCAGGGGTCGACAACCTACGGCCCTATAGCACTATAATCCGACCCGCGTTGCTTCACTAAATTATAGTAACAAAACATCCGTTTTGACGAATATATTATTTAGACTAAATTATATTATAACCTAACAATTATATAATTCGCAATTACTCATTTAATGAGCATATAATTTGATTATAATTAAGCAAATGGCAACAAAACGCTTTAAAGATGATGCTAAGTGCAAAGGGTTCAATGGCGCTGAAAATATTCAAATGGGATTTTATGAGATGCAATGAGGAAATAAATCTATATTCTATTCGAGAGATGTATCACTGCTTATAAATGCTCTTATTATAAAAAGTACCATCCGTTCGGTTTTTCAACTTTCTAAAAATATGTGCGGCCCGCCAATGACTTGCAACCTTAATTTTGGCCCGCGAGCGACAAAAGGTTGCCGACCCCTGGTATAGCGTTTCAGTTCCTTTACTCCGAGCAGGGGTCTGTATAAGCAGATATTACGTAATTAGCAACTTTTTTACCTGAATCTTACCAGTTCAGCATTGCATACCTGATTTATAATAAACTGGGCGAGGTGGGGGGCATGGGTGCAGTGCCAACATAGTTGGGGGCCAACGCTCCATAACCTTTGGTCCCCAAGCTTCCATTTTCTGTGGTCCCGTTCAGTGTTCACTCTAAAAAAATTATGAGTGCGAAGTGCTTAGCAGTTGAAAAAAAATGCGCTAATAGTGAGCACTGGTCCTGTTTCAAAGACTCAACACTCTGGCCCTTGCTTTTCCTCTAACTGTTTTGCTTTTTATTCACCACAGTTTAATAATGCAAAGCCAACTAACGAATATAAAAGAAAACATTCATCTCAGTTGAATAGTCAATGTAGAAATGACATATAGTTCCTAGTGGAGGCTTTTGTCAGTGACCCCCTGAGAATCGCTCCGGGGCTCCCTAGAGGGCCGAGGACCCAGTTTGAGAGATGCTGCAACAGGCCATCGCACCAACATCATTAAATATTCTTTGTGAAATATACTTACTATGATTTTTTCATTTTCTATATTATCAATGTCAGGTACACAGTGGAAGTGAATCGTGTTCCAGTCGGTAATTGGGTATTGATGGAAGGAGTGGATGAACCGATTGTAAAAACTAGTACAATCACCCAAGCTCGAGGAAATGAGGAAGCTCAAATTTTCAGGTAACTAGAAGCTTGATCATTGTCAAATCACAGTAATTTACTCTATTAATATTTTTTCTTTGCTCATGGCCCTAAATAACCGCTATGTGGCCCCTCGTTTGGAATACCCAGGTATATAGAGCATTGTTACAAGCAAGGACACGAAAAATCAACTTATGGTAAATACCCTAATTTTCTAAATTTGTTTTTCATGAAATCTCTTGAATATATAGCAAAATTTTACCAAGCCAAGACCAAATTAGGCCACAGGACATACCACATTCTCACATTTTTGTATTTCAGACCTCTGAAGTTCTGCACAAGCTCTGTAGTAAAAATTGCAGTGGAACCAGTCAATCCTTCAGAACTTCCTAAAATGTTGGATGGTTTGAGAAAAGTTAACAAAAGTTATCCGTTAATTACAACAAAGGTTAGTTTTTAATTATTGAAATGTTTCGAATTATATTTTCACACTATTTCGAGGTATCAATTGGCAATAACCAAACAAACTTCAACTCATCTTATTATGAGTGTTAAGTAGATATCCCTAAACTGAGTCGTTTGTAACTCGAGTCGCATAGCATCCGAGTTCTTGAGTCTTATTCAGTCGAAAGTCGAGTAAATTGCTGAACTGTCAGTTAGTTGAGTGAGTCATTTCATTTAGAGCAGTGATTCTCAAACGTTTTAAGCCGTGCCCCCTTTTTAGAATTTGTTAAGTCTCGCGCCTCAACTCAAAAATAACCAGCCAACAATAAGTAAATATCTAAATAAAGACTGTAAATATCCGAAAAAAGGGGATATAAAAAACAAATATGTTTTTTGAAAATAAGCTTCATATCCCCTCAAAAAATTGTCTACGTCTCCCTTGTAAGGCGCGCCCCATCGTCTCAGAAACACTGAACCTTTCTTTGACAAATGGTGACTTGAGTATAAGCAAGTTTAGACGATGACTCGAGTCTTTCAATGTTATCCAATGGTGCAGCATCTCCCAGTCTTGTAAATTTTCTCTCACTTAGCTGTGTTTTTAATAACCTAACTGTTAATGTCTTGCGACTAGAATATCTTTCAAGTTCTTGCATTGTTTTGAAATCTAATTAACGAGCATTTCACTAAAGAATTTTCCTTATTTTCAGGTAGAGGAATCAGGTGAACATGTTGTTCTTGGAACCGGTGAATTATATCTCGATTGTGTGATGCATGATTTACGAAAAATGTACGCTGAAATTGACATCAAAGTTGCTGATCCTGTTGTTGCATTCTGTGAAACTGTCGTCGAAACATCGTCATTAAAATGTTTTGCTGAAACTCCAAACAGAAAGTATGCTTTGATGATAATGATCATTTTTTAACCAAGTATAGCGCTATTTTTTCTTTCTAGTTATTTTGAAGTGCAACTTTTTGTAGTCAAAGTCACGAATTAATGTAAAAGATTTTTTTTTGCATTCACAGCATTTCACTTTTGGTGAAGTGCCTAAACCAGGGATGTGCAACCTGCGGCCCGCGGGCCAATTGCGGCCAACAAGGAAAAATTGTGCGGCCCGTGAGGAAGTGCCAGTTTTTATGGTTTACGGTCTGCAAAATGAGTTTTTAATTTAGTAGTAATTCCAATCCCTTCGCACTGCAAAGCCTATACCTGAGTCCAATTTATTATCTATGCCAATGATGTTACAATGTATTTTTTGTCCCTGCAACTACCAGAAATTCTATGTTAAACAAAGATGCGTCCCGCGGTTTCACCCAGTTATTTGTATCTGGCCCTCCTGTATATAAGGTTGCACACACACCCCTGGCCTAAACTAATATGCGTAGTAGAATGTTTTTAGCGTATTTTGAAAACAAAACACGCCGAAAAAATTATATTTTCATTGTTCAAATAAAGTCTTTCGTTGATGCAGACATTGATTGACCAACAGTCTTCTTTTGAATAATGAAAATATAATTTTTTGCCCAATTTATTAAAACAAAACATTTCTGAGTTAGGGGATACTTCTTAAACGAGCTTAGTGAATTTAGAAGTATCTGCAGGCAGGACTTGAAAAAGGGGTTTTTAAACTGTGATGCAGCAATTGGCAATTGTGCCCATCGAAGAGAAAAATGTGTAATTCTTCGTAAAATTTCACAGGAACAAGTTGACAATGATTGCAGAACCACTCGAGAAAGGTTTGGCTGAAGATATCGAAAACGAAGTCGTACAAATTGGATGGAACAGGAAAAGACTCGGAGAATTTTTTCAAACTAAATACGATTGGGATTTACTTGCTGCTCGTTCTATATGGGCGTTCGGACCTGATAATACAGGTAATTTTCTAATTAGTATATTAGACATATAGTCAATGTCTGCTTTTTTTTTTTTTTTAAAAAGAGTATCTGTCAATTTTATATGATAATCTCGAATTTAATACCATTGTCCATCAACAATACGATTTTATTTCAAAATTTCTGCCACAATACTATCAAAATAAAACCAAAGGACCAAAAAGAAGAACATTGGTGAATTGAGCAAAACGTAAGAATAAAGTATATGTACAAGAAATACAGCTGCCCATTCATTGAAAAGATAAGAAAAAACACATAGAAAGACACAGGCCACCTATCATAAAAATCAAGCTGCGAATTCATTTAGCAAAGAGGATACAGATAGTTACATCTGGGCATTATCTTTAAAAAATTTGGCATTTTTACACCTCGATTACTCCGCAGAAGACTCATTGTAATCAGCTAATCTTCCAGTTTTGTATTGCCTGCCCAATCTGGTGGGCATGGGGTACTACTTTGCGCTCAGCAGTTCAGTCAATCATACTCTTTATTGTTACAAAAGTCAATACTCCTGTATTTTGTATCAGGTCCCAACATCCTAGTTGATGACACTCTACCATCTGAAGTTGACAAAGCATTACTGGGATCAGTGAAAGATAGCATTGTGCAAGGATTCCAATGGGGAACAAGAGAAGGACCTCTGTGTGATGAACGTAAGTTTTTAGTGTTCTAATCAGAGTGAATTGTTTTTAAATTGAAACATTGTCGAACGCCCATTTTTCCTGTTTTTATTTTCAAAATTTATTTGCACAAAACTTTAAATATCAAACTCGTTTTTTAGCAATCCGAAACGTCAAGTTCAAAATTCTTGATGCCGTGATCGCATCAGATCCGTTACATAGAGGCGGAGGACAAGTTATACCGACTGCACGACGTGTGGCATATTCTGCTTTCCTTATGGCAACACCGAGATTAATGGAACCATACATGTTCGTGGAAGTCATTGCTCCTGCTGATTGTGTTTCTGCTGTTTATACTGTACTTGCAAGAAGAAGGTACCTTGTTGTTCAATCTATTTATAGAACATATAAAATCAATTTGATACATATGACAGACAAGGCACTGTACAAGGAGCATAGCAAGGAATGTTTGAAGGGGGAGCGTTTCAAACTTTTTTTTATACATTTTGAAAAGGAAGGGGGTTTCCGACCTCAAACCCACTCCCTGGCTATGTCCCTGCACTGTTCAACCACAATCCTGCTTGAATATTATTACTACATGAATGTTTAATATTGCCTAATATAGACTCGACGTTTTCAGAAACACGAAGCATGTATTCTCTAGGGGCAGACCGAAAAAACAACAATTGGGCATGACTCAAAGTTTAAAATAACAAAAACTATAATATAATCAAATATCAATGTTGCTACCGTCCGAACGACGCTGTCCTGCCAAAACTTTGTAGTGTCATACCTAATATGAAGTATTGTTGTCTACCAGGGGTCATGTGACACAAGATGCTCCAGTACCAGGGTCACCATTATATACAATCAAAGCATTCCTTCCTGCTATCGATTCATTTGGATTTGAAACTGACCTGAGAACTCACACGCAGGGACAAACTTTTTGTTTATCATTATTCCATCACTGGCAGGTAAGATAACATGATATTATTTATAACCCGTTAATAATCTGTTGCATCGAGTATATTGAAATTGAATATAATTTGGTGGTTCCCAAGCCGCGCCCCGCGGGCCAGTAACGATTTAATATGGCCCGCCGAACTCAAGTGAAATAGTTTAACATTTATGTTTTTTTTTCCTTTTTGCATTTCAGATACCGCTCACAGTTTAAGCATGTGTATACTCGTAACAGTTCAATTATCTTAAATATACATACCAGTAATGGCCCCTTGCAGATGCACCCCTCTCATGGCCTGCAAATATTCTTTGGCTTCCAATTTCGGCCTCCGGTCAATAAAGTTTGGGAACCACTGATTTCTATTTGTTCCAGAAACACACACTTGTTTAGTAGCACTTTCAAGGTAATTTGTGATGTGACAGTGAAAAGATTGCAATGTGCCAGGATAGGATTACTAGCTTGCAGAATAATTACGATAAGTTGTTTTACCATATTGTTGTCCAAAGCTCCTTGCCCAGTTACCAAGTTTCTAGATGAGGTCGTCAAAATGTCTGAAACTGGTTTGTGTGGTTTCTTCACTTACATTATTTCTTAGATCGTACCTGGTGATCCTCTCGACAAAAACATAGTTATTCGACCCCTGGAACCACAACCTGCCACTCATCTCGCACGAGAGTTCATGGTAAAAACAAGGAGGAGAAAAGGACTGAGTGAGGATGTCTCGATCAGCAAATTTTTCGACGATCCTATGTTGTTAGAATTGGCTAGGCAGGATGTCATGTTCAACTATCCCATCTAGGGATGGATTGGATGACTGTTTTGTGTCCTATTGGGGTATTGCTGAGTTAGGGGTAAGACCAATCATGATATGCGATTCATTATTTTTACGAAATGTTTGGGTTTTGATATTCTGGTTAATGGCAAGCTTGAGGAAAATTTGTACATTCAGTTTTGCAACTGTCCTGCAATATTAAATGTTCCCTTGCGTCTCAATGACACCCAATCATAATCTCTTTGTCCATCTTCTGACTGTTTCCCTAGATTTTCATTCCTTGAAGTAAAATACCAGGAATTGTGAAAAAAATTTCCTTGCTCAATTTTGGGCCATCAAAATTGAGACAAAATCCTTCCAAATAGAGCTTAGAGCTCAATAACAAAATTTGTTCAATCTGGTTAAAATTGATGTTCAAACTGATGGACTTTTTTTTCTCTATTGAGCAGTTACAGAAACACCGAATCGGTCTTCTTTTTTTTGCATATTACCCCCTGGTCAGTAGTTGAAATTGCCTCACTTTCAACTTCCATAACTCGTCGGAGGCTGATATATTCTAATCTGAACATCTTTTCTACTGTAGAGAAGTGAATAAAGAAAACTGCCATGGACTTTTGATTTTTACATATGCATTAAAAGATTGAGATGACCATTGGTTTACCTTTCAGTGGTGTACTGCCCTAGAGTTTTCACATGGCGGAGTTGTTTTAGGCGAGAGATTAAGTAGTTCGACGAGTGATTAGATCAATAGGTGGGCAAGGTTTTTGGACCAAGGGCCAAAAATTTTGCCATCTAAACTGGCGGCAATGTAAGTGGTGCACAAAAGTGACATTTCATGAACAATATTTACAGTGTCGCAAAAGGGGAGAAACGATAAGCTTCGCGCCAAAAATAAATTTTATTGCAATCTCAACAAATTTCTCGAGCTATTTTTTGCTAAAATGTAAAAATTTGGTTTTAGCAGCATCAGGCGGGCCAGAATGAATTGCCCAACGGGCCGTAGATTGCCCACCCCTGGATTAGATCCCTTTCCTCGTTAGTCGAAATTCAGGTTGTTCATATTTGTCCCGCAAGTTCGGCGGTAAGCGCGTTGTGCTTAACATCGCACCTCTGATTATGGTTCGAATTACTACGGGGATTAATATGTGCGCGAGGATTGCAGGATTCGTCATAGGATGGTTCTCATAACCTCTTGTCGGTTACGTCTTCCTCCACCGTGTATCTGCAACCGTGAATTATTCTCATACCCGACTTTATTTTGAGGATTATAATTTTATAAAGTGGGAAGTCGTGTTTTTGAAACGACTTTTCAAAGCGCTCGTTGCTATTCGTAGCGCGGATGAACGCTGGAAACATCCGACCTATTCAATAACACAGAATAAGCTAATCCATCTGATATCTTTACATAGCTTGCTATATGATTGCGCTGTGTTTTGGATTTAAATTTTCCGGGTCTCATATGACATTATATCATAGCTATATATATATGTAGTTTCCTCATTGTATAATTGTGGCGGTCTTAATTTACAGCGCTTCAGACATATGAGCAAAGTTGCTAAAAATGTTGGTCAACAAATTACCTAGCTTATTGATAAATTCTCAAAATTATCTTTCACCATCTTCAACTGAAATGGTATGTATTGACTTATTTTCACATAAGCGACCTCCACTCGTGTAGGGATATTTAGAACCAAATTTATGCGTTTATCATCAAATGCCAATGTCGATCGCGCGAAAATTCAGGCATATGAAAAAGTATATATATATATATTTTCTTATACACCAAACATACCATTTCATCAGAACATATCGAGATCTGGTTAAGTGCTTTGAATATTCTGATACTTAAACTGATATAAATTATTAAATTTATTCATAAATTTGTAATTAATTCCCCGAAGCTGCCTTCGGGCAATAATCTGACTTTCTAGCATCGCAGTCGACGACTTCTTGACGTGCAGGTTTGTAGTAACTAGGTGTTAACGTGAGTCGATTCACCAGAATGTCGTTAGCTGGAATAATACTTGGATTCATAATATTTTCGTTCAATGGAATACTAGCTCAAAGAAGTGAGTACTATCTGTGTTATGGGCGCATTGTTAAATAACTGAATATTTCAACTGGTGTTTTAAAATGATCGGGTTGTCGATCTATAAGATATGATTTACAATAACAGTGAATACTATAACCTAAATTTGATCTACAACTACCATGTGGTGCTGAGGTAGGATGAACGTTTTCTCAATGAGCACCGATGTGGCATATGGGGTAAATTACATTGCTTTACTGGAGTCACAACCTTGACAATATGACAGATGCTAGTCTATTTGATGCTGCGATTGGCGAGTGAAAGGTATAAATGAATTGCATGCGTCAATGATACAGACAATTTCGTCGTGACATTTCATGCTTCAACTTGCACTCTGGTATCGTTGAAAGAGTTGTTGATGTGTACCTGTATATGTATTATACAAAGTAATGTTTCTGGGGCTTGGGATGCGAACATTATTACATTTTACATACATCTCCTCACTAGATTGGCAAAACACTTCTTGTAAAATTAGACCAATCATATATGTGGCAGCCTCCAATTTGAACGACCGCATATCCATCTTTAATATTAACTATATGACGCTGAATATCGCATTGCCAGCGTGTAGTATAATGGATATGTGAAGTGATGTTATGTTACCTAATATCGTTAATAAAAACCCGTTTTCAACGTACAATATGCATTGTTAGTAAATTATTTACTTTGCTGTTTAAACGACTTTGTATTGAAACTTCCACGTCAAATGTGATTTAAATTACTGTCGAAAGTGATTAAGTTGTGTTGTTAATTCTGATTAACGTGTCATAAAACGGATGATTTATTTTGCAGCATGCCCCCGACCTGAAGCCCCAACGCACGGTTTTATTTCAAGATGTACGAATAGTGTCAACCATCTATCCGTTTGTTCAACAATATGTGAGCCTGGATTTGAAATCAGTGGAGACTCGAGGATGTTGTGTTGGTGTGGCGTGACATCATGTGCATGGCGTGGAGTGAAGCCATCTTGTGAAAGTAAGTAATGCCACGTACACAATCATTAGAACATTGTAGGATCAAATTTTTTTTATTTTTCGGACAATACGAGAAAATATTTTAGCCTTTTTTATCAGCTTAGTATGACGCGTTCCAACCAATAACTTTCCCACTTGATTTCAATTATATTTATTATTGTCTCAGTGATATCTTGCAATGGACCCGACTACGACAAAGGCCGGGTCCGAGTCGTCGACCAATGGCCCAAAGGATTTATTGGTGTCATGGAATTGGAGGATATACCAGAAGTCACAACAAAATTAACTTTGGGTTGGTCAATGGTTTTGATTTTGGACAGAGCATTAGGAAAGGTATGATACTTTTTGTTTTCTTCAAACCGTGATTTTAGCTTCAACTCGGGCGGGTTTGATTTACAAATAAGGAACTAAGCGCCTCTTTCTAAGAAACGAACTTTGTACGATGTACGAATTTTATTCATCTGTTCATCGTCATACTACAAAATTCGATTTGACACATTTGCTTGCTATATCTAAGAGTAAGAACGCGGATAAAATGTTATTGATAAAACCATCCTTTTGTTCGCTCAAAAGTTTGACAGAATATTCTAAACAGACAAAGTTTATCGTTATCTTTGACTACTAAAAATGGCGCGCCTCGCGTTTTCGATTATTGGACACGTTAGTGGACATAATGGTTGTTTTTGGACACGTCAGTGGACATAATGATCGTTTCAATATTATGTTGTTGTTGTTCTTTGACACGCTTTTAAAAAATCGCTTTCCTCTTTGATTACTGGACCAATTGCTCTGAAATGTTTAGTGGTTAAAGATGGATTTTTTCTTCAGAAGGCTATTACTTTTATTTATTGCTAAATTTCGTATGAAATCTGACACTTTGTCCAAAATTTTGCTGTAATATTTTATCCATGGGAACATTGGCTGTCCGATTTGATTCTGTAAATTCTTGCTACGCGAAACTCGGAATTTTTTTGAGGGCACCGGTAGCGTCAAAAGTAAAGACTAAGGACTGCTTCGCTCTGATTAACATGTCCATATATTTGAGCATTGCTCTCTTGTTTTCTTTTACAATCATTATACAGTCGACAAATTGATCATATATTCAAGTGTATGTTTCTTCATGCCATTTTGTTTTGCAGAACACAACGCTGAGCAGTTGGAACGCTAATCTGGTCAGTACTTCGTACGACAGAAAAACTTTCACTTTCTCGAACACAGAACATAATTCAGATTTATCTAATTACCTTCCAACATCCAGCATCAGATGGGCCTTTGTCGTTGATAATTTGGAAGATGAAATGCCAATGACAGGTGGGTGAAATTGACTAAAATTTGGTGCAAGCTAATCAATTCGTTATGAATCTGTCAGGTCATTTTTCTTGGCCCTGTGATTAGGAAAGTATTTTTTTCCAAGTATGAAGCGCGTAGTACAATACGCCTTACTGCAGTAATACCCGTCTATCTGGGAGTAAACAATCCTCTCCTAGTTTTGTTATATTTGACTTTTATGAAAATCACATGGCAAATGACACTTTTTAGTAGATAAACAAATATTCCTTATAACTAACTAACTTGCTGATTTCCAGCATACCTTGGACTGTTCAATCGACAAGTAAACGATGCAGCTTGCGTTAAAGCTCCAAGAATGTTAGACATTGAACCAATAATGAGCAACAAAGTCGTCGAAATCAACACAACACCTTTGACAACTACAACAACCACCGAAGAATCGGATGTCACTACACAACCCACTACCACACCAAGCACAACGACTCCGACAACAACTGCACCTCCAACGACAACCAGTACAACTACCACCACAACAACAACTACTACCACGCCCGTAACAACCACTACAAAGCAAACGACAACGAGAAAACCTAAGAAGAAAAAGAAGCCCAGAAGGCGTGGGAAAAAGAATAAAAAGAAGATAACAACTACGGAGCCGTTTGCTGAAACTACCCCAAATCCTACGTCTTTGACAACAATATTTCCTACCGATTCTGCAGTCGATTCAGTATTAGAAGACTCAAAAAATGACACCACGATGGAAAAATCTGGAGGGCGTTATTGCGTTTGTATGTTATATAAAATTATTGTTTTATGTGCTCGCTATGAAAAAAGTAACTAGCTTTCCCAAAAACTGGTATAACTAATGATATGATACAATAGTTAAAAGCAATGAAATAATATTCGCAGGCAGATTTATTTTTTGACATATCAGTTTATGTGTTATGCGTTATCGCGAAGTATTTTAAATTGGTACTCTTAAGGACGTCCTGGTAGAAGCAAATTTAATAAAAAAAAATTGAAATTCTTAGCCTAACAAATCACTTAATATAATTTTCAGTACAAACTCATGAAGATAATTTCAAAACACAAGATGGCTGGGAAGACGGTGGAATTCCCTTTTTCAGTGGAAACTGCATCTTGAATGTAACCGATCACTTGCTTGACTGGTCAATGCTTGTAGTTTTTGACTCTCCAATAGCTGAGATGCAGGTATGTATAACGTGTCTCTGTTACTCATATTTTCCTAGTTGTATTACTTTTAGCTAATTTTCTGTTCCTATTTTTGTACACCTCTAACTGTTCAATCGTTGAGTTTATTGATATCGCAGGCTAATAATCCCATGCTTGAACCCCATGCCCACCACCTAAGCCAGGGTGAAATAAATTTGACGGGAAAGCCAAACAGGAACGACACTGGTTATTCCTTAATATATTATAGCATATATTATATATGACATATATATAGGTTCTTACGAACCAAAGATTTATTGTTCCGAATGATGGCATGAAATGCCATATAAAAATATTGAAAATGTCGCTTACCTCTCCCGACTACTGGTGACATAAACCTCGATTGAACTCCGACCTGTTAAAACGTCACCCAATTCCGGAATAATAAAACAAAGTTCGACCATACCAGAAGTAAACATAACATTCGATTACTCACATGATTTTACAAGTCCCACACTTTTATAGGTATGGTCAGTTACCACCGTAGACAAATCCGACGATGGACGGATGTGGACATTTGGACCACACGAATGGAATCTAGATTTGTACGTTGGGATGTCGGACATAAATTTTATTGCAAAACAAGCAACGAAGACGGCGAGTATACCAACGGGTAAGATTTATATTATGATTTGCGGAAAATATTACTACAATAGCGATAATTATAGAATATTTGCTTTGACATTTTCGGTGGTTAAAGATTGTGTTCCTTGATAGAAGGCTATTACTTTTATTTATTTCAAGAATTTCTGTGACCTCTACGGGATTCGTTTTTTGTGTGCGATAATACAAAATAAAAAATTGCGCTTTTTTTGGCGGTTACGCTTTTGCATAAGTTCAAATCTGTTCAGCTGCGATATGGTAGGCTACTGTGACAGATTGCATACCTGTACCATTTCGTGTTCATATATTTGAGCATCGTTTTCTTGTTGTTGTTCCTATTCATGTTGTCGGTATTTTTCTTCTTATCGTTATGAAAAAAATCGCTTTTCTATTCAATTGCTCGACTGAAAAACCTTTCCCCGAGCATCGATTTTCTTGTTTACTTCATGACATTGGCCAATCGGCAAGATGCAAAAAGTGACGTAACAATGCTCCCTTTTCGCATCCGCTCAGACACTTTTCTCACTCAGACAGATTTTCAGGCGTGGTCGTAAACATGACCTCGTTTTCGCGTTTTGAACTCTATTTGATAGTTTTCAGTTGTGTTTCGGAAATTTAAATATAAATCAGATAATCCAATGATCAGTGTCTTCTTAGGAATTTCAATTAAATTGCAGTAATTAAAAATAGTATAAAAATAGTTGTGATAGACTGGGCTAAAATGCTTTACCGGTACTTTCAAAAACCCCATTTTACAGGCGCCAACTCGCGAAACCACTCTTAAAATAAACCCCGAAAATTTTACAATGGTAAAGTATAGGAAGAATTTCTCAGGGGTCGAAGGTCGGGGAAAGGTTCATTGCTCAGAAATTTTTAGGGGTTAAAGATGTATTTTTCACTATATGGCTATTACTTTTATTTATTTCACAAAATTCTGTAGGCTTTGTGGGATGCGTTTTGGTGTTCCTTGGCGTCATCAAAAATTGCGCACCTTGTGGCGGTTCAACTTTCGCGTTATTCGTGACTACCCCAAAGCGTATATATAATACGGACTATCCAAGCGGTATTCTACTGTGACAATACTCGTACTAATTCGTTTTGGTTTTCGGTCCATATGTTTGAGCATCGCTTTTTTGTCTAATAGGATTTTGGTTGCCGCGGGGCCAAAACACGAAATTTCGAAAAACGAAATTTCTGCAATAAAATAAAAGCAATTCCTGTGTTCACCAGAATTGAAATTAATTTGTCCACAGTTCTATTTTAAAAAACCAACGGTTTCAATTCGTATTTTATAGCAAAAGTATACTTATGCTCTCTCGCTTTCACGGAAGGAGATACCATTGTCATCAGTCCAAATTCACCAGCTCAAATTGCACTCGCTACCGGTACTCTTGGTATGAATAATGAAGAAGACGAAACCGACACGGACGATGACGTCACAATCGAAGAAACAGAAGAAGATAAAGAGACCCCTGAGGAAGCGGCATGTAGGTTCTTATTTACGTTAGAATCTGTTGTAAGCAATTGTAACTATCGCTATGCAAGAATTTTATCAATATTCATTTTATTGTTCTCAATTTCCAGCAAAAGCAACACGATGGAAAAAGCCGGATAAAATCGAAAAAAGATGTTTGCCAGAATCACCCAATGGAATCATACCTGCAGTGCAATCACAAACTGTGCCAGATTTCAAGCCTAATGACGGTATTCTTATTATGTGGGAATAGAATTTATGAAAATGTTTAAAACTACTTCGCTAGCTTAAAATACATACTACAATTTTCTTTCTCGTTAAATGTTCCGCAAGCGAAGCAGGAAAGGTCGTACTTTCGTTAAATCTATTCGCTCCACACGAATCTCAATGTTGCAGTTTATTTATGTTTCATATATTATTTAAGACGGAACAAAATACAACTACAATGAAATTTTGCACAAATCAATACTGTTTTACGAAGCACAGAGAGCTGGGAAACTTCCAAAGAATAATAGGATCCCGTGGCGGGGAGATTCTACACTCAAAGATGGATGTGATATCGGACTAGATTTAAGTGGGGGATGGTTTGACGGTAAGACTATTTTATCTTCTATAATCTATATTCTCGAAACGAGTGTGGGTTATTTGCAATTTTGATTAAAAGTCGCACAACTGTAATACAAGTTAGATTCCAATACAAACCACTTTATATTTTAGATTTTTTATTATAATAACTACGGGATTTAAATTAAATAGTATAGGAATTTTATTCTAATGAGACAATAACGCGATTTTTTAATAGCGTTTCACACTTTTGCATCAATCTAGACTCCTAACATCTACTCAATAAATTCTGGCGCAAGGAGACACAATATTAAATCAACTTAGATATTTCTGCTTGGACTTAACAACTCTTTCACAACGCATTTACTGCACTAATAATAATCACTTCATTGACATTTCACTTTATTACGACAAGCAAAAGTTTTATCACGTGACTGAATGACCGATATAGGCAGCCAGGTGGGATACAGGCTATTGTTTTAAAAAATGGATTGATATTTGCGACGCACTCAAAATTATCGCGAGTCGTGATGCGTAATGCAAACAAGTGATGTCAAACACAAGCCTTGGACTGACAGTTTGGAATAGTCAGCCATTTCCATTTTTTAAAACTTTCTAGCACGATGTTCTTTTGTTGTTAATTTTCAGCTGGCGACCATGTGAAGTTCGCTCTTCCAATGGCATCTACAGTCACCTTGTTATCCTGGGGAGGACTCATGTTTCGAGATGCCTACAAGGATGCAGGAGAGTTTAGCAATCTGCTGGATTGTATAAAATGGCCTAGCCAATTTTTGATGCGTTCACATATTTCAAAATATGAGTTTGTAGCACAGGTGATGTCAGATTTTTTAATATTGTTGGTTTTTCAAATTAATCAATCATCTCAACATATTTTTATACCGACCAGTTGCGTTAGGGAAGCGTTAGAACGATGGGAACCTAACGCACTTAGCAAGATGGGCCAACCGCAGTCTTATCCTATTCGATATAAGTCTGTCATTTTGCATTTTTTAAAGATTGACTATCTGCTAAATTAAAAAAAAAAAAGCATAGAAAAGCTAAAGTCTCTTATCATGTTGGGTCTAATATGGATTGAGATTAAAGCCTCACATTAGAGAGAAACTAGAACGATAGGCTACTTTTTGATATGATCAGATTTACCCATCCTTGGCAAAATTGGAAATACTTCAACTGATAACATTAGCTGATTTTATCATCTTATTTCTGAAATGCTAAGTTTTGTTCATAAATATATGTTTATTAATCAAGGTTGGTTCTGGAAAAATTGACCACATAACCTATGGACGACCGGAAGAAATGCGAATGAAAAGACCAACTTACATACTGGATCCTGAACACCCAGGATCTGAACCCACGGCGGAAACGGCGGCAGCTTTAGCAGCTGCTCATATACTTTTTAAACCAACTCATCGTCTATTTTCTAAAAATGCAATCAAACATGCAGAGGAGCTATTCGAGTTTGCAGATAAGTTCAGGTAAGATATGCAGAAAGAAAAATATAGTTGGTATCTATTTTCAGTAAACGGAACAGTGAAATTACGCATTTTTTGGGCAGAACTGCTAACTCCTGCTGCTCCCACAAATAGGAAAAATAAGCAAAGTAATAGTAGTAACTGGTTTGGCTTGGATACCAAATATGATTGAATTTTTGCTATAAATTATACAATTTCTGCAATTTTCGCTAGAATTTGTTTAACCAAGTGTAAATATTTGGTCACATTTGACATCACAATTTTGATTATACAGGGCAGAATATCACAACGCAATTGAGGACGTTAAAGATTTCTACTTCTCGTACTCCGGTTATAACGATGAGTTGATATGGGCAGCAGCTTGGCTATACAAGGCTACCGGAAAAAGCAAGTATCTGCTCAAAGCTAAAGGATTGTATATTGAACTAGGCGGACAATATGCTGTCGAATCAGAATTTTCGTGGGATAGGAAACTTATTGCGGCACAGGTATGATACTCAAATTCTATTTTCCGTACAAAACATTCACTCTCAACAAAGCTCTGTATGAGCAGACCCGATCTTACAAGTATACTTAGTAAATGAAAAGAAAAATGATATAAAAAATCATTTTGATTCAAAAAATAATTGGAACTTTACCCAAAATTTTCGGTTATTTGTTTATCCCAATGCATTTGGGTTAATTTGAGGGCTGAATACTATAATTAACATTGCTTTTTCGTAAACTATGCGATGCCATTTTTCTATGAGTATGCTGCTATTAAACATTCTCAATTTTTATAGATTTTGTTGGCTAATTTGACGGGAGAAGAATTGTATCGAAAACCAATTTCTGGTTTTCTAGAAAACGTTATGAACTCAAAGAAAACACCAAAAGGTCTTATGTGGTTACGAAAATGGGGTGCTAATCGTTATGCAGGTAAACAAATTCTGACATAACTTTTAATAAATGACATAACTTATGCGTGACGTCAAAAGGTTCGCCAAACCAGATTTTGAGTGAATGTTTCAGGTCTTAGAATTAGATCGTAGAGCTTGTTTGAATGCATTCCATTTTTTTGTCATTATGTACAGAGCCAAACAAGTCGTACGCACTCAGAAATACGAAAATCTTTATGGTTTCAAAATAGTACCAAACATTGTATGACACATTTTCCGAGGTGTCTGGCACGCCGTTAACCTCTCACTCCCACTCGAAAATACCAGGCTCAAAATCAAAAGTTATATATATATATGACATAACTGCATTAGGGTATAATTACTATCAAGTTGGCATATTATTAAGCAAATATTATCTGAGATGTGCTTTTGCATCAATGCAATATCTTAAAAAAGAATGCGAGATGATTGTACTACATATGATCAGTCAGTTAACCAAATGAGAGGACGCAGTTCGCAATATTAATATACTAATAAGAGTATGCTACCATCTTCCACATTCAGCTAATGCCGCTTTTATGGTGATGGCGGCTTCCACTCTTACACCACCGTTACCCAAGATGGAAATTTACGTTGAATGGGCTCGAAAACAAATTCATCTTGTCTTGGGAGACATTGGACGGAGTTATGTTGTCGGATTCGGAAGAAATTATCCAGAACGGGTACATCATCGATCAAGGTATAGCAATATTTTTATGTCAGTTTCAACTCCTTTTCCCTTTTTATGCTTTTGCGCCGATGGATCCCTATGCAAATAATGCAAGGATGCTGTATCAAGAGTGAAAATAAATATTTTAAGTGATCCAAGTTTCTTGTTGTGCTTGTGCACTAGCACAATTAAATTTCAAACATATATATGTCTCAGGAAGTCTGACCATGGTTTGACGAAATGTTACAGGAATTCCCGCTTTTTGGTCCTTCCTGAACAAGGCACTGTACAAGCAACCAGTGATATTAACGGTGATATATAGAAAACTATCAATTTTGGAGGAACCGGAAAATCGGTACTCCTGTAGTATGCGAACCAAGATGGCGGACACCGGAAAGTAGTATGTGTACCAGGTTATGCCTTAATTTCAGGTACAAATACTACGGGAGTCACTTTGCTAGTCACCGAACTCGTAATAGAACTAAAATAAGGAAATTGGAATAAAATTATGGCCTAACCCCAAACTGGTACACATACTATGTTGCGGTGTCCGCCATCTTGGTTCGCATACTACAGGAGTACTACAGGACTATTCGGCGTTGCCTATACGCAATTTATTGTGCTTACAGTTTCGGTGTTCTTGCATTCATTCATTGCATATCTTTCTTCTGTGTATCGTTTAACATCAATCCTATACTTATTATATTCAATGAATTAAGCTTTTATAAGAGTGCTGAGTACACAATTATCTTAGCAATACTTTCAAATCTAATTTATTTCAGTGCCTGTACTCCATTCCCAGCACCATGCAGTCGAAAAACTTTTTATACACCCCGACCGACCTATTTTACACTCTATGGTGGATTAGTTGGAGGACCTGATCAAAAGGAAATTTATTCTGATAACAGAGTAGTTTACGAACAAACCGAAGTTGCCTGCGACTACAATGCTGGATTTCAAGGAGCTGTGGCTGGTAAGTTGTTACGAACGTTTTTGCCTTGGGTCGAGGCTATGAAAGATATTATTAAATATATGCTTTGGGCGCGATTCACTCGTTTTTCATATCACCATAACGTTAAGTTTAAACAATATGAAAAAAGAAATTAAAGGCTAAATATCGTAACAAAATTGGTACAACATAACCTAATATTACCGCCCATTAGCGTGATGGCCGAGCGGTCGGAGGGTTAGAAATTGCTGTGTAGGAATTTTTACCTCGCAGACCATTTTTACCTCGTAAGCAACTAATATTATATAAAATGCTGGAAATGTTTATAGTCTAGTACATGGGTGTGCAAACTGCGGCCCGCGGGCCAAATGCGGCCCATAAGAAAAAATTGTGCCCGCGAAACAAGATTTAAGTGTATGTAATCTGGTACGTGCGAGCAATTCCAATCCCTTTCCTTCGATCGTTCAAGCTAATAATTATCCCATTTACTACTAGACTAATGCGCCCACCTTTTCCCTGTGCATACGTCGTTTGCTCGAAATGGTGTTGCCATGACGCTGGTGTTTTGTCAATCAAACTATATCCATGAGCAATATTTAAAATTAATTCTATTCCCAATTGCAGGGCTCAAACAAATTGTGATCAGAAAGAGGGCTCCAAAGACAACACACGCTAAACACAACTTGGGGAGATGGTCCGGATGATTTTTGTCACAAGCCCATCATGAAGCAGGCAATATTACCTATCGCTTCACAATATTTCAAATTCGACGCCGAAAGTATGGTGGCGCTTGTACTACTTCGTAAATGCTATTACCACTCCCTTCCAACTTTTTTTGTTCTCCATTTTATAATAAATAAATTTCTTTTATTGTGCCAAATGAAGATTACATTAATGAATTTTCCTGTGCCAAGTGTGTTTTATTCTTAAACATTCACTAATACAAGAGTATCGGTGAAGGCGGTTCTTGTATTAAAGTGTGGTATTGAGTACAAAAATATATTAATCGGTCTGAAGAAACGGATTACACAGTATTTGAAGGAGTACGAAATAAATGGAATGGTTGTTGAATGTTTATGAAATTTGAGCAAAATATTATAGTCAAATCTTCTGTAATATTTAGGATATTACAAAAAATGAGAATATAAAATTTTGGCCAAAAAGGCGGAATGAAAGTAGACAAAAAGAGAAAGGGATTGGACAAATATTTGAGAAAATTGAGCGATGAACTTATGCGTTTTCTTCATCTTCCTCCTCTTCGTCAAATTCACCTTCTTCCTCTGCGGTGGCATCTTGGTATTGTTGGTATTCGCTGACCAAATCGTTCATGTTGCTTTCGGCTTCAGTGAATTCCATCTCGTCCATACCTTCACCAGTGTACCAATGCAAGAAAGCCTTACGTCTGAACATAGCGGTGAATTGTTCGGAGATACGCTTGAACAATTCCTGTTGAAAGAAAGATAATGAATAATTTATAGGTTTCAAGTACTCTCGTAAACTCATAGGCACATAAAAAATTTATTTTATCGCAATTTACCTGGATAGCTGTGCTGTTTCCGATGAAAGTGGCGGACATTTTCAATCCTCTTGGTGGGATGTCGCAAACGGCGGTCTTGACGTTGTTGGGGATCCATTCGACGAAGTAAGAGCTGTTCTTGTTTTGTACGTTGAGCATTTGTTCGTCGACTTCCTTCATGGACATACGTCCACGGAACATGGCGGCGACTGTGAGGTAACGTCCGTGACGTGGATCGCAAGCGGCCATCATGTTTTTGGCGTCGAACATTTGTTGGGTCAGCTCTGGGACTGTGAGTGCACGGTATTGCTGGCTGCCTCTGCTGGTGAGTGGAGCGAATCCGGGCATGAAGAAATGGAGACGTGGGAAGGGAACCATGTTGACGGCGAGTTTCCTCAAATCGGCGTTGAGCTGACCTGGGAATCGGAGGCATGTGGTGACACCGCTCATTGTTGCAGAGACGAGATGGTTAAGATCTCCGTATGTTGGTGTGGTGAGTTTCAATGTGCGGAAGCAGATGTCGTACAAAGCTTCGTTATCAATACAGTATGTTTCATCGGTGTTTTCAACCAATTGATGGACGGAAAGGGTTGCGTTGTATGGTTCAACAACTGTGTCAGACACTTTTGGTGATGGCACAACGCTGAAAGTGTTCATGATTCTGTCTGGGTATTCCTCACGGATTTTGCTAATAAGGAGTGTACCCATTCCAGATCCGGTACCACCACCAAGGGAGTGTGTGAGTTGGAAACCTTGGAGACAATCGCAGCTCTCGGCTTCTTTGCGGACGACGTCCAAAACTGAGTCTACGAGCTCAGCTCCTTCTGTGTAGTGACCTTTGGCCCAGTTGTTACCGGCTCCGCTTTGGCCTAAAAATTATAAATATATAAAGAGTTAATTGCTTATAACACCTTATAACTTATTAGCAAATTACAACTTGCTGAGTATTATCTGGCTTCATTTCAGATATATATATATAATTTCGACCATGCCGCTTTTTTAAAAACATGATAAAGGTTCGAATGATCAATTTATGGGGTAAAACACTCACCGAAAACAAAGTTATCTGGTCTGAAAATTTGACCGAATGGACCAGATCGGACGGAGTCCATGGTACCTGGTTCAAGATCGACCAAGACAGCTCTTGGGACGTATTTGCCGCCTGTAAAAGAGAAAATATATAAGATTATTTTACTGGATATAAATAATAATTTAAATTCAAGTCAAGAATAGCTGAGAAACTAACCGGTGGCTTCATTATAATAAACGTTTATTCTTTCAAGTTGAAGATCGCTGTCTCCGTGGTAGGTACCAGTTGGATCGATTCCATGTTCGTCAGAAATGACTTCCCAGAACTAAAATAAATGAGAAAACATTTATTAGACAACGGACAACGCAAAAATTTTGCATCAATCAACGATTTTTTAATAAAATGACATTCGGTTTGATATCGGATAGTTGAACGTTGCCATTGAGATTAAAGCAGAAAAAGAAACTCAAATTGTTTACTCTCGACAAATTGCTAAGTGAAATTTATTCCCTATCGAATGTATACAGTAAATATCTACTAAGAATATACATTGCATGATATACACAATATATAGATTCATTATCTACCTTAGCTCCGATCTGGTTTCCGCACTGGCCTGCTTGGATGTGGACGATTTCTCGCATTTTGGCGATATATTTTATTATACAATAGTACACGAAGGTCGAACGCGCAAAGTAATGCTGTCACTAGCGAAATGATTTGAAGCGACGGGTACTGTGGATTTAAGCGCTTTTGGTGGTGAATTATCTTTTCTAAATACGGTTGAGTTCTTTTCTCTCTTCTTTCTCATTTTAGTCGCTCGAGTCTGAATAGTGAGCGACGTTTCCAACCGCCGTTGCCTTGACGGCGGGAACATTTCGAAATTCCGATCTTTTGTGAATGGTATTCATCCGCTAGTTTCTACACATTTTAAGAAAACACATTAAATCTACGCTTGGCAGTAATAGACTTTATTCAACGAAAATTCCTAAAATAATATACGTGTGGTAATTTTATCTGTGTTTTTTCGAGTTTATTCATTTTTTTACAAAAAATATAGTTCCGTGTCTATGGCAACGAGATAACAAATCCATTGACTGACTCACATCTGTGAAAGAATCGGACGAAAAGAAAATGAAGATATTGAAGGATGCGGTTGAGCGGTCGCTATACCACATCGAGGTGTTGCTATGACTGCCTAACGCTGTCTTGGTGAGGACGTAGTATATTTGTTCAGCTCGCAATTCCAAAAGTTGTCAAGGTAACTTTTGTTTCATTATGTGTGCACGTTCTCATCTTACACGCAACTCAACTTGTTTGCTTCATTCACGACGTCGATGTATTGTATAAAATTCAAACTGAAAAGAAGATCAAACAAGTCCGAACTAGATTTGAAGTAAAACAAAGCATTTATCGACCACGAATTCTTAGAGATGTTTGGTTTATGAGCCAGTTAGGACTGGTTATAATGTTTCGAAAACAATAGAAAGCGTCGTGACGTGATGATAGTGATGATACTTTTATTTCACTGTGTTTTACATGGGATCATAGATTTCTGTCCATTCCATTGAATAATAAAAATCGGTTATTTTGCATTCCACTCGGAATATATAGTTTGTTTCTAACTAAATTATTAGCTGAACATTTCCTAGCAAGCGTTTGTCTTGTGTGATTTTACTGAAGGCCTGTGGTACTTCTAGGCCTAGGGGATAATTATGAAGTTATATAGCTGCTTCTTCTTTACTTCTGAACAAAATAGCAACGCATATTATCTTCGTGGATAACAAAAATCGTTGTTCATGCTTCGCATGCTTCATTATAGTGGTTTATCATAATTTAAATGTTGATTAAGTTTGTGGATATTTGCCTGAAGGCAATTCAAAAATGCTCTGCAGTTTGAAATATGCCAATTACTTCTGTCAAATCTTCATCTAACCAGTTTAACGATGCACTAACTTTGTTGTTTTGAATTGGGGGTTCCCAAATTCGTGGACATGTACCCCCTGGGTACATTTTTACCTTTTAAGGGTAGACTTCATTAGATACATTATATAAAAGAAATGTTTTTAACACAACTTCTAATTTGCCCTAAAAGGTTTTTTCACCTGATGTTAATAAGTTGAAGACCCGAGTTTAGCAAGTCTTCTTTTCGCCCGCGCGGAAGTTTTACTACAACTACAGTAAATGCCGAGTCTACATTCACTGTTCACATGTTTTATTTTGTCCAATCACAGCACACAAGACAATTTTTGGGGCACACAAGCGATCTAATGATTGCCCAAAAAGGTACCTATTAACATTGAGTATGGTAAAACCTGTTTTAAACACATACAATTCATGTCTTCGTTGTCTGAGTCCATGCCTAATTATCTGGGGAAATGAATGCAATTCGTTATTGAGCCATATAAGGAGATCATTCGCAACGCAATGCAACATTGGTTACCGCATTTCGAGGTAACGGTTTGGAATAATATTTGACCCCAGTATCTTGCATTACAACAGTATTTGAAAACACCACTATTTCGATCGGTGGCAGCAACGACTAACATACCGTGACAGTGACCTTCGAGGATCAGGTGTTATCAATTCGTTGTTATTTACCCACCTGCTGTAGCGCAAACGAAAGTCTATCCGACCCTCTACCCCAGGAAAATGATACTACCTTTCAAAGCATATTTTGAATATTTCCGCACGTTGGCGCTCACAAACTTGATCGCATATTTCATGAATAACCATTATTTAGGACATTTCAACTGTCATTTAAAAAGTACAGCTAGCTAATTTTAGCCCAATCTATCACAGCCGTTTTGTGACTAATCTTTGATAACGGTGACCGTACATTTGAACCAATGTACATTTGAACCCATGCGTATATCCACGGGTTCAATCTATATGCGGGTGCTAAAACCCATGGGTTAGGGTTAGTATGGGTTTAACTATCCGTGAAAAAAAAAAATTCCATAGGTGCAATAGCATACAGGTGCAATTGTCATGGGTTCAAATGTACGTGGGTTCAAATGTAATGGAACCTTTGATAACTGCTATAAAGCGGAAAATTTCGCGCAGGACGAAAACACAACTGACGAATTCTTTAATGCATTTTAGATTCAAACAATTTAAGTGTTTGAATACAGAAAAACTAAATCCTCTGCTGTTGCATAATACAATGGTACAAATGCGAATGTCCAATTGTATATTTTTTCAAAAAACTTTGGTCGAAGCAAAACTACTCGCGCTCTTTAGAAGTCACGAAGACTGATCTAGGGTAGAAGCTATCTGGGACCACTGAAGTGCCAAATGGTACTTAGACTATAACAAGATAGCAATGCCAAAATGAAAGGTTGCAAATATATATTTTAAAGATCTTAATACCGGTACCGGTAAGCGATGAGGCCGAGAACGGAGAAGTCACGTACCACATTGTATATATCCCTGATCGCTCACTTATTAGAATTTGACGCTTTTCATCAAGATAATATTGCAGAATAAGTCGAAAATCAAATCCGACATAAAACGCAACTTGACTTATATACTTTTGTCGTATATATATATAGTATTATTCATATTGTATTTGTAGATAAATGTCTTTACGTATCAAAACATTACGAATAAAGAACAGTAATATGAAAATAATGACATGTTTCCTCCCTTAGTAAGGTTTTTCAACAATTTTCCTTGATACCTGTGGTCGAGGGAAATAGACAATCAAATACAATCAATAAATATTAATATTTAATTTGAACTGTTTTGTTGTTTTGATTGAGTGATTTTATTCAACATAGATTTCATGACGTCACACACATCACTTCTAATCTGTAATATTGTTGTAATTTGGCTTTGAGTTTATTTGCATAAGCTTATTTTTATTTACAATATATGAAATATTTTATGTTTTTTATGGCCATATGAATTGAATAAAATATTTCGTCGCAACTTGATTGACCAAGTTTGCAAGTGTGGCCCCGACATCTGCTTTAATCTTTATAATATTTTTACACAATACAATAGTTTTCTATTTTGTTCGTTAGCCTATTTGATAATTTGTTTCTTTTTCTATACCTTTTGATCTTTCGCCGATGTTGACTTTTTCGCTTTCAGTTTTCTCTGAAATGGTATAATGCGTTCGCATGATTCTGCTCATTCATTTGTTATTAGATATCAGTGTTATGTTACGAGTGATTGAATAAAAATACCTTGCTCCTTCGTGAGTTTGGGCGAGCTCTGGCACATTCCTGCAAATTGGGAACATTATGGTTTATTTTATGTATTTATATCTATTCTCTGGATATTAAATGAAGTCCAAAATATTACCAGGGGTAAATACGGTTTTCGTTCCCGAACAGGTGGTGCAGTCTTTGGTGTCGTTTTTTCTGATCTTGCCTTGTCATTATATAGTGGTTTAATTCTACGCTACTAATACAGCCTAGACCTAGACAAAAATTAGTCAATTTATTCTTCAGCGATGATGTAAATAGGACATGAACCTAATACTGCCAGCCTGATATATGTTTTATATTATTCATATATTCCACCAATAACCCGTTTAGACAGCAAGTTACGTTTTCAGTAAAGTAGAAGAATTTGTAGAGGTATGTCTTTATCTCATTAAAACTACTGCTTGAATCAACATACGTCGAAATTTTTGTATTCACTAGTAACTAGTATGTGGGACCTTCAATGGCTTCAAGCGTCTACTCTAAAATGAAGAAATTGAATTCAATACGAAACGATTCAATATTGTGATCCAGTTCTGATAACCTATGAACAGTATTCTGATTTACCGCAATTCTTCCAGCTTCGATGCATCCTTGCATGTGCAGCAACAGGTCCAGAAGTTCACGTTTTTTTGGTAACGCTCGCCCTGTTTTATGTCGACTGGTGTCCAAAATGCAACACGATGTAAATGCCTTGTCGACGGTTTTCTTCGATTAGCGAGGGCTATCTTCGGTCTCCGAAGTCTTGCTTTTCCCTAAAGTTTACAATTTTACATTATACATACATTACAAGTTGCAATTTATATATCAATCAAATGAAAAAGTGATATATAAAAAAATATATATGAACATTTACGGAAATTGATTCATTTTTGTTATATAAATTGTAAAAATTCATATTTGCTTTTAACAAAAAATAAAGAAAGTAAGAATTGTTACAAACCTGAAACTTCGACATAACCAATTCCCTTTCGTCGACTCTAGTGCCAGGTAAATTATAAATAAATCGAAAATAAACAATTTAGAATGGATTCTATCTGCTGCCACCACTGGTAGTCCCTCGTATTTGTAATCGTGACAATAAAAGAGCCGAGTAGGGTATTCATGTTTATTGTAAAGATCAAATTTATGAAGTCTAATTTTTGTAGAATATTAGGCATTTTAAATCGGTAATGGCCCAAAAGTTTTGGAGATTCCGGGTAAACAAATTTTCTGAAATTTAAAAAAATATATAGAGTACATAAAAAACACAAAAACAGCCAAAGCAAAACTGGAAACATGAAATATGTCATAGTGTTAGTCAGCAATCTAGGTCTAACTATATGTTTACAACGCGTGAGTTGGATTTCTGGTTGAAACCGCATGTATATAATCACAACTACAACGGGCTGTGCGTGCGGAATGGAAATGTTGCAGACTTTCCCACGCTCAACAACTACTCAATTATTCCTAACTTGCCAGTGATTTGGTGCGCAGGCCTCATCGCTCATGTCCATCGCCTGGATTACAGTATAGCAGAGGTGGCCAACACG